ATTCAGGTCACTGAATATCGAACAGTACATCGACCCTCGTCAAAGTCAAGGACAACCACTGTGCAAAAATATTGGCATGTCATGGAATTGCAGCAGTAGTCACACCTACATGTACTAAATATGTCCGTAATAACGTCACTTGTATTGAGTGGTCATCAAGTCAGCCATAGTACGTGGATACGACGAAAGGGAACTCACGTTAACATAACCTTGAGGAGTGACTCTGACGTTATCTGGCTGGTAACGCCATTCTAATCTAGCTCGGGTAGATCCCCAGTCATTCGGCGCTGAACCTCTACGCCGAAGATCGAAAGGCTTATTTCGACCGAACCCAACACTACGAAAATTACTTAAGTCAGTCAGTCTATAGTGCTTAAAAGGTTATCTATGACTTCACAAGGCAAGCATGGTTAAACTGGTCAAACACGATTGCTGGTCAAGTTGTTCCCTACTGTTGGCCAATTCATGATGCAGAAGTGACCTCCTGAATCTGTGGTGCTGGAAATTTATAGACAAGAGGGAGCCATTTTGGTTAGTCTTAATTAAGGGTCTTCTAAGTTTGGAGATTATAGGGTGCACATTTACACCCCTGTATTTTGGAAGAGTGCTGTCTCGACCCTATTTGAAGATTAGAGTGGTGTGCGTCAACTTCCACGTGACTAGAATGAGATTTAATTTCAACGAAATTTGGAAATGTTATGCAAAGTTGTCAGAAGAAGTCTCCCTTCTCCCATTACCGTAGAATGATCCATGTCCGGGCCACTAAAATCGTGATTGTTTAGATGTAACTTGCAATAAACTAATCCGGAAAATAGATCCTCTTCAGGGATTCTTGATGTGTATCATCTGTGGTATAAATAGATGATAGTTTCAGACGATGATCGTAACGTAAAGGGCACGCTGAAAATCACTGCACAGCATTTTATTGGACGGCATTGTCATTGACTTGTTTCTGTCCTTGTCCTATATTTTAATTTTATTCAGCTCACTTTTAACTGCAATTTATAAGTCTTCATCTGGTCTTTTATTATTTGGCCCTGGTTAAAGACTTACGTTTTCTTGACTAATTTCACTGTTGCATGTTGTCAAACAGTTGATTAAAAGGTTTAGTTTGACGGAACTCGGGATCATAGCGTGGTCCGTTTTATGACCATCAACCTCTAACTGTTTTGTTGAGAATGTTGCTGGAGTACTTTGAGATGGATATCCGATCCCATCTTATTGAAAGTATTTTGGTTGATTCTCAGTTATCGAACTCATTCACCATAAGTAAACAACATCAAGTGAATTTATTCTTCACTTCATTGCGCAAGTTGCGCTCAGGAATCAGTAGCTAAATGGATAACGTGATGGAGTTTAAAGTGAAAGATACTGGGTTTGAGTCCCAGAGTGAATATCAACTCTGAGATTTAGATACATCCCAACTAGAATGTAACGCGCGTCCTGGATTCTATTGCTAACCACTATCCATCTTTGTTTATGCGTTTTGTTGTTCGGCATGTTTGTTCTAGCGAAACCGTTGACTGAATAGCACAGAATATACCGTGTAGCGGTGAATAATTCCCCAAAATAAATAGCTCTGTAAGTTTTTGACATTGGATGCTGACCACAGTTTTAGTGGACTCATCTAGCTGAAGGCGCTCGGTCAAGCATCTGCACCAGATCACGTGTGGGAACGCCTTGCTCAACATCTGTCGCAATCACCAGCCAGATTAGTTCAAACAATCCTCGATATATTGATAGCTTATCAAATATATCTTCGATCATCTCGCTTCTGTCTTTTGATTTTACTTGGTGGGTGCGATTCATATTAGAAGGTTTTGCTGGTTAAAGCGTTGTCAAACTCCGAATACCTGTGGCATCTTCAACCGTTCGAGGTGTTTTTACTTTTGATATACGTTTTCTTTCTTTAATTAGATGCGTGTAAATCGAACATAGAGTTTGTGTTTTGATACATTTTGATTCCAGCAACTAAAAAGCGCTTCGTATGCTACACAGAAGAACTTGGTCTGTGCTAATGGAATGAACTTTGGACCGTTAGTTCTGCATTCCAAAGGAATTTTGGTATTTCGGTCGTTACATTTGTTCTAAAGTTTTGAAAAAGTGGTAGTACGCAAAACTGTAAAATAGTCATCTCCATTGCTGGGATTACCCAAACCGTACAGTTAGAATGCACGTGTGTCATGTCGAAAATATCTTGTTTGACGAAATATATTTAGTTGTTTGGAAAAGTTTGGTCCAGCCAGGTACCGATCTTCTACATCTCCATGACCTTTGTGAGAATGTTCCAGGAGTATTTAAAACGTACATGTCATTGCCGATAATTTTCGTAGTAATTTTTTCCAGTTCTGACAGACGAGTTTTTTCAGAGACAAAAGTGTTTTAAGAAATCAGTATATCTTCCAGCAGGTTTTAAGTCCTAGATTATATAAATTCATCATTTGTCGTGAGACTAGGTGAAATTTTTAACATGGTTCACAAGGAATGTGGTTGTGTGGTACCCTTTTGCAACTTATGTTTTCTTTAGGACCAAGTTCGACTTCTCGTCCTGATATGCACTTGTATTTTACTGAACAGTTTTTTAGTTATAATTTTCCATAGATTCAACTAGATGAAATATTATTTAAACATTGACTTTTGTTATTTCATTTAATTTTCCCAAACGTCAGTAAATGGGGCTGAAAATGTTACCAGGGTTAATGGCATGCATGTCTTCGTTATATGCCTATTTTGATTTCTTATTGATAGTGCACATGTTGTGCGTAGTGTATAATTCTTTGAGCAGTTGATCGACCTTGTAAGGGCTAGAAATCTTGGAAAACACAGTTACCGAGTAAGCATAATGTATGTCACTACTTTGAGTGGATAAAACAACCGTATAGTCAAAACCAAATACAACTGAACCAAGAGTCTGAATGAAATATTTACTGTGACAATTTTTCGGTATGTCTCACTATTTAGAAATATGAACTATCGAAGAATTATTATTAAATAGTTTGTAATGATCAGCATCTAAAAAGTTTAAAAAATATAATTTCATACTTAGTCATGCTTTGGGGTTTCCGAAACTGAGAATTAAACCCCGTGGAAAGTGTGAAAACTTTGAAGATTACGTCAAATGAAAGCGTCTTAAACAAGACAGCTTTAGTGACTCGGGATCTGACTGCAATTTGATCGTATGAATGTTCAGTTTTGAAATATATATGTCACCTACACTCGTATATAATCATCGACTTAAATCGTGTTAGTCAATAAAAGAATTAAATAAGTCGAATAACAAGAATGGACTTTTGAATACATGTATATTGTATATGGAGCGAATGAAACAAAAGGATGCAGAACGATGCGCAGTGGAGATGGCTGATAAGCCGACTCTCATTTTTTTTATTTTCCTTACGCTTTCACTGTTTCCATGTTTTTTTCTGGACTGCATTTATTTTCTTTTAGTTATTACTAAGTCTTGGCGGCAACCATACTGATTTGTCCCCTCTTTAGTCGTATTGCTTGCATTGACTGTAATTGTGCATTTTCCACTGTGAATTGAAGCAACCTTCCAGAATTCGAAATCCTCTGTGTTCTAACGCAACCAAATATTATCTTTCGAATGAATCTGTACGTGATCTACCCAAAAGGGATAGAATAACATTTATTTGTTGCGCTTGGTAATTCGCTTACATCCTTTATCAACTACTTTGTTTATTGTAAAATGGGAAAGATTTTCACTTGTTAAGCCTGACGCCGAAAAGCAGTTAATTATGATTATGAACACTAAAATGACTTCATTTAAGCCGGATAATATAATAATGGTGAACGAGAGGCCTGGAGTGATCACTGATACAAAGGAAAACCGGTTAGTGATACATAGACTATCCATGGACTCACGTGATTATTCCGCTTAAATAGCCAGTGAAATGTGACGGAGTTTCAGTCAAATCATCCAGCGAGTTGGTCACCGCATGTCGAACAGTTCTTCAGTTCCCGTCAAAGTCAAGGACAATCAACATATATTCATTAATCGTAGCCACGGACTGACCCATGCGGTGGTGGTCTCAACATCTTCTTTGTACTGACATATTTCCGTGATAACGTTTTTTGTGTTCTATTGTTCTCAAAGCAGCCATAGCACCTCAATATGCTGAAGGGATAATACACGTTGTGTGCTGGCAGCGAGGTGTGACTTTGATGTTAGCTGGTGTTCACACCTTTCCCGTCTAACTCGCGTAGGCTCCCAATCATTTAGTATAAATCATCAACGTTGATGATCTAAATGTGGATTGTGACAAACATAGAAGGCATTTGATATTAGGCAAAGATTTGACAATAAGGCGAGTAATCAAGCGTACAGTCAAAAGTCAGACAAGTATTCAGGTGCAAAGTAGACAATTCGGTGACATTTCAAATAAAGGACGACAAAATGTGGAAAATCCTCATTATTCCCCAGTGGCAAATGGAAAAGCAGACAGTCTGGAGCGTCACCTTATTATTTTTCCTTATTTTCTAACGAAATTTACCTTTTATTTCCGTTTTATTGGTTGCTTGGGAGTTGACATCTAAGTGTGACAATAAAAATTTGAGGACTTTTTGTTAATCAAGTCATTCAGCTCTCATTTCTATTGTACACTAAGTAGCGGACCAGATTACTATTGCTGCTATGATTATTAATTGCCAACCTCTGTCAATCTCACTTTTTTGGCACTCCTGTACCTCTATTATGCTTAGATCTTTACGTGCTTATATAGTTTGTGTAAACTTTCAACATACTTATTCCATTATTTTCTTTTCTTATCGCTAAATTCATTTTTGAAATCCCTCGATGATGACTAACCAAACCATTAACACTTTACGATATCAAAAATTTGGGATCCTGACGTGAAGTTAAGAAACAACTACATAAAGATCAGTGACTATATAAAAGGTTACTACAAACATATTGGATATTGGATGACCTTTTTCTTAAGCACCATAACAACAGTTGACAACTTTTCAAAACTCTGTCCTGAATGTCTTCAGTTGAATCTCTTATCCGGACTTTTCCCGATAAATTATCGTCACAAAGGATTCTGGATAAAAAATGTGAGAAAAAAGGAAATACTGTGGGTGGTGTTTTACTGAGAAATCGTAATGAAGACATACTTGTACGTTTATAGTTATTTTAGTAAAATTTATTCCTAAAGCTCACACCATCTTTATTTGCTCACAAAATGTCTTTGTCTTCAGAAGAATTGTATAAACAATTATTTTACAGTCATATTCCTGAGACGCTGGCTCTGCACGACATGTCTTTGATTGGAGATCAAAAGGTGTCATTATTTGTTCATGTAGATTACTTTAGACGACATCGTTTCCTGTCAATCGTCCATTGTTTCAACCGTTTCCTTCTGAGCTTATTTTTCAACGTTATGAGCCTGGTAAATCTTACGAGTTGCCGTTGGTACTCCGTAATTTGGATAAGGTTTGTTATAATACAATTGTGAAATGTTTTCCAGGTTTCAAGAACAGCTCATTTGATTCAAAATGATACTCCATACTTTAAAATAAAACGTTTGAATACACAAGGGTCTAAAGTGGCAGCTGGTTTGTCACTTTCTTTCACAATTGTCTTCACTCCTGATGCTAACCAGGATTATCGACATGACCTTATGTGTGTGACTGATAGAGAACTGTTCTCCGTTCCTGTATTTTGTATTGGCCCAAGAGCGATTCTAGAATTGCCTGATGATATCTATTTTGATGAGGTTCCGGTGAAAGTAGCTGGCAAAAAGTTAATAGGCGTGAGGAACATTGGGAACTGTCAGGCCTCTGTAAAGTTTGATACCATGAAGTAAGTTGTATTTATTTTTGACTTTAGGCCGTTCTTTGTTGAGCCTATATCTTTGAAAATTGAATCTGGTGCACTAGAAGAGATAAAAGTTTTGTTCATTCCTGAAAATACAGGAGAAGTTTCAAAGAAAATGTTCATTATTTATGATACTGGTAAATCAAATCATTTACATTTACTTAACAATTTTACAAGGAGAAAGACTTCAGATTAATCTTCACGGTCGCGGAAGAGAATCGTTGGTTTATCTTAGGGATAACAAAGTGACATTGAACGGAACATACATTGGATTACACTCGCAAACAAAAGTTTTCATCGTAAATGACTCATCTGATGTTATCAATTTCAAGTGGAGTCCTTTTGAAAATAGCGAGGAAGAGTCACTTGTGAATGACTTATTAGTTGGAACGTTTAATAACGCATGTGATTTTAAATCTATACTGAAGCGGAAGTTGATCACGTGGGTTAGGAAATTTTCTGACAAACAAATAGTAAGTTTTAATCAAACATATCGTAGTCATAATCATATTTGTTTTCGGTATACTAAGATCCTATTGTATATTTTACTTAGCATGTGCTAAAATTTATATTTTTATTCGTGTAATCCGGCCGGAAAGCCTATCTGTACTTACTATTTCTCATAATTCGACTTTCTATCCCAGTGTTATAGTGAAATATTCGCGAGACGAAGCGTATCGTGAAACTTTCAAGAATTTCAAAAATGTTCTATAAGCTCCTTGTATTCATCGTTTTTCAACTAGTACTGAATAGGTTTCTTACAATAGCACCAACTTCAAGGTTAAGCAAAATGGTACATTTAGGAACATTAACTAACACTGATTGTTTAGTTACCAAGTAAATAAAAGTATAAAACAATTCCTTACAGTTGTTAAACATTGCCTTCCATACACTTTACATGAAAATGCAAATAAAAAGTAAGTGTATCACGCATAAGTGGTTTACGTTCCATTGGCTCACTGTAAGAAATGACTAGTAAGATAAACTTAGTAATATTACGGACATCTGATCATAAGCCTGACATAATATAATTTAATCCACAGATTTGATCACAAAACTGGTTGTCTTAGTGTTTATGCCAGCTATTTCGGTTTAAAGTACCTAAAAAAGTATTTACTTGCTAGCTCTTACCAGAGCTTGCAGTATTAGCATGCCTATCTTCTAAATGGCTAGTCGTAGTACTATTGTCCAACCCAGTGATATTTACATCAGACTTAATACAGCTAGTGTCACTGAATAAGTGCTTAGAGTACAGACTGATTGCTTTTGATAGGCAGAAGTAATAAAATTTTGTAAACTAATCAGTAAAAATTATCCAATAAGTGCTCTAGTAGTCATCAGTGGACCAGAAATCAAGTCAGAAATAATATGAAAATCATAATTAAAGGTATATGATACTTATCATTCAAATAAGCACGTAATAATGTACAAATCAATTATTAGCTAGAATGAACATCGTGTTACCGAAAATAATATGAATCACCAATTTGGCTACATAATCGTAATAAAAGGAGCTCAGTATTGGCATTTAAATATACCTGTTACTTGGGAAAAATTTCAGGAAGGGATTATGAAACGTCACTCGTAACATAAGTGAGACATCCGTCTACCAAGCAAAGGATGATTTTACTGTGCAACACCGTGTTTCATTCTGCTTGTGAAAGTGTCCTTTAAAAATAGAGGATATTTGTTCATCGCTGGCGTTCAAATATACATTTCTTTGAAGCATTGTTCTTATATCTTGAGACCGTTGAGCGAGTGTTGCTTAGGTAAGACTCAGTTAAGGATGGCAAGTTGATTGACGTGGTGGTCAATCTTTACCGACATAGATGGTTGGGGCATGCATTACGTATGGTTATTCACCAACCACCTCGACATGCATTGATGACTGATGCAGAGATAGGCTAGAATAAAGATAGGGGCGGCAAAAGTAAAGCGTAGTATTGGTGTAAAAGTACCACTAAAGATCAAATTTATACCTTAAACTACTATAAATCATTCGATTTACTCATCATCGTTTATGACATGATACTTTTAAAAGGCTTTAAGATGCTTAATTTTGACATAGGAGTTGTTCAAAAAAGTACTTACGCCTGTTAATTCTCGTGGAGGAGCATAGGCCGCCAACTATCACTCTCCATCCAACTCTGTTCTGGGCAAACCTTTTCAGCTCTTTCCAATTGTTATTCATCCTTTTCATATCTACTTCTATTTCCCGACGTAATGTGGTCTTTGGACTTCCTCTTGTCCGCTTCTTTTCAGGATTCCAAGCTAGGGCTTGCCTCATGATGCAGTTCGATGATTTGTGTAATGTGTCTCCTATCCATTTCCATCGTCTTTTCCTAATTTCCTTTTTAGCTAAAAGCTGGTTTGTTCTCTCCCTCAATAAGCTGTTGTCGATAGTATCCGGCCAATGGATGTTGAGTATCTTGCATAAACAACTATTTATAAATACTTATACTTTCTTGATCCTGACCGTTGTTGCTACCTTGACGTGGTGGTCGGGCTTGCCTATCGCGATGAAGCAACTGAGTTATACTGGCTGGAACAACCGTTCCTCAAGGTCCCACCATGCCGGACAGGTCGGTTGAAGAGCGGTAAGACTAAAAGCAACAAAACCAAGGTCCGAAGACGAAGTCGTACTGCTGACTGTACAGAGGTGTGACAGCAGTAAGGTGTTTCCTTCAGACAACCAGCATGACAGTGATGCTGCCTTCCCACTAGGAGGGGTGGGGTTAGAAAAGGTCGATTCTGAAAATGCACACCTTGCTTTATCCCACGGATATCCGTCTCCGGCGGTAAGGTCTCAACAAGTACGGAGCTAACACAAAATTACTCATAAAATGGTCGTGTGTGATCAACCTCAAGCAGCTGTCCCTTGGGCACTGAGGTCACGCTCTCAGGTCACTAAGACCACCTCTAATCCAATTTCCTTTACAGGCACCTCCAGCAGAACCCTTCCATGTTGTGGACAACAGGGAAGTGATAACCGCCCTCATACCTCTAACAGCACTCAAGAACACTATACTTTCTTGACGATGGATGTATTAGTTCTCCAAAGTTCATCACCGTACAGTAGAACTGTCTTGACGTTCTCATTGAATATTCTGACTTTGATATTAGTTGACAAACATAAACATAAAATAAAAAAATTAAACACTTTTTTTTAAAAGATAAAACTTACTTTTTCCTCGAAGTAATTTTAATATATTTTTGTTTTTATTTTAAAATTAATATTTAATTTTAATAAAGCCATATCCAACAAATATTCAAACAATTGAATGTTCTCCATTTAATATTGAACCAATTGAAGGATGTATTCAACCATATACAACATATGAATTTATTGTACATTTTAATCCAGAAAAAGCTAATTTATATGAAGATATATTTTATTGTGATATAGAAGGTGTAAAAAAACGTTTAATTCTATCAATTTATGGTGAAAGTTTAGGACCAAAAATTAAATTCTCTTATAAATATTTAAATATGGGAAAAATTTTTATTGGTTCAAAGCATCAATATGAATTGGTTATATCTAATACTGGATTAATTGAAACAATGTTTTCAATTCATTATAAAAATAATAATAATAATAATAATCATGAAATTGATAATGTTCATATTGAAAAAGATGAGAATAGTCAAAATATAACTAAATTTAGTAAATATTTTCATCTTATACCTGATGAAGGATTAATTTGTCCTGGTGGTTATCAAGTAATACAAATTGAATTTAATTGTAATGATTTACTTGGAGAATTTAATGAAATATTTCAATTTACATTTGATGGATCATCTAATTTTGAAGAGATTACATTTAGGTAAGAAATTTGTATTAGTATTAGTATTAATCTTGTTGTTGATATTAAGGGTTGGAATTGATAAGTTAGTTTAGGCATGTGTATATGTTGAGATGATTGTATTGATATTTTTGTGAAATGAAGAATTCTTTCTCATTCTATAAGCTAGTGCCTATTTGAAATCGGTAAGTCAGTCAGTCAGCTGCAACGTAGGACCAGGCACATATATGCATCGGTCCAAGTTGCTAAACCGCATTAGCACAACAAGATGAACACCAGATTCATGGAAGTAGTGGTGGTAATATATACAAGAAAGATTGTTTATAAGGAGATAGTACAGGAAGAAAGAATTAATTGGTAGAAAGAAAGATATGAATTGATTTTAATCTTTTAGTGTAAAGGAAGACACAGAGTGTATACACCGACTCCATTGTGATTGATTCTGAGCCATGTCAGCCAGAGTCTCCAATCGTTGGTTACGATCATTGTGCGGACCCCAACCATGTAGTCTGCATCTACCAACATGGCTCTGACCAGAAGTTAGTGACTTCAAGCACTGATGCCACGTTTGAAATCGGTAGCTCAGTGGGTAACGAGTTATTAGTTTGAAATTAAAGATAATGGATTCGCATCTTGATTGAAATATCAGCATAGAGATTCTGGGACTTCCAGGTGACTAGTTCCAAATAAAAAGAAACGGATATCCTAGATTTTATTGCTAGTCACTATCTAACTTTTCTTAGAAAGGTATCATTATCTAGCACAAAAAAAACTATTTTAAAAATCACTACTATTTCAATTGCATTGCCTAATCAAACAGCTTTTACAAAATAATCTATTGTATGTAGTTTCATTAATATCCGTAAATAATCCAGCTTAGTAAGCATAGCCTAGATATAAGATAATCTTTGTAGAAAATATAAGGATAACGTTTACTAATTTTTAATGTTCCCATATAATTAATGGCCATGAAGTATTTAGGCCCATAGATAATCTGTTTAACGGGATGTGTTCAGCAGAGATCAGCTATTTACTCCCAGGTGACACTCCAAAGAATTCTGGGTTTGACTGAAAAGTAAGGGTATATTTAGACTAGTAATCAGTCAGTCAGTCAGTAACAACATGAAACTTCGTACGTACGTACATCAGATTGATTTGCCATACCACAATAGCACAGAGATTCAGTTATCGATTCAAATCCCGTAGTGGCAGGGGTAGTAAAAGTATAAGCAGTAGTCGGAATCAATAGGGTTTGAAGATGTTATTTAAGGAGTATAATACAGTGAAATAAATTTGGAAAGAGAAAAAATAGGGGATATGAATTCAGAGGATTAGAGTTTGAGAGAACACAAAGAGTGGATGCACTTGCGCCATTGCAAACGATTTTGAGCCATATCATTCAAGATCTCTAACCATCAATTGCTATCATCTCGCGGATCCTCAGAACCAGGTAGTCTACACCTACCAACATGGCTCAGTCCGCTTGTCAGTGACTTCATGGATTTGTGCCATGTTTTGGTCTGGCCGCCCCTAGCTTTCTTCCAACCTACTCCTACACCATGAAACTTCGCACGTCGGGGCAGTTGGTGGTCGGGCATATGTAACACATGTCCCAGCCATCTCAACTGATTAAGTTTCACTACTTCATCAATTGATTTGCCATCCTTACCTAGTACCCGTTTACTAACAACTATGTTACTTACTCCGTGGTCCCAGGATATACGAGCAATGTTTCGAAGACATCTATGATCGAATACTAGTAACCTACGAATATCCTCTACTCTTACCGGCTATGCTTCACTGCCATAAAGTAGGACGGATCGAACTGCTGCACAGTAAACTCGTCCTTTGGTTGGTAGACGGATATCTCGCCTACGCCACAAATGACTCAAGTTGGCAAGAGCTAGTCGAGCCTTCTGTATCCGTGCTGAGATTTCGTCACACACCAGACCACAAGGGCTGATGAGACTTCCGAGATAAGTGAAGCGGTCGACACGCTCAACTACTTCATCCCTATCACTAGTTCGGGTGGCGGTGCAACCCAATCCTGAAGCAACATTTTGCATTTCGAGGGAGAAAATTGCATGCCGAACATGCCTGCATTGTTGCTGAGAGTGGTCAGCAGACTCTGCATTTTGTCAGCGTCTTCACCAAATAGAACTATGTCATTGGCATACTCTAAGTCAACAAGTGAATCTCCCGGTAGAAGTTCAACCCCTGTAAACTCAGATGTGGAAAGCGTTATTTCTAAAAGCACGTCAACGACAAAGTTAAACAAGAATGAATAGAGTGGAAAGCCCTGACGAACACCACTTGAGGTAATCAGTTCTGATGACAGTTTGCCATAAGCTCTCACTCGACCAGTTGTGTTCGAGTAGAGAGCCTTTATAAGGTTAATGTACTTCTTTGGTACTCCTTTCAGTGACAAACACTGCCATAGAACCTCACGATCAACAGAGTCAAATGCCACCTTAAGGTCGAGAAATCCTACCATTGTGGGGCTTAGACTAGTAATAAGACTAAAGAAGAATAAAAATATAATTTTAAAAGAGATTTGTTAAAGGAATAAAGAAGATATGATGACAAAAATGTGTCACTATGATTTAGTCAATGTGTTAGGTTTTAAAGAGAATTACCAGGAAATCCTAAGTGTTGATTTCGTGCTACTTAGCATTAATCAGCATAAGAGATACGGAACAGAGAAGGATTTGATGTTCCTTTCTAAATTCCAACACTTTTCATCCTTTATCAGAGTGTGTAGTGTAAGCATTGAGCTATTTATGCGAACTCTGATTATACACTCAACCTCTAATCAGGATTACCTATTGATTAGATTCAACCGTTTAACATTAAATGAGGTGTTATATGATATCAAGTCATATAGATTATTTTCCGTACGTCAATTTGATACGTAGAATTTGATCAGAACTACAGAATAGAGAACATGATATTATTTACTATTCAGTGATCGATTGACGCAAGTATACAAAAGCTTAACAATTGATATTATTTCTTTAGACCATATGACTTAACCGGCAGTAATTCAATTAAATAGTCCAAATGGTAATGAATGAAGTGAAAATTGTTATGTCCCGATAAGTATAATGAATGCTAACTTTTGGGATCTATTTATGGAACAATACTATAAGTATATTTTTATCGTATAATTGTTAAATCACTAAACTATTCATATTCGTGTTCCACTTATCATAAACTTTATTTTGACCTATGAACTATTACTCTACGATTTACCATTCTTGAATTATGCCGTCTATTGATCACTACCTCCCACATTCACAGACACATTTGGCCAAATCTTGTACAAATGTTATTTTGTATTTTATGATACGTTGTGGTCTGTTTGATTGGTATATAAACCGAGTATGTTTGAAATAAATGATTCATATTGCAGAGGCTTAGATTGGTGTTCTGGATTTAACTGGCTGGGATAGGTAGGAAGCAGGACCGATAAGTACTCTAGACTGCTTGTACGAGTTTCACGCGTCATTGGTCCGATTGACAATTCACTGCTCTCTAATTGGCGGTATCGTTACGTTATACATTAGCAGGGCACATAGACCACAAGTTGTAACAAAAATAAGACTTACATTATTCCGTTTTAAGGTTTATACATAGTTTTATATTTTACTCTCGATTATTTACTATCACGAAGAAGGTTTAAGAATGTCTCAGAATACTTAATGTCTGGAGGTATTTTCTTAAAGTAGTAGAGTATAAAAATATCAACAAATGATTTGTGTCATTTAACTGAGTCCATAGACTTGACTACTTTAAAACATTCATTATTGATGTACAATTTAAAATTTTTCCAAGTCAATCATTATTAATAACTATCATCGGATCTTAATTTTTCTTCAAAATGTCAATGTTGTGTTTTCAAATATTCATATTGTGTAACTATTTCTATATAATACAGAAGTTCTATTATTATTTTATTTAATTTATAGTGGTACTGTGGTTGGACCAACATTTCATTTTGATGTTCCATCAGTGGAATTTGATCAAGTTTCTTATGGTAAATCGATAATTATGATATATTGATTTACATTTTTATTTTTATTGATTGAATATTAAAGATCAGTGTTAATTTATATGAACATTGGTCAAGATATAAACTAGTAGTCTGAGAGAACTTGGGCTCTGAGCATACAGAACATATTCAATGTAAAACTGTATTTAAATAATAATAGATTGTACTCGATTCTACCTTACTAAATTCTAGTCAAATTTTAAGAAGGAACTTTAAAATTATTTAGATTTTTATCATAGATTACTAGAGCAAAAATGGACAGTGGCTAACAGTGAAATCCAGGACTCGCGTCTCCTCCTACTTGGAACTCGTCAGCGGATGCGCCTGCACTCTGGGACTCAAACCCATTACTGTTCACTTCAAACAAGATCGTCTTATCCACTTAGCTACGGAGTCCTGATAGTCACCTGCTTGTGCAATCGAATGAAGTTTAGATTCACTTGGTGTTGTTTTACTTGTATCTTCCCACCCAGCTGACGAGTTCCAAATAGGACGAAACGTGTTTCCTGAATTCCACTGCTAGTCACTATCTATCTTTGCTTGAAAATCTTGTGACTTAAGGATATATCAAGGCAATCCACACAGAATGCACATATTGCCAACAAGAGACTGATCAATTACAGTCATAAATAACGATGGGAAGATACAAGTAAAACAACACCAAGTGAATTTACAGATTATTTAAATACGATTTTTACATCAAAACATTTATGTTACTATTAGTAGTATGTGATTATACTTTCGATTTACTGTGTAGTTTATTTTCAGTAATCAATGATATATTGACTGCGATTACATTAGAGACTATTTAACGTAGACTATATCACCTATAAGAGTTTAGCATATTGATTTTATGAGTGTTATGGTTTAATAATCTTTGTTTGCACCAAGCAAAATCTCATGATACGATTTTGAAGAATATTTTAAAGTGATCACGAATCATGAACAATATCCTAACACCTCTTTCTAGTTATTCAGTAATGTGAAAGTACGAAACGCTTATCTACAGCTAAGCGTATGGTGTAAGTGAATATAGTGAAATATTTCCAGGCAATGTAAGCTACAAAATTAGTTAATTATGATTGATCAAGCAAAAAATTTCTGTCGAAGTAGTTCAAATAATTGACATATAGAAAATGAACTACTTAATTGAATAGTTTTGTTTAAATTTAAATACACTTTAGGTTGTACACTGATAAACACTAATAAATCAGGACAATTTGTGAGTGGTTGAATACAATGATGGTAATTACACAATTAAAATAATTGAAAAATGTATAACTTTAAAAGTGTTATGATATGTGCAGTGGTAGCAGCAACATTCTAAATGCATTGTAACTTGGAAAATTAATCACTGAAAATTACACATTATTGAAAGATTAGGTTTAGGAATAATTAAATTCTGATTGCCAAATGTAGTATAGGAAATATTCAGTCAGCCTGTTAGTGCTTTTATAGGTGTATGGGTGGTCATTACTTCGCGATCGTTCATACCGTGGAAGATTATTTCTTATTAAGTTATCTGGAAAATAATTTGAGTTTATAGTGGTCTTGGTAACGTGGAAGCATGACCACAGGGCCAAAGTAACAACTCTTGGAGCTGGTCATACACGGTATTTCTACGAGTATTTCTAAATGTATGGGTTCCATAGTTCAAAGTAGTTATCAACGGTTATATAAATCCGTGTGGTGGAGTAAAATTCGGAATGTTTAAAGCAGAAGATTTCTGAAACTTTTCTTGTATTACAAGAAAGAAGGGTCACCCTAACGCTGGTTGTCCAGGCGAAACGCCTTATTACCGGAACACTCCAGTTCAGTATTGACTATGACTTAACCATTTTACCTTAAGTCTATTACTTTCATTCATCCACCCACCCACCTGGAATGGTAGGACCTAAAGGAAAAAGTGTTCCAGTCAATATGGCTCAGTTTGGTCATCATGTTAGGCGAGCCAGATCACCATATAGAAGTAGTGGCTACAGTTCTGGAAGAAATAAATCTACTACAGAGAACTTTTTAATATAAATATTAAAACAGCCTAATCAAATAATCATAGTTTAATCTTAAATAAGAGAGTTTGTACCTCATAATACGATAGAATGTGATAAGATATCCATACATTCTAAGTTTGATCCCATTTGAGATCTTGGATACCACTTATTGAAGGATTTAAAGACGGAAAAATTGACAACTGTCTAGTATTTTCTGGCTTTGTCTCATTCTCTGATTAACTTCAGTTAGAGAAGAATACCAATGTCAGAATATTTTAAGTTTTAGCATGTAATTACTTAAAGTGACTGTGTGTATAATATGAACTGTTTTATGATTATCACATTCTTAGTCCTAACCTACGTTTACAAATATTATACTGCATATTTTATTATTTCATATGTAACTATTCTAAAAGGATTTTCGAAAGAGAAAATTATAACTTTGCATAATACTTCATTTATACCAATGGATTTTATTCTTCGTATCACTGATGATGATGATAATGATGATGATATGGACGGTGATACTAACAACAAACAAGATGAACAATTGAATATTATATCAAATCATAATTTAAATTTACATAAATCATTTAATAATGCATCATTTCAAATTACTCCAGAATATGGTAATGTACTTCCAATGAGTTCAATAAAAATATCCATACGATTTAGTCCAAAATATTTAGGTTTTAAAAAGTATAAATTAATTGTTGATGTTATAAATGTTGGGAAAAAAGCACATTGGTTACCAATATCTACTGAGTAAGTTATATAAACCATTGAAAATGTTTTGAAAAAAACAAACAAACAAACAACTCTATTTCAAATATTGAAGTTTGTCTAGCTGTTTAACTATGTTTTATCCGGGTGATGTTAGTTTGTTAGAGGAAATCTAGGGAAAAACAATGTAGTGAATTGTGATTTCCTGCCTTTTAAACCTCGTTATTAATGAGTTCCGATACTTCAGTTCAACTGGAGATCAGTTACAGACTGAATAATAGTATAAGGTATTTGATTATAAAACTAGAAAGAAAATTAATTTCCTCAAAATTTTAAATATACGTGATAAAAGATTATCAACATTCGTGTTACGTAACTTTAGAAAACGCGTGTCTCCATGTTAAGTCGTTTAGAGTAGTTGTTTACGAAAAAAAACTAGTCAAGGTTATACGAATATTCGTCAAGATTAGTTTGACAGAAATTGGGCGGCGAGTATAGAGAAGTCATTATTTGTGGAAATTATATTTGAAATAATTTCAGCGATTAAAATTTAAATAATTCCAACGTTTCGTCTAGCTAACATGTCTGGACTTCTTCAAAGTCATTGCCCTGATTATTCATTTGAAGAAGTACAGACAAGTTAGCTGGACGAAACGTCAGAATTATTTAAATTTCAATCGTTGAGATTACTTCAGATATAATTTTCATATATATTGAAGGTTAATCTGTAATAAATCTGGCTTTACTTTGGGGGAATTTTAATTCTGTTCATTTAAAGAAAACAGGCAATTATTAACAAAATTCACCATATAAATAACTGGAAATTGTTATTTTGTTGTATCATTATCAAATATTCATGGAACGTCATAACGCTGAACTTAATAATTATGGCATCCATAAAATGCTCTTGTGCAGTTTCAAATGGGAAAATTATGTTATTACATAAATCGTTTGCAATTGAGCAGGTGCATCCACCCTTTTGTGTTTTCCCAAATTCTAATCTTCTGAATTCTTTATGTCACTTTTTTATTTTTCCAAATTTATTTCATTGGATTATACTCCTTGAATAACATTTTCAAATCCTAATGTTTTCGATCACTGATTATACTTTTACTACCTCTACCACTATGAGATTTGAAAAGACAATTGTATCTGTGTATTAATGTGGTATGGCAATTCGTACTGATGTACGTATGCACGAAGTTCTACGTTGTGGCTGATTGACTTTGCATTGGCTGTTGTATTTATTTGATTAAAATCTATTCAGACATTTCACGGATTAATATCGAATATTTCATTTGCATTCCATAGTATATATGTAATATGATGAAAGTTTTTCGGAGATTTTTCAGTTTGGTTATGTCGACAGTGAGAAACTTAATATTGATGATAATGGATGATGGTTTTTTGACATCACAAGTTGACTAAAATTGGTAATGTGAACCATTAAGTACCGTTGCAGTGAACTTCAGGTAACATGTTTGTACGAGTTTTGAAAACAACACATTTGTTCTTTTGTGGGGTTTTCGCTGTGCTTTAATATCTGATATTCTGATGTTTATTGTGCTTTGAGATTGAAAAGATGTCTAGCAGAAGCTAGTTTGTGCCGAAAATCTTCAAAACTGCAGATATATATATATATATATATATATATATATATATATATATATATATATATATATAGTTACTTGTATTGCTAGAAATATCAAGTATAATTTGACGTTTTTCCACACAGGGCTATCCGTCCAGATGTAATTGTAACACCAGAATTGATAAATTTGAAAAGATGTTTTATTAATTATCCTTATACCATTGAAGTAACATTAACAAATCAATCAATCGAACCAGCTAGTTATCAATTTATTGAACAATTATCAACAGTAAAAGAAGTAAAAACTATTACAAATCAAGAAAAAGATTCTAGTGAAGATTCCAAGTTACAATATTGGATAAATAATCCAGAGGTAGAATATCTCTATTACAATTATTATTTGATTTTGTTTTTAATGTACTCAATTTTAACTACAACGTTTTCAACGTTTAATTAAACTGTTTTGATATAAGACTAAATGTAAGAGTTTTGAAATCCAATACAAGTCACCATTAAGATGTTACTATGCAATAAAGAATAAAGATGAAAAATAATCATAAAAGTAGGGAGAGTAGAGTGAATGTAAATTTGAAGTAATATAATGTTTAAAATCAATATAATTATATCACAGTAATTGATTTTATATGAAGCCTCCTAAAATCTTCAACAGAGGATATCTTAAAATTTAAGCAAACAAAGAAAAATTCCTATAGTTAGTTAGTCACATGCAACATAGGACATGACATACAGTTAAATTTCTAAACTTCTGTAAAGGGTTCATCTAAGGAATCAGTAATTTTATATTTTAATATTGTATTATGCGGTTACTAGACATTGTACATGCAGCAATTCGAATGACTCTCCCAGTCTCCCACATTGTACGAGCATTCCATTTATCTTAATTAATTGTTGCTCTGGCTGTCAGAAGGGACATCAGCCTCGTGAGTTCCGAAGAAACTCGGCTTTCATCATGAAACGTCATAACTCTTCCAAATGGAGGCCTTAAAACTCTCAAAGCAGAGTTTAAATGGTTTGAATTATTATTTCTGGTTAGCGCTTTTTAGCGAGTTAGTTTTCTACGGGATGGGGTCGCTAGCCCCATACTCAACCTTCCTCCTTTATCTGGGCTTGAGATCGAGTGTATTCCCAGAGGGGCTCCTGGCGGAGTTAGCCATTTTACATAGCTGTTCATAATTCTTTTTATTTATTCTAAAATGTGATTAGATAGAATTTATTTCCTAAAAAAATTTAATTAAATTTCCGATGACTGATTAATTCATCAAGATATAAAACGTGTCTGTTGTCAGAGTTGAAAATAATCAACAACTCTTAATTGATCAGACCTCTAGATATAAGATTAACGTCTGAGAGTTCATTGGTTAATAAAATTTCCTTATTACTTTTTTAATAGTTGAAATCATGAATCAATTAAAGCTAGAATACCATGGAAAACCTGGAAGCACTAGACGACCGTTTCGTTCTAGTTTGGGACTCCTCAACAGTGCGCATCTACGAACCCTCCTTGCGGGATTCGAACCCAGTGCTTCCAGTTCTTCCATGGTGATCTAGCTTTAATTGACTCATGATTTCAACTATTGAAATTTCTGAAATCTCCAAAAAACCCCTTCTGTAATTACTTTTTATCTTGTTATTTGTACTATTTTTTCAATTATTACTGAATTTATTACCGTATGCTTTAATGAGCATTAGAAATTTGTACGAAACCACCTTGTGCTCATTTTTTAGATCCAATCAATCAGTTAAAACATAGGACTAGGCACATATATACATCGGTCCAAGTTGCCTCTCCTCATTAGCACAACAAGATGAACATCAAATTTGTAGAAGTAGTCAGTTCAATGGTAGTAATATATATAAGAAAGGTTGCATATAAGGATGTAATAAAGGGAGAAAGAATTAATTCGCAGATAAAAAGATATAAAACAGTTTTGATCACGCAGTTTAAAGGAAGACAGAGTGTATTCACCGACGCTATTGTAATCGATTCTGAGCCATGTCACTCAGAGTTTTCAACCATTGGTTACAATAGTCGCGAGGACCCTAACCAAGTAATCTGCGTCTAACAACATGGCTCAGACGAGAAATTAGTGACTTCAAGGATTGGTCCCACATTTATACATTTAAACTATTTCCATTTAGTTAAAACACTATGATCGATTATAAATATTTAACTGGCTTATGTTTATACACTTCGAACAGACCAACTTCTAAAACCAGGTAAGGTAAATGTGACTAGAAATACTGTAAATTCAAACCTGGATGTATTAAATACTATTTGCTTTACCATTGTAATTATTATGGCTTTCACTAGGATCATGAAATGTTCTTGATTTAACTGGATAGATCAGCTATTTCCACTTATATTTAAAACTTATGATAACGCTATGTAACCTTTTTTTGTGAATACTTGTAACCTGTAATTCTTCCGGTAGTCGGTTAATCTAAACCTAAATGGTTCAAATTGAGACTTTAAGATCCATTAAAAAGAAAACGCTCACAATATTGTTATGTATGTTACGTAGCGTATCCATCAAGTACAGATTTATATGCTCATCTTTGAGTCTCACTCTATTTAGAGAATAATCAGCCTAATTGGCTAGTCAAACTGAAGTAGGTTGAACGATGTTTGGTTATCAATTCAATACTCTAACTAGCAAGTTATTACTTTAATCTCTTGATGCTGAGAGACTAATTATCACTTGAAATACTCATAGTGTGTAGAAGTTTGAGAGACAATAAGCAGTAGGGTTTTAACTTACATGTATAAGGATGCAGTTTCTATAATATATTACATTTTCTTACAGGGATTTATTAATGGATCAAATTCTGTTAAACTGTCGATAACATTTAAAGCAAAAGTATTAGGATCAATCACAAGTGAATTATATTTCAAAATTTGTGGCATCAATGAGAACCCATTGGTAAGTGTCTTTAAAATTAATCAATATTCTACCATTATTAAAAGGCGACAATGTTCCATTCGTAAACCTTTTAACTGATAAGTATATGGTATTGGTCAAGGAACAGTTTCGTCTTTAAACAATTAGATATAAATATATATGTAAATTAGTGCTTATCCATGAGATTTGGTCTAACCCAATAAACTTTCTTTTTCACTCGTAGACTTCACACACGATAGACGGTTTAGGGTTTCGGTATAGGTAGTTTGTGTATCAGTATCAAACTCAGAAAATATGTGTTTTAATACTCACCGGTTTAAGTGACCTAATATCGCATACACTATGTTTTGACGTTATATATATAATAGTCATCATACTGATACTTCTAATCAATATAATAAAACTGCGTGAATATAATGGAAACATGGGAGAGATGTAATGTCTTGGTTATTACAACAGTAGTTTGAAAACATAAATGAGACTGTTTCATATGAAAGGTACAATACAGTTAATGACATAAACGAGTGTTAAGGATAAGAGTTTGTAATTTAAACTGTAATGATCTTGTTTTGTACTTTAAAATAATCAAACCATGTGAGAGCATTTTCTTCTTAAAATAAAATTCAAATGGAAAATCAGTAAATTTCGATTAGTTGGTAGTGTAAACTATGCACATTCTACACTTTCAACAAACATCCCTAAAGGAGTCAAGAAGTTAAACAAGTAATGTATAAATATCAATCTCTGTTGTAGACTATAGGAATTTTTTAAATTCATTATGACATTAAGTTTTTCAATATGAATGAAAGAGAGATATGGATGTAGGATCAGGTGACCCAACTACAAATCACGAAATGCCAGATAGGCATAACTGTCTGTGATGTAAATAAAATTATGATTTGGCTCATAGATTGAATACAATTAGTTGAATTGTCAAAAAATAATCAGAGGATTCTGCATTTTCTTCATTTACAATTGCTATTCTGATAATAAAGAACAACTTAACGTACTAGTGTAGTGATCAAGAACTTGAGTGGAGAAAATCGAACGCGGTCGATATGAAATTACAAAGAATCTCACTAAAATCTGAGAACCATGTAGTAAATAGTTAATTTGCAAAATATCAATCCATCGTTTCAAACCTGACTGTTCCTTTTGCAAATATCAGTCCATTATCTCAGATTTCATTGTTCATGCATTTTCATACCAATTGCGTCCCGTTTCCGTTCTTTCCTTATCGGTCTCCTACTGAATTACATTTTAAGCCTGACCACCGTTATATACTACTTATATGGATATAAGTAACCCACAACACACTAGCACTTACATAATATTAGAACTTATCAATATGATCATTTATCATCAGTTAACCAACTTACACTGTTTATAGATGACTTATATTACGAACTATTATTAGTTAATGAAATACTAAAATTCAAACAAAGTCAGAATAACAATTGGTGACGAACAATGTGATTTCACTAGATTTAGTGATTCTTTATCAGTTGCCAACAATATAATGAATTCATATTATTCTCCCTCAAGTCTTGTTTTTATATTATTCAAATTCGTTGGCCGCTCTCAACTATTGTATGCTCATAACCTTACCAGGGCTCGAATCTAGGACATATGATGCCTATTTAATTAGTACCATGTAGTTTACATTTTCAGCTTTTGTTAGTTCAACTATTATCTAGTACTATCACTGACAACTTGTCTTCTTGATGAAATGATTGAAATCTATCAATCAGTTTTTAACAACTACTATTTCCAAGTTCAACTTACCTCTATAAACTGCTTAACTAAAAAGTTTATAAAATATTTTACTATTTTCTTTTCTTTAATAAAATACAGAAAATACCTGTAAAATGTATGGGAGAAGGTCCAGTGTTACATGTTGATCAAACAAAATTAGAATGGGGAACAATACCTGTATTGCAACCAGTTGTTAAAATATTAAGAATTTCAAATGAATCCTGTATTGATGCTAATTATAATGCTAAGCTTGTGAGCCTCTTCTTTTTCACTAGTAACATTCAATATAAACATTTTCCATTATGTAACTATGTCATTCTTGAAATTGTACACTGTTATTGGCTTCTTACATGAAAAGGGAAGTTGATTTAAAAGAATTATTGACAGTTGACTAAAAAGCATTTGACGATTCCAAATTAACAGATCACACAATTAGCTTATTATGTGTGGTCAGTAGTGGTGTACTGTTTTTATCAAACATAAATTTCCAGTGTAGATCTGTTTGGTGACAAAATACGTCTTCTATCCACTTTATCCAACAATACAAGTATATTTTGGATGTGATTATCTCCGTCCAAATGCAAAATACTGTTTTAGGACTGGCCTGTGTCAATACTTGAATTGATTGTAGGAAGTGAACCAGTTGAGAGTATCGACTGCTTTTTTTTAATCGGGAGTCTCATCAGTCCTGATTGTTTTGTGTGTGAAAGAATCTCGACACGGATTCGGAAAGCTTGATTACTTTTTGCAAACTTGAGTCACTTGTGGAGTAGGCGAGATATCCGTCTTCCAACCAAAGGGTGAGTTTATTACGCAGCAGTTTGCTCTGTCCTACATTATGGGTGTGAAACATGACCATTAAGAAAATAGGAAATTCGTAGGTTTCCAATATTCAACTATAAGTATCTTCAACGCATTGCTCGTGTTTTTGGGAATTAATGATTATTGTGTTAGGAATAGGATACTATATAAGGCTAAGGTAGTAAATCCTCATCAACTCAGGTGGTTGGAACATGTTTTACATATGCATAATTACCACCTACATTAACGAACGATGTTGTTTGATATAGAAGTAGGTTGGGACAAAAACAGGGATGGATAAATCAAAATACGGCTCCAGTCTATTAGGTCATTAACAAGTGGACTGAGTTATGTTAACATATGGAGAGTACCTGGTTGAGGTCCGCGCGATTATCGTACCTAATATAACAGATTGTTCAAAATATTTCTCCCTCTCACAGGTATACTACGATAATACATCATACGATAATGAAACTAGTTACATTATATCAGATCCAGGATTCACGACCCACAATAAAGAACCTAAATAATACTAGATACCACTTAATTCAACATAATTACAAGCAGTCACACTCAATGAGTCCAAAGTAGAAATCACATGTTTAGTAGTCAATAGGCTAAGTGCCTGTTTATCCATTCTCAGTGAACGATCATATTTTACTCTCACTATCATACACCAGTAACTTATCGTTAGAATTTTGTTGGTGTGGCTCAAAATCATTTGCAATGGCTCAGGTGGATTCACTTTTTTATCTTCGTTTAAATCTTAAGTTTCTAGAGTCCCATACTAGGACGAAACGTCCGTCCAGTGCTTCCAGGTTTTCCATGGTGGTCTAGCTTCAATTGATTCATGATTTCAACTATTGAAATTACCAATTCTCCACAAAACCCATTCTAGTAATAATCATCTGCTCACTAGTGACTGACTTCAAGAGGCATTTCCTGGAGTTCTAGTGAGAAGCCATGATCAGCGGACTTCAACCAGGTCTGTTGTGAGATATCAGCTCATTGAAGATAATAGTGTACAGTGGCGCAATTTCGTGGATTGGTTGAAGCTAGACATTAACACTATTGGATGCCAATCGTCTCAGTGGTCTAGTGGTTAAGCATTCGCGCGCGAGACTGATAGGTCCTAAGTTCGAATCTTATGAGGGGCGAGATCATGGATGCTCACTGCTGAGGAGTCCCGTACTAGGACGAAACGGCCGTCCAGTGATTCCAGGTTTTCCATGGTGGTCTAGCTTCAATTGATTCATGATTTCAACTATTTTATTATTTCATTAATCTACATTTTCTTGAATCGTATCTTCAATGGATAATCCTTTATCGTTTTATTCATACATTTAAAAAATGTATTTGCCAGTGAGGTAAAAGGGTCTTTCATGTGTTAGCTATGAGGAATTCAGATTTAACCAAGTAGAAAATAGGCAGAAGCATATTGAGTAACTTGAAATGTTAAGAATAAAGAACTAGAAAATCTGATTACTACTTTGTTTTTATTCTTACACCCATAGAATTATCATACTTTATTAAAGTAGTTATTGTTTTGGCAATGGCTTCTGAACATTTTAATGCTGTTTAATTTTTGCATAATGTTTAACATATTTCATTTGATGTGAATGATTAATTTCAATTTTCATTATTAATCATATTAGGTACGAAATGATACTGTTTATAAAGTTGAACCATATTCTGGAAGTATTCCAGGTTATAGTCATATAGATTTGAATATAATTGCAAATCTAGATGATATTATATTATTTAAAGATCAATTAATTGTACAAGTTGAAAATACTTCAAAACCATTAAAAATTGAACTATGTGCAACTGGTCAAGGTGGTACAATTGTAACACAACCATCAATGGGTTCTGTATTAAATTTAGGCAGTCAGTTTAGTGTTAATCCAATGAGAAAATATTTTAAAGTTATAAATAAAGGAAGGAGGTCACAACAAATAATTTGGTCTATTGATGGACAATCACCACGTAAATCAATCCATATGGATGGTCAAGTTAGTTTTCATGTTAATAAGTTTATAAATGTATTTGTTTATCTGTTTGATAGTAATAAACATTTAGTTTAGTGTTCAAATTAGATTAATCAAATGTATAATAAATGTTTAAGATTTAATGATTTGAAGTACATTCTTGTAGGGACCTACTTAATACTCGTAATCAGTTTTTGATGGAGTTTTGTTCTCTGATCTGGATGGTGTGGTCGTGTAGCTTTCATCGTTCTTCTGAACGACATGATGATGAACAAAACTTCACCAAAATCATCCACCTGAACTACAAATCTCCACCAACTCGTAATCAGTGCCTCCTTCTAAATTTTGGACCTTGGCATCATTTCATATCTTCTATTCTTTGATATTGTTTGTCCTTTTTAAATTACATCATTCATGTAAACAAGAAAGAATAATAGTGACTTCAGGATACAATGAATTCATAGTATTTCGTTGTTTTCTTTTCAGATGCCTACAACCTGTTATGTTTAAAAGTTTCCATTGGGTAGCATAATGCTAAAAAAGAACCGTTAATTGATAACGAGTAAACTGAGTATAATGTGGAAGAAATTAAGAATTAAAGTTTGTTATTATAACAAAATCTAGGAAACATAAGGAGAAAACTTGGATATGTGAGGTCAAACCACTGATATGTTATCAAAGTAGTTTTAGATTAACTACGAACTATTTTTAAATGCATAGGTCAAGTTTTAGTTTTTGATTGCTATAGCTTCTAAGAATTCTGATGACATGGAATTACTCTGTTTCATAATTAGTTTGAATGAATTACTGAAATCGATATTGAGGTTCATGTCTAGTGGGTAGTATACCAGTAAACTTGGTAATAAACTTTGTCGTTTAAGGCACAGGGTTTTGGAATATGCTCATACTAGCTTGTATGTAGCATAAGAGGAAAAAGTGAAAGACTATCAAATTGTCGTACTCTGCAAATATTGTCATTCTTACTTGGTTTTAATTTGTGACGGAACCAATTTTCATATATTCTTCGTTGAAGTAGAAATTAATTCCTCTCCTTTAGTTTTTGTCATGTCGAATTTTTCTGATATTGCCTCGTTGAGTGTTGCAGCAGCTTTAAATAAACTAAATTATTTTCTGGGCCTGTGTTTCTAACATCTCAATGACCTGGTGATTATGTTTGAACCATACGCTTTGTTGATCCTAATCAATCTAAAATACTGTAATTTGTTTTACTAAAGGAATTGCTAACGAAATTCTACAATAAATCGGCGAGAAAGTAGAAAGTGTGTAATAACTGTAAGAATAAAACAAAGCTGGTACCAGTAATTTATAATCATATACAGTTGATGTAGATCTGAGTAGTGACCACTATCATGTATGCCATGTACTTTTTAGCTCTGGTTGAACTCTGTCGATTATTTTTCAATATGGTCACTAATATAAATGATCCGACATCGCATGCACTGTGTTGAGATATAAGATAGTGGTTAGAGTTGGTTGACAGAGCGTATCAATCCTCCTAAGATTACAGATACACGATGCTGACAAGTGCCAAATAGACAAAAACCTGGGTTTTAGGGGTTTACTGCCATCTACCTCCAACTACCATCTTACAGATTACAAGCATATTTAATAACTAAAGAACGTCTGAAATTGAGTATAATTGTGATGTATATTCAATCTTATTACGGATATAACTAAAAGTTTGGCTTCGTTAAACCACTTGCTCTATAAATTATCTAAGTCTCGATTAACATTTCTAAAGAGTTGATTTCAGATTTTGTTATGATTTGATTGCTTCTGTAATATCTTGAGTCCCATACAATCTTCCCAAGTTTTCAAATCCTAATTTTTTATTGCATCTAAACGAGTACTAGGTAAGGATGGCAAATCAATTGATGAAGTAGTGAGACTTCATCAGTTGAGATGGCTGGGACATGTGTTACATATGCCCGACCACCAACTGCCCCGACGTGCGATGTTTTATGGTGTAGGAGTAAATTGGGAGAAATCTAGGGGCTGCTGGACCAAAACATGGCACAAATCCATGAAGTCACTGACAAGTGGACTGAACCATGTTGGTAAATGTAGACTATCCAGTTCCGAGGATCCGCGAGATGATAGCGATCATCGATGGTTAGAGATCTTGAATGACATGTCTCAAAATCGTTTGCAATGGTGTGTCCAGGTGCATCCACTCTTTGTGTTCTCCCAAATTCTAATCTTTTGAATTCTTCATGTCCCTTGTTTCCTCTTTCTAAATTTATTTTATTGGATTATACTCCTTGAATAACATCTTCAAATCCTAATTTTCCTATTATTACTTATACTCTTACTACCTCTACCACTACGGGATTTGAATCGACAATTGTATCTGTATGCCAATGTGTTATGGCAACTCGAACTGATGTATGTACGTGCAAAGTTCTACATTGTGACTGACTGACTGGTCTAAAAGTTCTCAAATAACTGAGAGTTATCGAGTTAATGTTTTAAACTTTTGTTAGTTACCTTGTGTTCTTTTAAGATCATACCATCGACTAATTATCTGTTAGTTTTATCGCTATTAGCATCTAATATAACGATGAAACAGTTTCTTCAGTGTGAAGTAATTTTCTGTTTTGAAATGTACCTCCTACATTTGGGATTATTACAAACCACGACGATAGAAGCAATAAAATGAATATACAGTTGTCTTTCTATTTGTTACTGTCTATAATTTAAATAAGACATCAAAGCTAATAAATAAATTTCTACATTCATCAGAAAAGAACTTGAAACACTATGATATTCTTAATCAATTATCTCATATTATTAATTAAATAATCAGTGTAAGATTACCTTTTAATAAGATTTCCACTGTGGTGTGTGCTACTTATATCGACATAAGTAGCATATAACGCAAGTTAAGAATATAATGTATGGAAGCAGAAGATGAAGAAGATCGAGAAGGAGATAACGGGAACAGAAAGTAACTGGTATGGAGGTGCAGGAAAAATAAAGTATTAGACAATTAACGAACATTTTACAGATCAAGTATTAGAGTATGTTTTTTCTATTTTACCAAGTAACCCCACTTAGTCGAAGCCATACTTTGAAAACTAAATCACTTGATCAGAGATTGATCATGTATTTATATTGAGTTGAAATTCTGTCGTTTTATCAAGAAGTCGTAACTGGTACAATCTAATCACATGTTGGGAGTAAAATAATTGGTTAACCAACATTATCGATGAATGATGTTGGATTGTACGATAAAATGGTTGACTTAATAAGTTCAAGGATAACTGACTGATTACAATCTTATTGTCTGAGGCTAAGAAACGGATAATATGATATCATGTCGTTTCTTAAAATTTATTAGATAATAATCTAATTATTAAGTGAATGTTCGTTTTGGAAACTCAGGTTATTTACTACTACGAAAATACTTTTTTACGAATATTATCATATAATACTCAAAAGAAGAAGCAAACAGTAATGTCTATTTAAAGAGCTCGTTCAACATTAGTATCATCATTTCTTTTGTTATAATTTCACTATAGTTATCAGATAAATCGGAATCAAGATGGTCAATTACACCACATCGTTTTGATCTTAATCCAGGAGCATCTACAGAAATTTGTCTAGAAGTTCAATGTGATAGGTGAGTTATTAGCGAAAACAAAACTTGCGAAATAAAATCACTAATAATAAGGAAAACATAAAATAGCCAAGGTTGGACTTGAAAGTTTCAAATAAATTGAACATTGGGTCGAGAGTTAATAATAAATATACTGGTGAGACTATAATTTATGGACGACAATTGAACGACGCTAGACTAATCTTGAAACTGTTCACCTAATAACCAGGACTAAATGAGGGTTATGAACCTGTGTGAGAAATTAAAATTATAATTTACAGTTCATGATTAAGATCAGGAATTAGATTTAGGGTTATCATCATGAATTGACATCAGCTATAATCCCAAGACTCTATTTATCGAAATGGATTAATGAACTTCGCGCCAAAATCCGAGACCTGTTATCTAATACGTGACTGGTTCCACCATAAATTATAGTCTCGCCAATGTATTTCATTTTTTGCATCCCAATGAGTAGAAAGATTTTATTTCTGATGTTTCGTGACTTATTGTAAGTCACTACTTCACATTAAATAACGTCAGAAATACAACTTTTCTACTCATTGAGATATAACAAAAGGATATACTAAATTCACTTGGTGTTGTTTTACTTGTATCTTCCCATTGTGATTTAGGACTGTAATTGGTCAATCTCATATTGGCATATGTACATCCTGTGCGGATTGCCTCGATATAGCCATTAGTCACAAGCTTTTTAAGCAAAGATGGATAGTGGTTAGAAATAAAATCCAGGACGCACTTTTCGTTCCATTTGAACTCGTAAGCTGGATGGAAAGGTACAAATAAAACAACACCAAGTGAATTTGAACGTTGCTCGATTCCACAAGCAGCTGTCTATTAGAGCTCAGTAGCTAAGTGGATAACACGATGGTGTTTGAAGTGAATGGCAATGGATTCGAGTCCTCGAGTGAACATCAACTCTTGGATGCAGGCTCATCCAATCGATGAGTTCAGATGAGACAAAACGCGCGTCCTAGATTTCACTGATAGCCACTAACCATCTTTGCTTATAAAAGGATATATTATTAATATTAATACTACTCAAATTCAGTGATTATATACGAAGATTAAATTTCAATCCAAATCTAATATTGAGTCAGATATAAGCAACGTAGAATCTGAAGTATTAAAGCATCAGTTCTTAACAAATTAGTATAGTGTGATAAATTTTTCAATACAAATTCTAGAGTACTAGAAGTGTAGCGTATGCTAACTATATCGGCAGACAAAAGTAGTATGTAGCACCAATCAAGAGTTGAATAGCTGACATCAAAAAGCTAAGATCGAGTTGAACGGAATAGAAGAGGAAATAGAAAGGAATTGTGAATCGGAAAAATCATACAGTGTGAAGGATAAATGGTGGAAATTTGTAAATACAGTATTCAATGTATGGTTCTTATATTTTACCGAGAGATTATGTAATTTAGTATTAATATATATTGGTTGTCTCCACCTGTGTTCTTGTTCACAACAGAAGCAGTAACATGATCAGTGATATTAGAAAGCATAATCAATAGATAGTAAAACCTAGGAGGTAAAAAATAATTTGTGGGATGAGAAGCATAAGATAATTTTGAAATTTATGGTTTAGGGGAAGACTGAAACCATTACCAACTATTCGGAGACATTTGTAGGTATCATTACCAAGGTTTGATTTGATAATTTCGAATAAATTGATTCTTGTATTGTTCCGTTGTACTATTTAAACTTGGATTAATTTTAATTTGGTTATTTATTCTCTGAAGAAGTGACTTACACTAAGCCACGAAACGTCAGAAAATCTAATTTTCTACTCATTGGGATATTACAAATATATTATTTATTTATATCCGGAGACATTATTGAACTACTCCAAGAAGCAGTTGAGATTGTTGAGTGAATCCCAATCACGTAGTTTATCCTCCCAACATAGCCAAGTTCAACAATAAATGATTTCGTGGACTGATCCCACCTTTCAGTTTCCCATCCCCTAACGTTGATTCAATTAGCTCGAACTCCAGCAACCATCGCGTGTTGAGGTAGTCAACGGTTGTACATACTGGGGATAATTCATACTCCAATCACTTCATTTTATAGGAAGTTACTGTCTCATGATCCGATATACCATTTTTATCTAGTACTCCGGACATAACCTTGGCGTATACGAGCGATGCTTCGATGGAATCTATTATCAACTACCAGATGACTAACCTAAAAATATCCCCTGTTTTCAAATGTCACATAACACGGCTATAGAGTTGGATAGAAAGAAATGCTGTGAAGTACACTCGATTTCGTTGGGGATAGCGCCAAGCACAGAGTAATGCCACTTTAAGATATCAGCTATCTTAAATATCAATAAAACCCTGTTCTACTGAGTATTAATCGTTTATTCATCGGTTGCAATTTTTGAGATTAAGTGTGTGATCACTTTTGTAGTCAACAAATTTGGTAATGAAGCAGCTACTAATAAATGACGATGTCAAGCAAAGGGGGAATTGGTAACTACTGGATCCCTGTATCGTGAATGAATAATATTGTGTTCACTGATTGACGTGGATATCAAGGGTTCAATTTCATATGAACAATGGATTCTCACTTTTGATAAGTTTTAAATCCAAACAAGACAAATGTCTATTGCTCTTCAACGTTCAATAATTATCCGATCTATATTGATCTGCCGTAAAATCTTTCTTTCAGTCAAACAAGTTTCAAAGAACTACTTTTACTATTAATAGTATAGGGTTGTGGAGATTGAGTTTTACTGGAATCGTGAACCAGTCAATATTAGATCATGATGGAAAACCTGGAAGCATTGTACGGCCATCTTATCCTATTGTGGAACTCTTCAGCAGTGCGCATCCATGGTCCCACCTCCTGAGCTTCGAACCCAGAATCTATCAGTCTTGCGTGAGAGCGCTTAACCTCTAGACCACTAAGCAGGCCGGCATCCAATAGTGTTAATGTCTAACTTCAATCAATCCACTATGTTGAGCGACACACCTACCATTGCCATCAGTGAGTTACTATTTCACAACAGACCCGGTTAAACTCAATTGGTCACTGCTTCTCACTAGAACTGCATGAAATATCTCTTGAAACCAGTCACTAGTGAGCATATGTTGATTAATATCAGAAGGGGTTTTGTGGATATAACAGTAATGTCATTGATTGAGATTATGAGTCAATTGAACCTAGACCACCATAAGATCGTGAATGCGTACTGATTAGAAGTTCCATAATAGGACGAAATGATCATACAGTGCTTCCAGGTTTCCCATAGTGGTCTAGCTTCAATTGACTCATGATCTCAACCATTGAAAAGCAGTTTAAACAAAAGATGGAATGAAACGATTAATCAAACATTTTTATATTGTTTGTAGTTTTCTAGTATTCATTACAATTATATTTTCATTATATTTTAGTGCTAAGACGATTCATGAGAAAATTTTATGTCATGCAATTATTGGACGAAGTGCTAAATATTTAATTAAAACAATTGATGTTTCTATTGACTTTATTAAACCAGTTATTGAATTATCTACAAGTGAACTATTTTATCGGATAGAAAAGGTATATATATATATTTTAAGTAAATTAACTGGGTAATTTGTAAAGGTTATTCTGTTTGTTTTTTTTGAGTTAACATTATGAATTAGCTTTAGCCAGATAGTCATTTAAAATAATACAACACATTTAAGTCTCATGACTTACTTACTTACGCCTGTTAACCCCAATAGAGCATAGGCCGTCAACCAGCATTCTCCAACTCATTCTGTCCTGTGCCTTCATTCCTAGATCTTTCCAGTTGTTGTTCATTCTTCGCATATGTCTCTATTTCTCGATGTAGTGTGTTCTTTTGTCTTCCTCTTCTCCTTCGGCCTTGAGAATTTCAAATGAGGGCTTGTTTTGTGAAGCAGTTGTGTGATTTTCTCAATGTATGTCCTATCCACATCCAGCGCTTCTTTCTGATTTCCAAAATATTACTGTCTTACTAAACTATTGTATTATATATCTATTAATTGCATTTATTTATAAACTAGTTCAGCATGTACAGTATTTCTGTATAAATTTTGAAAGTGTAACAAATGGATGAAATTAGTCTGAAAAAAATTTTCAATGAATTTAAGCAGCGTATAATTCAATTTGAAGTGGTCCAATATTTTCTTTTCAAGTAGTTTTACATTAAAACAATAAATAATCAATTGGTTGAGAGTTGACAATCAAAAGTTTTCGAAAGTGAGAGAATGTGGTATGATAAAAAGAGACTAGCAATTTCCCAACGATACTTTTAATGGATATTATAGTAATTTCAATAGTTGAGATCATGAGTCAATTGAAGCTAGACCACCATGGAAAACGTGGAAGCACTGAACGGTCGCGAGGTAGGATCGTGGATACGCACTGATGAGGAGTCCCACAATAGGATGAAACGGCCGTCCAGTGCTTCCAGGTTTCCCATAGTGGTCTAGCTTTAATTGATTTATAATCTCAACTATTCAAAGATACTTTTAGTATTGAAAATTACTTAGGAATTACCAGGACAGGTTTAAAGTAAGAACAAATTGTTTCTTTATATATTATAGTGGTTTACATTTTTTTAATGAACAATTTTTTCGGAAACTAAAAATATGAGTATCCAATAGTTTTTATTCATGATTGTTTACATCTGGGATTACCTAATATTGTGAGGCCTACGAGGTTTCACTTCATTTATTTAACCGAATAGTCCACTCATTCTATTGACATTTATGTCCACAAAAGTATCTAAACTATTAAATTCATTAAGATATAATGGAATTAACTGTGGGACATTGAGGCCTATATAAATCATAGCTTTTGTTTCTTTAGTGACAAGTAGGCTGATAGCATCATCAACCTCATTTTATATGTTAACGTGTTTGAACACTTTGCTTGAAGACAGAATAAAGGGATTTGGGCATTAGTTTACTTTTACATTGACCTATAAAGTTCATTCAATAAATGTTTAATGTTGGTGCTTTATTCATTTCCCAAAATACTAGATCTCCCAAAAAAAAAACTAGCTATTTTATTCATTTTACCATACTTTAGACACCATCTGATGAATTATCTATACAATTCAATCATTTCACGATGACTAATAAAGTAGATTTATTATTAACATGTTTATTGGAAGTTTGCAGTCCATTCAACTTATTCATTGATGAAACTTACTTCTCTACAATGGTAAGAAGCGAATAAATTTTTATCATATATTTAATTAACTTTTCTAATTATTTCTTCATTTAAAATCCTCATTTTAAATACCGAAAGTTAAGTCGATTCCAGAAACACAGATTTACAACTAGTTGCCCAAATGAAGTGATACCAATTACCAGGGAGAATTATATCATTCATCCATATTTTCATGTTACTTAACTTAGATTCAACGCTTGATTTTCTAATCTGTTAAACGGAGAAATAACATTGATTACAATTTAATGACCCATTCTCATACATTATGTAGACGTGTTTAAGGAAAATATTACCAATATTTATAAATCTTATTTCGTTGGAGCGAATATCAAGTTTATAATCGAAAATGATGGTAAAGAATATATATACATGTATATAATTCCTAATATTCGGTAAGGGTTTAATCGTAGATTACCTAATACAAATGATACGAAAACGACTGTAATGAGTAAGGTAATAAAATGTTTTCCCTAGGACGATTAGCTATTAAAACTTAGTCAGATCTGGAGTTTAATTCCGTATACACAGATCCATGAAACTTAAACTATCAAAGTGGTTGTTCGATAGTAAAACCATTAATTTAATTTGAAAAACAATTTATATATATTTTCTTCAATAAATGAATGAATCAAACGGTATAAAACATTCAATAAAAATAGAGAAACATTCTCAGGAAGTTCAACAATCTTGTTACTAACAGTCATAGAGTATTGAAATGTATCAAGGGTTTCAGTGATGACCGTTAAGACTGTATAATGCAAAATCAGTTAGGTTATGAACTTTTTATATAGATAAAAACAACAATCCTATACCGTCACTTGTGAATAAGATTGAATTATTAAGCCTTAAATTTTGTAAAATAATGTTTTCCCAGTTTCCATTTTATATTTATTGGACTGAATTACTTACTTATTTACGTTTGTTACTCATCGTGGAGCATAGGCCACTGACCGGAGATCTTCAACCAACACCTGCTATTTCACAGTGCTATTCATTCTTTAAATATCTGGCGCAATGTGTTCTTTGGTTTGTTTGTTTTCTTTTTTCATTGAAGATTACAAGTTAGGACTTGCCTTGGAATGAAGACTTATATACACTTAATGTCTAGCTTCACAACAATTAAAAATTTGATACAAAGGTATTTGCTTATGAATATTTCTACAAAAATATGCTGTAAATATTACCTATTCATGAAGTCATTAGTATGAATTACAGTAGCAAAATTGGTAGTTTATATGTAAAATGTGACTGAAAGACCCTAACCATTTAATATATGATTTCCTTCCTATTATTGATTTCTACTCTGGACTCATTGAGTATAAATCGTGTTTAGTTAAATATTGATTAGCTTATCCCTTGTTTTTTTTTAATATTTGTTCGTTGAATTGTAACTCTAGTATACTGTGATCTAATCTGTATATAGAGTTGTGATCAAGTATCCACTATAGTGGTTACCTGTTTTATTATAATATATTATAATAAAAAGTATTCTTATTTTACCTTTATATCAAATATTAAATTATTTTTAAATATATTTTATAGACATTTCAATTGAAACCATTTGAATCAAAACAAATTACAGTTTCATTTAATCCAAATTATAAAGATGATTTATTTAGTAGAAGAGCTGATGAATTATTATTTATCAAATATGCTGAACATCCACAAACTGTAAGTTATTACTTATATTATATTCTTTAGTAAATTTTTAAATTATAATCTAATTCTAGTTAAAGTATTTGTTAAATTTTTGTATTAGTTGTTTTATTAACCAAAAAAAAATGATCAATTATTTAAGGAAATATAGTTAATGAAGATTAGTAAAGTGAAGGATTGACGTCTCTTTAGACGTAGGACTCGTCAGTTGAATAAACCTGCAAACCAGTTTGGATGGTAAGATCGTAAAACCAATACTTTTTGCTTGAAATGTACAAAGCATTATCTATTGAGCTACTGAAATCAGACAGCCACTAATTTGTGCAAAGAGTACAAATTTTATCATTTATTTATAAATGTTTGAATCTAATTATTTTTTGTCTCACGTTTATCTTGGTGTGATGTGACTTTATTTATCTAGAAACCATTGAAGATATTATCTTCCTGACGGGTTTACATTATTACTCTTTGCATTTCCTATTACTGTTTGGTATATGTGTATGTTAAACTCCTTTTTTTCTGTTTGAAAATGTTTCACCTTCTTGTGCTGATTATGTTACTTTCAGGGTTCCGGGAATTGTTGAATTTCTTTGAAATCATGAACCGATCTATGTTAAACCTCAATTGATAGCTTGGAAGAACTAGACGGCCGTTTGGGTTTCTTCAACATATCCCATCCAAGATCTTGCGACTTTTAAAGACGAGCGGTCCTTTTAGAACCAAATTTTATTTATTTTGACCACAGTTACGTCTAGACTCTAATTCGATAATTTTCTAGTGTCGATAAAAACAGACAAGTAGGCGAAATAAGACCTAAATTTGTCACGACTCTTTTTTTATGCGTTATATCACACTACTCATAAATACTGAGTAGTTTGATATTGTACTAAATTATTTTTTAACTTTTTCATCGTATAATCTTCATGTGGAGTTGTGTTTAATTTTCATGATTTTCTTAACCCAAAAAACATAGCGTTTAATTCGTTTTCCGGACTCTACAGTTATCTCGTCTGACACAACAACTTGCTTCCTTCTTATTTAAATAGGCTATTGCAAGTTAATTCTTTTTCATTTATTCAAACGAAGTAATTTGAGAAATTAAACTATGCCATATAAAATAGTGGGATAAATCAATGTTACAACGAGTATAACTTAAGACAAATGTTTTTCACAAGTAACACTAATGAAGTCTAACAAATATTTAACGATAAGTATTAAGTTATTCATGAATATTCCCCATCATACCACTGTGCTCCTCGTGTTTTTAATATATTTTAAAAAAATATATAAAGTGCCCACTACTGACTGTACGTAGGTGTGACAGCAGTAAGGTGTTTCCTTCAGACAACCAGCATGACAGCGATGCTACCTTCCCACAAGGAGGGGTAGGGTTAGAAAAGGTTGACCCTAAACATGCACACCTCGCCTCATTCCACGGATATCGGTCTCCGGCGGTAAGGTGTCAACAAATACGGATCTAACACAAAAACTACTCATAAAAAGGTCAGTGTGACCGACCTCGAGCAGTTATTCCTTGGGAACTGCGGTCGCGCTCTCAAGTTACTAAGACCATTTCTAATAAAATTTACTTTTTAGGTATCTCCAGAACCTTTTCACGGTGTGGGCAACCGGGAAGTGATAACCGCCCTCATACCTCTAACAGCACTCAAGATCACTGTAACTGACATCTTTTGATTTCTACTCAATTAACCATTTATACAAACTCAAACTTTTTACTTGTCATAATTATTGAAAAGGCACATCCACTATGATGATCACTTTCGGGTTATGATTAGTGAAAATAAAAAAAAATAAAAAAATAAATATTTTGTTCAGTCCCCTCTATGAAATATTCAACAGTTTTAATTCACTTAGATACAATTAACAGAAAACGAAATAAAAATATTAAAAATTGTAACTACATTTATTTTTTTTTTTTTGCTTTTTTTTTCTATTATAAAATATAGGATGTTGTACGTTTAATTGGTGAAGTACATTTTCCAAATGTTCAATTTAATACTAATCTAATTGATTTTGGTTGTATATTAAATCATACAGAAATGACAAAACAATTAACTATGAAAAATATTAGTCCATTACCAGTAAAATTTCGTTGGAGTTTACTGATTGGTGATAGACCAAATATTATATTTAAACGTTATGCACAATTAACAGAATATCAAAAATTATCTAATTCTCATATTAATAATAATAATAATAATATTGAAAATAATTTAAAAAATATAAAAGAATTAGAATATGATATAAGAATTAATGAAGAACATAATGAATCTAGTCAAACTAGATCAATAATTGAAAGAAATCAATCCATTCATGAATCTATATTAGATGATAATATAAATATTAATTTATTATCATCTAATAATAATATATTATGTAATTTAATTAATGAAGATGAAGATATTATACCATTAGGTATTGAAGAATTATTTGATATTATACCATTATATGGTGAAATTAATCCAAATGAAATAATTTATTTAAATTGTACATTTTATGGACATTCAAATATAAATGCATCTGTATTAGCATTATGTGAAATAGATAATGGTCCTAAATATCAAATTGAATTAAAAGGTTCTGCATCCAATATTCATTATTATATAGATCAAACTAATATTGATTTTGGTTATCATCGTTTAAATAAATCAATAATATATCAATTTAATATTTTTAATATAGGAAAAGTAAATTTTAATTATAAAATTAATTTTCCTATAAATTTATTATCAGATGATTATATTGATGAAACAACATTATATAAAATAACTGATTATGGTCAATATCAAATTAAACCATATTATGGTCAAATTAATAGTGAACAATCACAAATAATTCAAATTATTTATCAACCATTAAAATTAGGTTATTTTATACAAGAATTAAATATTCAAATTGGTTATTATTTACCAAAATTAATAAAATTACATGGTATTACTGATTTTACTTATTTAAATATAAATTTACCACGTTTATGTATGATTCAAACAAAATATTATAAACAAATTAATAATGATTCATTATTAATTAATCAAACAATTCATCAATATCAATCATTTAATTCTATTTATCAATTTACGATGTTTCAATTAATAAATCAATTATATCATGATGTCATTGATTTTATTGATTTATTAGAAAAACAACAAAATATAACAATTGTATGTTTATGTAATACAATATTTTCAAATCAATCTTATTTAATGTTAACATTAAATCAAAAAAATTATTATAATTCAATATTTTTACATAATGATTATTGTCCTATAACAAAAGCAATCAAAGAAATATTATTTAAACAATATTATCTAATAAATAATATACCTGAAAAAATTTTACAATTAATACCAGATATAAATTTACAATTAAATGCAGAACGTGAATATATTTGTAATATATTAAATTCTATAAAAAGAAATGATATAAATTCTGTCAATACTATTCAATATCATAATGATAATCAATTAAATATAGTTAAAGAAATAGAAGAACGAATAAAATTAGGTTTTATAAAAACGTAAGTTTTTTTTTATTTATTATTATTTATTAGATGATTTATAGAAGTTAGTAAGAAGTTTTAGATATAAAGTAGTGAGTCTTGAGATAGGTAGTGTTTAGTTTTTTTTTGGGGGGGGGATTTGGTAACAAATAACCATAGATACATGTGGTGCTTTTCTTTTCTTTTGTTGTTATTTAGATTAGATAATGTTTGTTAATGAGCTTTTTTCAATTTAGTAGTTTGAGATGTTACTCTAATTTGATTGTATGAATGATTGCTGTTGAAATGTATATGCCGCTTATCCTTCTATATAATCATTAACTTAAATCGTGTTAATCAATAACGGAATTAAATAAGTCAAATAACGAGAATGGACTTTTGAATGCATATATTTGGTGTATATGAAATGAATAGAATAGAATGAAACAGAAGGACCCGCAGTAGAGATGGCGGATAAGCCAAATCCCATTTAACCAAGAGTTAATCAATATTTATAGTTGCACAAAAATAAGTTACATACATCTCCGAAAGCGAGAATAAGGTATATGGGCTTAACATAATGATCGACACTACATATTATTGAAGTATTTACATTGATTAATTGTGAAGTAACAACCAGAATTGTCTGTCTTGTAATTTTAAGTAACTTGATCAATAAAATTAGATCAGTATTAAGGACAATACATGCATAATGATTGCTGAGATTACGTCAGACACCAACCCATTAGGGCTGATCAGACTTCCAAGATAGATGAAGTTGTCAACAGGTTCGACTGCTTCAATATCGATCCTTCGTTCAGGTGTTGACGGAGGCCAGTCCTGAGGGAACAACCTGCATTTAGAGGATAAGAAAAGCGCATTCCAAACATTCTGGCATTGTTTATTAGTGCTATTAAAACATTCGGCATTTTATCAGCGTCTTCACCAAACAGGACTATGTCATCTGCGTAGATGCAGACTACTCGGTTGGACTCCACGTGACTATCGTAAGCAATGGTTAGAGACTCTGTATGACATGACTGGGAATCTATCATAATGGCGTCGGTGTATAAACTCTCTGTCTTCCGTTAAGCTATGAAATTAAGATCGTTTCATATCTTTCTTTCTACCAACCAATTCTTTCTTCCTGTACTTTCTTTTATATATTAACTCCTCTCAATTAACCACTTCTATGAATCCGGTGTTCATCTTGTTATGCTAATATGGTATGGCAACTTGGATCGATGCAAATATGTGCCTGGTCCTACGTTGTAACTGACTGACTGACTGACCAGACTATATAATAGAATAAAATAAAACAAGTATCGTGAGAATTTCTACCATGTCGACTAGCTCACTAAAATGTCAATTTCTAATTTGTTTATTTTCTAAGATTATTTCAAACTCACAATACTTACTCATGTGTCAATTCATTTTATGTAACTGAATAGGAGAATCCATTAAAGCGTTTTATACAATCTATTCTTCAAAGATTCGGTAATAATATTCGAACCTGGTTACATAATCAGTTTATTTCATACTTTCTTAGTTAAGTGATTTAAGCTTAGTCATTTCTCTTTCTCGGTGAGACTATAATTTATGGACGAACCAATCACGTATAAGATAACAGGTCTCGGATTTTGGCGCGAAATTCACCCATCCATTTGGCTCATTAGAATTTTGGCATTCTAGTTAATGTCAATTCATGATGAAAACCCTAAATGTAATTTCTAACCTTAACCATCAATTGTAAATCATAATTCAGATTCCTAACACTGGTTTATAACCCTTATTTGGTCCTAGTTATTAGGTGAACACACGAAGACAACAACATCTGAAGGGAAGCACGGGATACAGTGGACACCTAAGATGTAGCTGGACGATCTGGAATTCGCATATGATCTGGCCGTTATATCGCACACACAACAACAAATGCAGGAGAAGACGACCAGTGTGGGAGCAGCCTCAGCAGCAATAGGTCTCAATATACACAAAGGGATGAGCAAGATTCTCCGAATACGACACAGCATTCAACAATCCAATCACAATCGAAGGAGAAGATTTGGATGATGTACAAACCTTTACATATTTGGGCAGCATCATCGATGAACACGGTGGATCTGATGCAGATGTGAAGGCGTGGATCGGCAAAGCAAGAGCAGCATATTTACAACTGAAGAACATCTGGAACTCAAAACAATTTTCAACCAACACCAAGGTCAGAATTTTCAATACGAATGTGAAGACATTTCTACTGTATGGGGCGGAAACCTGGAAAACCACGAAAGCCATCATCCAGAAGATACAGGTGTTTAGTAACGGTTGTCTACGCAAAATACTTTGGATCCATCGGCCAGACACTATAAACAACGAATCAGATCCCAGCAGAGGAAGAAATCAGGAAGAAGCGCTGGAAGTGGATAGGACACACATTGAGGAAAGCACTGAACTGTGTCACGAGACAAGCCATCACATAGAATCCTCAAGGTCGAGGGAGGAGAGGAAGACCAAAGATCGCATTACTCCGAGAAATGGAGATAGAAATGAGAAAAATGAATAAGAACTGAATGGAACTAGAAAAGTAGGCCCAGGACAGAGTGCGTTGGAGAATGCTGGTCGGCGGCCTATGCTCCATTGGAAGTAACAAGCATAAATAAGTAAGTAAGTATTAGGTGAACATTTTCAAGGTCAATTTAAAGTCGTTCAAATGTCGTCCATAAATTACAGCCTCACCAGTGTGCCTGTTAAACATTAACGATCAAATATTAACACCGAATGAAAGCACTTTTGTTCTAATGAAACTCTTTTGTATAATACTGTTGTAATATACATAATGAACTATGATCATTTTATTACTCATCTATTATATTTTTTCTCTTTCTATCATATTCAGTTTATACCTACCATCATATTTACTTGATTTTGGCATAGTTATAATCGGTTCAATTATTAAACAAAATATATCTATTATTAATACAAGTTATGAACCGATTAGTTTTCGTTTTGATACAACATCTTTATCAAAGGCTAAACAATTTGGATTTAGTACAAATATAACAAAAATTCATCATTTACCTGGTTATCCAGATTGTGAAACATTAGATATGGAAATTTCATTTGATACAAAACAAATTAGTCAGTTAATAAATGAAAATTTCATTCAAACAGAATTAATTATTAAAGTAAGTTATTTTCGATTTTTTTTGGGTTGTATTATCGTTAATTTTAATATGGATTTAATGATAGTTTTTTTAAGAATATTGAGATATAATAAATAGACTGATAAGTCCTGGATTCGAATCTTGCGAGGCGGGGTCATGGTTGCGCACTGCTGAGGAGTCCTACAGTAGGACGAAATGGACGTTCAGTACTTCCAGGTTTTCCATGATGGCCTAGCTTCAATTAACTCATGAGCTCAATTATGAAAAAATATATTTTATTCTGTTATATCTCAATAAGTAGAAAGATAGCATTACTAACGTTTCGTAATTTAATATAATCTATTTCTTCAGAGGAAATAAATAACTGAACAGAATTAACACAAGTTTAAATAATACTTTATAAGCTTTTGTTAATTTGATTTGATTATTTATTTACTCTGAAGAAGTGGTTTAAAATAACTCACGAAACATCAGAAATACGATTTTTCTATTGATTGGAATATCATATAATAAAATATATTTGTTACTAACTTTCGACCCAATGCTCAATCTATTTGAGACTATCAAGTTTAACCTTGGCATTAATACTTGCAAACATTGAAATATATTATTATTATTGAGGAATAATTAATAGTTAGATTATGTAAGATATAGATTACTGCAGTTGCTATAGAAAACTGAATTTACCATCAAAGTTAAAAGTTCAAATGTTTGTAGATTTGATTGGTAATCGATAGGGATTGAAAAGTAATTGATGAATATTGGACTAACTTTATGAAAAAAATACTTGTTGTTTAATTTGGACTCAATATCAAGAACAATTTTGATGTTTATATGATCTGACTGTATTGAATTTATTTATATCAGTGAATAGAAATGTCTTTAGTGGCCCGAGATCTGACTCCAATTTGATCGTAATGATCGTATGAATGTTTGCTATCACCTATCCTTATATATAATCAGTGACTGAATCGCGTTAGTTAATAACGGAATTAAATAAGTCAAATAATTAGAATGGAGTTTTGAATGCATATATTATGTACAATTGTTGATTAGACAAACGAACGGAGGAACGATGCGAAGAGAAGAAAGCGAAACTAAATTGGCGCGCGGTGGAGATGGCTGGTAAGCCAACTCTCCCTTTAGCAAAGAGTTAATCAATATTTATAAGCCCACAAAAATAAATTACAGACATGTGATGAGTAACGGGATAAGAAGTGTACATACACCTACGCTCTCATACAAAGACAGTCAAGATATTGATAAGCGAATAATTAACAAGGTCAGAATGTGACTCAAATAGAATGAATAGAATGGGCTTTCCGGAAGTTAAAATAATGAGGTATTTGGGCTTAAGATAATGGCAGACACTACAAGTCTAAAAAACAATGTGATTCAGCTTAACACTTATTAGCACCTTAGTATCATAGGCTAGAAGTTTTGTGAAAATTGACATCATTTTAGCCTTCATTAAAAGCCAGTCAGGAATAAGTGTTTAATCCTACCATTGAACTCTTCAGTAGTTTGAAGGCACGACAATGAAGATGATTGAAACCAAGATCTTTGGATAGTTAAAATAACCCATAGTGTCATTGAATAAGAAAACGAGAATTTAGCGAAAAAAATTTCCTTTTCTGCGAAATCATTTACTTAAGCTGTATATTCGTATATATGAAAAATATATGTCTATTGAAGGATAGTAAAGATTGCACCACAAAAGTGGATTTGAGAATAAATAACAAATGAGGTTACGTACTAATCAAGTGGTAAGGAAGAAAATCGTTTATAGGTCAGATAATAGTCCACTTGACAGATATGAAGAGAAGCGACAAACACAAAGATTATAATAATAAACTGAATAATATCAGAAGGGGTTTTGTGGATATTATAAGTAATTTCAATGGTTGAGATCATGAGCCATTTGAAGCTAGACCATCATGGAAAAGCTGGGCGTGATCGTGGATGCGCACTGATGAGGAGTCCCACAATAGGACGAAACGGTCGTTCAGTGTTTCCAGGTTTTCCATGGTGGTCTAGCTTCAACTGACTCATGATCTCAATCATTGAAACTGAATAATAATCAAGAAAACTTGCATAAGGTAATAATAATAACTGGTTGGAGTCTAAAATGCAAAACAATAATTAAAAAAATTCGATAATGATCAAATAAAAGTGCAGAAAACCAAAAAAACCAGAAACATACCCATTAAGGGAATTAGGGCCAAGGAAGGATGAGACGTTGGACAACTCGTTTCTCCACACAAAGTTTGGGCTTGATTTCGTGGATTGCCAGTGCCTCAGCAGTGCATAAAATATTGATTCGATGCCTCTTCAATCCAATTCCCTTGACTCTGTAGATCACTTTGAATGAAGAATCCTTTGGAGCGATGTGTCCAAAATTGATTAAATGCTCCTGTATAGAACTAGCGATTGACTGACTGATTTCCAGAGTACTGATCTGGAATTTGTATGTTCACAGCTGTAAACTCAATATGGATAATTCTTAACAGTCATGAATTTCTACTAAAGCTTTAAGAACTCATCGTGAAGATCATCGCTACTGGTCTCAACAAATAACTTTCCAAAGATCATTAATTTCATTGATATTTCAACTACTGTCAATCCGTAATGAAAACATCTATACTGTTATAACACTGCCAATAATATATGATTAAAATTTGTGTATTTTTCACATATTAAAATTTTTTTACTATTTTAGATACTCAATGGACCTTCAATATCAATTATTCTTAGAGCTAATATTGTAAAACCAACAATAACATCACATATAAATACAATTGATTTTGGTGAAGTTCAACGTGGTGAAGCACGTATAATTACAGTACAATTACATAATCCATCTCCTGTTTCAATAAATTGGTATCGTTTAATACCTGAATTACAAATGAATAAAAATACTACTGATTCAATTTATCCAATTAGAGTTCATTATAAATCATATCAAAATTTATTAAAAGAGAAAAAAATGAGAATTTTTGAAGTTATACCAAATAGAGGAATATTAGAACCGAATGAGAAAACTAATATACAGGTATCGTAATTTTTATGATACTCACTTTACTCTTTTTTAATTGAATCGTTTGCAATGGGGTATGTGCATCCGTTCTTTATATTTCCCCAAATCTTAAAATTTTAAATACCGCTTAACATTATTTGTTTGTTTATATTTCACTAACTAATATTTTATTTTCGAATTGTACTTTCGGTGCATAATCTTTCAGATTACCACTGATACTTTGACTGGTATTTGGTTTGACAATTTCATCTTTCTGTGATAAATGGGGTATGCAAAACTTGAACCGATGTACATACGTACCAGGTTTTACGTTGTGACTGATTGACTGACTGATTCGAGTCGATAATATACATTTTTACATACTATTCTATGACCTTCGTACTAATTTTTCTATTTTACTCAACTCAATCTGAAGGAAAATAATAAACTGAATTAATAAATGAATCAGCAATTTATGTGATTCTATTCAGTTTTAGAGTCTAAAAAGTACGTTTATACGACGAGTTATGTGGATTATTAATGTTCGCATTAAGATTAAACTTTGCTACTTCTGATTCTTTGATCTTTGTTAAACTCTAAACAGTATAAATTCTCTGAAGAAATGGATTACACTGAGTCACGAAATGTCAATGGGATATCTACAAATATATGAATTTATTTATGACAATCTACCCAATACTCGATATATTCTAAATTATCAAGTCAAGCCTTGGTATTAATACCTACAATGTAATAACTGTTCAGAATAATATACATTGTGTTATATGTATGGTACTGGGTTTGAGTCCCAGAGTGAACATCAATTATGAGATGCAGGTATATTCAGCTGACGAGTCTCACATAGGACGAAACGTGCATCCTGGATTCCACTGCTAGTCATTATCCATCTTTGCTTAAAATGCTTGTGACTTAAGGGTATATCAAGGCAATCCACACAAGATGCACATATGCCAACAAGAGACTGATCAATTTCAGTCCTAAACAACAATGAGAAGATGCAAACAAACAATACCAAGAGAATTTAATATACATTGTATTTACAATATGATCATTTGTTCATTGTAACGTTAATCTTATTTTCAGAATGATATTTATTTAGTATAAAGATCCTTTGTATTAAATTAATGTAGACTTTGATCAGTATGAGTTTTTGTAATAATTCTATACAGTTTCATTTATATGACACTTGTTAATAAGTCATCAAGTGGGTATACAAATAATATAAATGAATGTATTTTGACGAGAGGTGATTTGTTTTTGGAAAGTTGATAAATCTTCATATCTATTAGTCTTCCATTTCCTTACATCATATGGTGGCAATTGTAATAGTTACTGATTCCAGTTGATTATCAATAAAGCAGTTAAAATATCAACAAAGGGATAATCCAAACCATAATAAATTAATCTACGAAAAGTATTTCGGATCCGTTTGCCAGATACTATCAGCAACAACCTAATGTGGGAGAGAACAAACTAGATCCCAGAGGAGAAAGAAATTAGAATGAAGCACTGGATGTGGATAGGACACACATTGAGGAAAGCACCCAACTGCATCACAAGGTAAGCCCTCACTTGAAATTCTCAAGGTCAAAAGAGAAGAGGAAGACAAAAGAACACATTAAACAAAGAAATGGAGGCAGACATGTGAAGAATGAACAACAATTGAATAGAATTAGAAAGGAAGGCCAATAACACAGTGGGTTGGAGAATGCTGGTTGGTGGCCTATGCTCCATTGGGGTTAACAGGCATAAGTAAGTAGAATAAATTAAAATAAAAAGAATTCAAGGCCTTTGAAAAGTGAGCAGCAATTTGTACTTAGTAATTAAATAGATAACATAATGATGTTCGAAGTGGATGATATTGAGTTGAAATTTCATGATAAAATCTAATTCTAGGATACAGGTACATCCGCCTGATAAGTTTAAAGTGGGAAGAAACTCATGTCTTGGCTTCTTTTGCATTCATCACATCATATTTCATTCATTTGTTTAGATAAGGTTTATACCACTTGAAGAGAAGAAGTATGAAACCAAGATTCTATTGAGCATTGAAAATACTGATACAATTTTAAAAATACACTGTCAAGGTAAAGGTTTAGAGCCACAATTAATATTTGATCGTGTTATGTTACAATTTCAACCAATTTTACCATATTCCTTAATTGGAAGTGAAGAAATTGTTACCGTAACCAATCCATGTGATTATCCAATAGAGTTTTATTCACTTGAATTGGATAAACAAGTTGTTCAAGTAAGTATATATAGATTTATGACAGATTTAAACAAATATTGTGACCTTCATGTTGTCTTGTATACAAGAAAAATACTTTTACCTTTGACTAGTTAACATTAACAAAAATCATATTGTTATTTGAAAAGGTGTGAACACCAACGCTAGAACGTAGATACACCTAAATGACGAGTTCCACGTAGGACGAATCGCGAGTCCTGGATTCTGTTGTTAGCCAGAATCTATCGGCTCAATATAAAATCTATTTAGCTAATGAATGAAACATGAGGTATGTGTGTTATTCATGATCCTTCTCTTTTCTAACCGGTTTAGGTGTTATAAACGTTCTACTTTTGTTTCTTGTTCATAATATACTTGATATAGAAAATACATAATTTTGATGGAACGTACGTTATGACAATCCAATTATATTCCCATACTTCTATAACCGTATATTTTGAAAACAGTACTATCGTGACATCGGGTGTTCGAAATCTGATACTGATGCACAGTGTGCTATGCGCCCCCCCCCAACTGGCTACTTCATTAAGAACACAAAAGTGAACGAGAAAGTGTATTGGGCACAAATACTCATTCATAAATATACCTCTCTATCCTTAGGAAATTGACCGATTGACCCAAATGAAATGCACTTGACCTTTAGGTTACTTCTGATTGGTTCTCTATATCAAGTACCTGAAGAAGAACTGAGATCATTATTGAATCAGCTAAGTTTAATTGAAGAATCTCGCTAATGTCTTCTCTAAAAGTAATCATCTTCAATTCAAAACACAATTTCCAGTAAATTTACTTACTTACTTACTTACGCCTGTTGCTCCTCGTGGAGGAGCATAGGCCACCCACCAGCACTCTCCTGGGTAATCCTTTCCAGTTTTTATTCATCCTTTTCATATTTCCTTGTATTTCGTGACGTAACATAATCTTTAGTCTTCCTCGTTTCCGCTTCTGTTCAGGATTTCAAGTTAGGATTTGCCTCGTGATGCCAACCAGTAAATTTAAGCAAACTTTAAAGCAAAATGATTGTGTTGAACAGTGTGAAATAATTAAATTCGTTCCATATTATCTTTTTCTTCCTAATATTAGAATTAATTTATAATTTTTTGATAAAATTTATTTATTCAAAAATTAAATTATATATTTTGTGACGATTACGTAATCAGTTATTGACTGAGATCATGAACCGATTGATTTTAGACCACCATTGAAAACCTGGATGGTTATTTCGTCCTATTGTGGGACTCCATAGCAAAGCGCACCCACGACCCCGCCCGTGGGATTCGAACCCAGGACCTTCAGTTTCGCGCGCGATCGCTTAACCTCTAGGCCACTGAGCCGGCATCTAACGGTGTTAATGTCTAACCTCAGTTTACATTAGTTATATAATCACATAAATTCTTTTCTTTATTTTTTTAATCTAGGAGGATGAAATATTAAAATCTATAGATGGATATGATGAATATGGAAGATTATTATTGCCACCACGTAAACCAGGTGATGTATTACCTTCAGAGGTTATTGCTTACTACGAGGAACAAAATAAAATTGCCAATTCTAAATTATCTGATGAATTAGAAGAAACTATTCCTTTAGAAAATAGTGATGAAAAAAATGTCAAAGAGTTGAAAGTAAGTATATATAATATTTTTTATATTTATTATTTTTACTAAGATTAATATTAGTTTTGAGTACTGTTAAAGGTATGAGGGCGGTTATCGCTTCCCAGTTGCCCACACTGTGGAAGGGTTCTTCTAGAGGTACTTGAAAAGGAAATTGGGTGAGAGTTGGTCTTGGTGACCTGAGAGCGTGAATGCAGTTCCCAAGGGAAAACTACTTGAAGCCGGTCACACACAACCTTTTTTGAGTAATTTTCGTGTTAGCTCCGTACCTTTTGAGACCTCACTGTCGGATCGGAAATCTGTGGGATAAGGTGAGGTGTGCATTTTTAGGGTCGACCTCTTCTAACCCTACCCTTCATTGTGGGAAGGCAGCATCGTTGTTATGCTGGTTTTGTAAGGGAAACACCTTACTGCCTTCACACCTCCATACAATCAGCAGTACGACTTCACCCTCGGATCTTGAGTTTGTTGCTTTTAGTCTTACTGTTCATCAACAAACCTGTCTGACAAGGTACGATCTTAAGGAACGATTGTTCCAACTAGTATAGCTCGATTGGTTCATCACGAAAGGCAAGTTCAACCACAACGTCAAGGTAGCAGCAACAGTCGAGACGATAAACATTTATAGTAGTTTGAAGTTTTTGTGCATGCCAGTTTGACGATTGATGGTTGAAATCAATTTTTAAAAAATTTATGATCACTTAACTCTTTTGGATAATCGTATTACGCATTTGTAACTAACTTTAGATGCATTTATAGGTAAGAGAATTCGGGAGATGAAAGAAAATTATCATTTTTTTCGGAGTATGCTATTAGTTGACGTGGATGGGAGTAGATTGGATAAATTAGCAACATGTTTTGTGAAGATATATAGTCTGAATGGAGGTGATGATTGATATAAACAGATTTCCGATTAGAAAGTTCTTATTTGGGGCTTGATGTACCTGGTTCTTAGAAAGTTTGAATTTTGAGCTGAAGCTGGGCAATGTAGCTTATGTAAAGAGAGACGAGTAAATATAATCATCTTCCTATGTCAGTCAAAATCACTCATCACATTTCCTTATTTAGCTCAATACAATATCATCTATATATATCCTTTTTTAGTTCATAGGAGTTTCTTCATCAAGCACATCATTAAAAGAGGTGAAAAAATCTAGTACAACCACCACTAATACAACTCCAACAAATAATACTACTTCAACTAGTACATCAGAACGTAATAAATCTGATCATCGAAATGTATTGTCTGAATTAATTCTCGATGAGATTAAACATGAAGATAGTAAAATATCAAATTTAAATAATTTCAATAATGGTAAACAAACATTAGATGTTACACCTGTATCGCTAGCAATATCACGACACTTGGGTATGGATTTAACTCATGAGTCATGTAAATCAGGTAAATTCGGCATTGTAATTCTTGTCAATGGAGCATTGGAATCCATTAGACGTGGTAAGTTATTAATATTTAAATTAAACATTTACCACATGGTAGTTAAGTGGCTAGTAATCTTCATTTTTCATGCTTTTAATAAGTTAACTGACATAAAGTAGGTACGATAACCATTGAGACAATGGAGTACTGAATATGTTTCGTACACACAACTCCGTAAGGCATTAAACCATTGACGTTTAGGTTTCAGAATGACCGTATTGAATTGATATTCAAAGGTCCTCCTACTGATTTTATATAAAATTATTTATAGGTATGAGAATTTTACGGAATATCAGTGTACTATGACTTATGATAGAAAGTTTTTAAATGTATGGCATGCTTAGTTAATATTATCCTGGGACCACCGAGTAAGTAATGCAGTTGTTAAGAAACGGTTCCCAGGTGAAAATGGCAAATCAATTGATGAAGTAGTGAAACTTCATCAGTTGAGATGGCTGGGACATGTGTCACGTATGCCCAACCACCGACTTCTTCAACGTGCGATGTTTTATGATGTAGGAGTGGGTCGGAAAAAAGCTAGGGGTGGCTACAACAAAACATGGAACAAATCCATGAAGTCACTGACAAGTGGACTGAACCATGTTGGTAGATGTAGACTACTTGGTTGGGGACCGCGAGATGATAGCAATCGATGGTTAGAGACCTTGAATCACATGGCTCAAAATCCTTTGTAATGGTGTACGCAGGTGCACCCACTCTTTGTGTTCTCTCAAACTCTAATCTCCTGAATTCTTCACGTCCCTTGTTTCCTCTTTCTAAATTTATTTTATTGGATTATACTCGTTGAATAACATTGTCAAATCCTAATCTTTTCTATTACTACTTATACTCTTACTACCTCTACCACTATGGGATTCGAATCGACAATTGTATTCGTACCTACGAAGTTCTACGTTGTTACTGACTGACTGATTGATAATCACCGATCGGATCTTTATTCAATGTAATTAAAAATTATACCGCTGGATGTCAGCAATTCTTCGGAGATAACGATGATCAGACACAGAGAGTCGTCTAACATCTTCAAGTCGGAGAGGTCAGGTTTCACAAGCATAGATTAAAACTGTACTCACCAAAGCATTGTAGACCTGACCTTTTACAGCTAGGCTGACATCTAGAAAAAGCCAAAAATGGCTCAGATCGGCATAGGTCTCTTTAGTCTTCATTATACACGAATTGATTTCATCACTTATGCCATCATCAGCACTTACACATCTGCACACATGCACATACTTGTCGATCAATTGTGTCTTCTCACTCTCAGAAGTGAGTGCAGGCACAGGCTCCTGCCAGTCTTGTAAAAGTATTTTACACTTAGAAGGTGTAAAGCACATGCCTTACCTACGGATACTAAATGCCAAATAATTAAGTATGAATTGTATGGCTTATTTATCATCGCACCTCTATTATTGTTCTGTTCAAATTGCAACTGTTATCCTATTGAATTAAGATATTTACACTTATTAATCACTTAGTAATTCATAATTTTATACAATAAATCATGTTTTTCGTATTTCATTATATGATTTCTGTATTTTATAGATATTGTCAAAGAGTTAGCTAGTAAATATCAAGCAACTGTAATTACCCTTAATCAAATTATTATTGAAGCATTACTTACAAGTACAACTGATGCAGCTTGTCAAGCAAGACAAATCTGTTTAAATGTTGGTCTAGAAATTATTCAAGCAAAATTATGTACAAAACAAAGAGAACTTCAAGAACATGAACTAGAACAATGTCAATTACAACAATTAGCTGATTTAGAAATTAAATTAGATTCACCTGTAGAATTATCAGATGATGCACAAAAAGATGAAGGTAAATAAAGAGTTTTAATGAATAAGAAATATGAGATTAAAATTGATCGATATGGTTGAAATCAATAGGTGTGATTGGTTAAAGTTAGATATTTACATCAGTGGTCCAGAAGTTGAGCGTTCATGCGCAAGACCGAAGGTCCTGGGTTACAGTCCTGCGTGTGTGATCATGGATGTTCCCTTCTGAGGAAACCTATACCAGGACGAAAGGGCTGTCCAGTTCTTCCAAGTTTGCATTGATGGTGTAACATTGATCGACTCATGATCTCAATGAAAAAATTATGAGAAATGATATACTTTGGTTTTGTGTTAATCAACATTTTCCAATGAGATCAAAATGCAGTCTTAAGGAAACTAACTATTCCTATGCTACTTATATCTGTATAATCAGGTGTCAAATTTCAAGATTTCATCATTGAATTATTCATGCTGCTAGAAATCTCCTTTGGGACAGAGATATTTACATTGATTTAGTCAGTGAGTAGTAACCAGTGTTACATTATGCCTAGTATCTAGTGTTGATCCAACAGTCTAGGTGATTTGAAATCACATCCAATATTTTTAGGTGTTAGACAGTTAATAACAATTGGCATGAAGCCATGAACCTCAGCCCTATTGCTAGTTGACATATGTCACCAAGGTATTTGATATAGTTATCTCGTTAGTTCTAAATAGCTATAATTAATAATGAAACAATCTCCCGGTTATTACCTAACTTCCTACCACCAGCTTTTGGATTAATATATAAATCGAACTATAAAACCGTGAATATAGTATACACTATGACAATCAAAGTAAAATATGATTATTTATTTAGTCCTTCTGACGTATCCCTGTACGATTCGATGTTAATACGAGATGTGCTAACATCTACATGAAGAAATTCCATATGATGATAATGTTAAGTCTATTGAGTATTAAATATCTGATGCCATAGAAAATCTTCAGAATAAAATAAAAAGTCTATTCGATAGGTTTCTTGAAATATACCTTACACTTGCATAAGATGCATATATATACATATATATATATATATATATATATATATATATATATATATATATAAAATGAAGCAAAACGTTTTTGGTTTATTCTGCTCTTATACAGTTTACATAATTATATTCCATATACTTTAATTTAAAGTGTTATTATTTCACTTTGAGCACATTGCAATACGTTCTGCCAAACGTGAAAGAAGGTGAAAATTATTGTGTCAGATTAATAGTGTGTAGAAGCTGGTGCTATGTTAAGCCCACATAAGCCATTCTGGCTTCTGGATAGACCAATTTATTCATTCTATATTTTGATCTTGTCACTTATTTACCCTGAATATTTTTATGTGAGTGTATGTGTGTTAATTATTTGCCTTATTCATAATGTGTCTGTAACTTATTTTGGTTTGACTATTAATATCGGTTCACACTTGATTGAATCGCGTTGATTCACATGCCATCTCCTATTCCTTTCGCTTCGCTGTCTCCAATTCTCTTTCTTTGCATTATTTCTTTAATCGTTTGTCTGGTTCAAAAATTGTATGAAATATACGTATTCGAAATCCATTCTCGTATTTGACTTATTTAATTCAGTTATTCGCCAACGTGATTTAAGTCAATAATTGTATATGAGGATTGGCGGCACGTGTATTTCGATATCAATCATCATACGATCTAATCGGAGTCAGATACAGGGTCATTAAAAGTGAAACCAATAAATAACACGAAACAGTTAGTGACAAGACTTTATTTTTTTCATTTCTGATCAGTCTTATAAGAAAGTCAATAATGTTCCATATTAACAATAACTGATATCCTTCGAGTTCCTGGTGCAGCATAACATAGTCTTTTTTAAGAGCTCATATAAAAATAAAATGAGACGACACAGAGTATGAATTGTATACAAATTAAGAGTTAATTTACAATCAAAGATGCATTGTGTCACCATATAGTAGATGTGAGCGAAATATTTCTTCATTATTATTGTTATAACTTATGTTTGTGTCCAATAAGAGAACAGTGAATTATCGACCGAACCAGTGACACATAAAACAAGTACAAACAGTCTAGAGTCTTATTATTGGTCCTGCTTCCTGCCTAACCCTTTCTGTCAAGTCCAGAACACCATTCTCAGGCTCTGCAATATGAATCATTTATTTCAAATATACTGGGTTCATATACAAACGACATCGTACCATAAAATAAGAAACAACATTTGTACAAGATTTGGCCAAATGTGGCTGTGAATGTTGGAGGTAATGATTAATAGACAAGGCATAATTCAAGAATGGTAAATCGTAGAATAATAGTTCATAGGTCAAAATAAAGCTTATGATAAACGGAACACGAATATGAATAGTTTACTTAATTAACATTTATAAAACAAAAATATACATATAGTATTAGTTCAGATATAGATTCCAACAGTGATCATTCATTATTCTCATCGAGATATAACGATTAACAAAATACATGTGAAGATTAAAAAGAATTCATAGAAAAAAAGTCTAACGCAAAAATAAAAACTGAGTAACAACTGGTTTCTTTTTTAAGCAAAAATGCTAAAGTACAATTGAGTCAAGTCAGTCAGTCAGTCAGTCAGCTAAAACATGGGACCAGGTACATACATGCATCGGTCCAAGTTGTCAAGTAACTTCATGAGATTATTTTGTTCATTTTCATATATAATCTTCAATATAATAGTTTGATATCTAATAGAGACAAATTTCGTCATACACAGTGAAATCATATATATTTCTTAGAAGTGTCTTCAGTAGAATAGATGAACATATAAAGGAGAATCAATTAGTTATCATCATTGTAAAGTTTCTCATAGATAATACATTTGTCCAAGTTGTCATATTACATTAGTATGACAAATAGAAATTGACGAGTTTAACTCCTAAAAGTAATTGAAATACTTTTTCTAGCAGTAATCATGAGAAAGATTAAGGAATAAAAATAATTGCATAAAAAAATAGACTGGAAAAGTATATATAAAGGATTACAGAAATGCGAAGTCTTGAGTAAAATTAGATAGAGCAATCTATTTGTTATATCTTAGTGAAGATTAAACTAATGGGAACTCCCGAGGACTATTAATGAACTAATATTATCTATATATTCTTATTGTATAACTATTCAGTAACTAGATTATGTATATCTATACTCTCGTTGTTATAAACTTTATTTTGATCTATATATTATTAGTGTGCGATTTACTGTTCTTATACTATGTTCAGTTTATTGACTACTGCCTCCCACGTTCACAACCACTTTTTGGCTTTATTGTGTACAAGTGTTATTTCCTATTTTATGTTGTGTTGCGGTCTGTTTGGTTGATATATAAACCCAGTATATCTGAAATAAATGATCCGATTCGATTTGTATAGTGGAAGCTGGTATTGATGTTCTGGACCCAAGTGGACGGGCTAGGCGAACATAGGATCAATAAGGACTCTAGGCTGCTCATACCGGTCGAAAGTCATTGGTTTGGCACACTGCTAAGATTGTATAAGTCGTATTTTGAGTAGTGGATAAATCACGTGATAAAAAGTCAGACATAAAGTCACAACACTATTCATTCTTCTTGAAATATACTTTAAATTTGATACTTATTCGCGGCGAGACTATAATTTATGGACGAACCAATCACGTATAAGATAACAGGTCTCGAATTTCGGCGCGAAGTTCAACCATCCTTTTAGCTAAATAGAATTTTGGCATTATAGCTGATGTTAATTCATGGTGAAAACCGTGAATCTAATTCCTAGCCTTAATCATCAACTGTAAATTATAATTCCAATTCCTCACACAGGTTTATAACCCTCATTTGACACTAGTCATTAAGAGAACACCCTCAGGGTCACTCTAGCGTCGCTCGAAGGTCGTGCATAAATTATAGTCTCACCCTTATTCGCCTATCAATCCTGACTGTTTTTATGTATGAGTATATGTGTGCATTCTTTATCTTAACCATCATATGTTTGACTATAAATATCGGTTCACACATAGTTAAATCGAGTTGGCTAATTCACCTTCTCCATTTCGTGTTATTTTGTTTTGCTTCGCTTTCCGATCAACGATTGTAAGAAATATACGTATTCAAACTCTATTGCTGTAATTAACTTATTTAATTCCGTTATTCCCCAACGTGATTTAAGTTTATAAATATATACGAAAGTAGCTAACTCAGTCAACAAACTCATCGATAATATCATCATGCCACTACTAAATGTGATTAATTCATCTACTTTTGATTTATTTCTAAATTTACTTTTTCCTAAAAAAAAAATAATTTTAACAGTTGATCTATCTACTGCATCTATCAGTGGAGAACAATCCAAATTAACCACTGGTCAACAACCTAAAACATCAGTTAGCCGACAAGGTCAAGTTCCGCACAAAATGATGGGATATCGTAATGCATTAAATGTACCTCGAAAATTAAACGATACTGTAAGTTTGGAAATTTTTTTATATTAGATCAATTAAAGTATAACAATTTTAACAGTATTCAGGGAGCGGGGTAATTCGTAGGAAAAATGAAAATTTATTTAAGATAAAGTGTTCCGTACTACTATAAACTAGTTGTTCTGTGGTCTCTTTTAGTTTTCAATGTTGCCCAACTGAGATCAATCCGTAACAAACATTAAAGTAAAAATAGTTTATTTATGAATTCTAAAATAATCAGTTTTCATTACAGTTGATCAATTATCTTATATTTGTTATTACCTAAGAAAGTTTCCCAAGTTCACAAAATTTATGGATTTATAACTATTAAAACTGTCCAGTATGCTATTGAATATACTTCTTTATTTAAATATTCTGTTTGTTTCCCAATATTCTATCGATAACTTTAAATTTATGAGAGCACCTAAAACTTCATTCTTTATACAGAATCGTGGATTGGTTGGGGTTAAATATTAACACTGTTGTATGCCGGCCTTCTCAGTGATCTAGAGGTTAGGCGTTGGTTCGCGAGACCGAAGGCCCTGGGTTCGAATACCACAAGCGAGATTGTGGATGAGCACTGCTGAGGAGTTTCAAAATAGGACGAAACGGCCATCTAGTGCTTCCAAGTTTTCAATGGTGGTCTAACATCAATCAGTTCATGATCTCAATCAAAAACTTAACAGTATCTACAACCCCACATTGATAATCATTGTAAAATTATTTATCAGTCAGTAGGTCAGTAACAACGTAGAACTCCGTACGTAAGTACATCATTTCGAGTTGCCATATCACATTAGCACACAGATACAATTTTCGATTTGAATCCCATAGTGGTAGAGGTAGTAAAAGAATAAGCAGTAATCGAAAAGATTAGAGTTTGAAGATATCATTCGAAGAGTATAATCCAGTGAAATACATTTGGAAAAAGGAAAAAATGGGGACATGAATAATTCAGAAGATTAGAAGTTGGGAAAACATAAATAGTGGATTCACCTGCGCCATTGCAAACGATTTTGAGCCATGCGATTCAAGGTGTCTAACTATCGATTGCTATCATATCGCGGATCCTCGGAACCGGATAGTCTACACCCACTAACATGGTTCAATCTACTTGTCAGTGACTTCATGGATTTGTTCTATGTTTTGTTGTAGCCACCCCTAGCTTTCTTTCAACTAACTCCTACACTATAATACATCGTAAGTTGGGGCAGTCGTTAGTTAGACATACGTAACACATGTCCCATCCATTTTGTCTTACACTTATCAACAAATGATTAACTAAAAGCTGTTCAATCCCAAAATCCATTCACGTCAGTTACTAACATGTTGTTAATATTAAGTATATTTCATGACCTATAAAATGATTAAACTAATTTCTTAATCTTATTATATATATTTATTTTTTTCTTTTATTTATCAGTCATCAACGATTCCTGAATATAATACAACATTTAAATCAAGACGAATTACATATTCAATGTTTGATGATATAATCAAATCATATATTGATAAATCAACATTAAAATTATTAAATAATGAACAATTATATACAACAATTTTACCTGATGATATAATATTACATTTAATACAAGAATATTTCAATCATCATCATCATAATAGTAATAATAATAATAATAATAATAATAATAAAGGTATCATTATAGATGGAATTGAATCAGATTTTACAAAAAATAGCATAGCAACTATGGAATTATTATTAAAATATTTTAAAGATAATTATAAATATATATATACAATAAGTATTAAATTTAATTATGAACAATATAAACAATATATCAATGAAAAACAAATCAAATTAAATGAAATAAATAATTTATTAAATAAAAAATATAATGAAAAATTAATTGATTTAACGGATTATGAATATGATGAATTAAATGATAATGAACGTGAAATAATTAATCATTTACAATATGAATTACGTCGTGAAAAACATCAAATTGAATTAGAAAAAAAACGTATACAAGAAGAACAATTACGTGAAGAACAAGAAGCTGAAATGAAACGTTTAGAAATGGAACGGTAAATAATTTATTATAGTTATTACAGTTATATAATATAATCTTGTGAACCAGGATAATTTAACATTGGTTTTCAGGAGAATCAGACACTATCCAGACTTTTACCTGATAACCCAAACAGTACAACTCAAGCCTGTTTAACAAGAGAGCCAGACACTGTATAGTCTTTAATGCTACAATCTGAATAGTACAGCTCAATCCTGTGGTGCAACCATACAGGTAACATGCACCCTGGTGGACCAAAATAGTTTATTAATCTTTTTAAAAAAAACATAATATTATGGTGTGTGCGCTACTTATATAATGACATATGTAGTATATTCCTCGAGTCAGAAATATAATGTCTAGGAGCAAATGATTGAGAAAGCCAAGAAGGGAAGAACGGGGAAAGAAAGCCATTGATATGGAAATACAGGAACAATGAAGTCTGAGACAATTAATGAACATTTTGCAAATGAAGTATTAGAGTATGATTTCTTTATTTTACCAAGTAACTGTAATTTTGTGCTGAACCTGTGTCCTGTTCCCTACATTTGGTGTCTCTGTCAACCAGGATGAGGAAGGGTGCTGTTCTGCTGACGCCGTTGAGGGCCTGGCGCTGGGGTGCTAGTTTGGGTAGTCTGGTGTGGAGAAGTGACGTCGAGTGGAGTGTTCTGGTGGGATGGCGTTGGTTGTAGAAAGTGATGTCGAAGGAGGCGAGCCGTGGGATGTATGGCTGTTGGGTGAACATTGAATTTAGATGGCTCAGCAGGTTGCTTGAGCGCAGGCGTCGGGCGTCCCACGTACCAGGTGGATTTCAGGTGTTGGTGCCCCGGCAGGTCGACGGAGCTATGGAGGTCAGCGCGCCGCAGTCTCGACATTTTGACGGGGATGTGCCAGAACCACAGAAAGAAGGAGTGCTTCAAAGGGTGGGCGTGTGTGGTATGAGCTACTTATATCCGCATAAATAGTATATAACGATGTTCAGAAATAGAATGTATTGCAGTAGATAGATCGAGAAGGAATGGATGGAAATAAAAGCAATTGGTATGAAAATGAATGAATAGGGAAATCTGAGACGATGGATTGATATTTGCAAAAGGAATAGCCAAGTTTGAGACGATCGATTGATATTTTGCAAATTAGCTATTTATTTTGTGGTTCTCTTATTTTAGTAAGATGTTCTGTAATTTTATGTTCAAATACACTCGATTGTCTCCACTCGTATTCTTGTTCACTACAATATATTTGGGAAGTAATATGTCTTTTTAGTTCTTGTGATATTGTTCAATTTTAAATAAAGTCCCCAAAAACACATGTATTTTGAGAATACATGATAGTTTGTAGAGATTTTAAGAGATTATAAGAAGGAGAATTATCTAGGATGAATGTATTTTGTTACCAATCTGTTTCAAAGTTTAGATATGTTTATTTATATCAGATTCTGTCTTCCTCGAGCTTCTCAAGAATCAACATTCTATACTGTTGTTTCTGAACTCAATAATACCCTTAGTATGTACAAAAGAAGGACATTTTAAATACATCCTAACAAATATATGCTTGAATGATAAATCATCTGGGATGAAGCTACGGAACTAGTTTACTTAGATGAACGATGAACCGCGTTAGTAGAGAGAAGTTTTAACTATTTCCAGTTATTATATGATCCATGACATGTTTGTAGTCGATAAGATATAAACAAAAATACAGAAGATTTTTAGAAACTACTAGTCTACAACACTTATAAAATCTAAACGGATGTCAAATATATTTCGAAAAGGTGTATATTATGTATAGAGCTTTAATCTATGCTACACTTGTACGGTGGGGAGTTAAGAAAGTTATTGGTAATCGATTATAAGTGGTGCGTAGCAATGCTAAGTACAGTGGAAATGATTAGTGACTCATGTGAGATCCTAGACAGTGTAGTTAAGTAAACGCTTCTTGCTGTCATCACGTATTTATTATGGTGAGGTGAACTTGTATTGTAACTAGGATACTAGATTTTTTTGTAATGTGTCAGTAGTTTGACTGAAAGCATTCATAGATGATGCAGATAAAAAAACATTAATACGAAATTGGGAATCAGGTGATTATTTTGAAATTCTTTCTTAAATATTGTTGACTTTGACGTTAATCTTGTACCAATGAGTTAAATGTTTGTTGAAAAAAAGTAGTTTTAACTAAATTAAAACATACTATTCATATGTAGACTTAATGAATCGTGATCCTAGTTTCATTCTATGCTCTACATAAAAAACTGGTTTATAATTTCTACTTCTTTGAACTTTATGTACCATTTTTGTTTATTCTAAGTCTAGGTATTATCTAAATGTCTATCTTATTTGGATAGTTTTCTCCTTGTACTGTTCGTAATAGGTAACATTCTATGTTCTGATGCACATTTGCATAATGGTGTTTAATGTTTTGTGATCTTAATGTAAAAGTAAATTGTATTTATCACACATTTTCTTAACAGAAACATGAAGAAAAGAGGTAAACGACAAGATGAAAAAACAATGAAACCGATTACATCGAATCAAGTGTCAGTTAAAGATAATCGTGCGTTATCTGGTCGAATGAGTTCAAGACCTGTGAAAGACGTTAATAATAATTTGGGAAAATTAGATGCAGTAGATAAATCCCCTTTAACAGTTTTAGAAGAAACGTTAGTTATAATTTTTAGTTTGATTACGTTTTATACATTTGTATATTTAGTTTTTTAATCGAATTTATTATTCTTACTTACTTACGCCTGTTAACCACAATGGAGCATAGGCCACCAACCAGCATTCTACAAACCACTCTGTCATGGGCCTTCCTTTCTAGCTCTATCCAATGGTTGTTCATTCTTCTCATGTCTGTCTCCACTTCTCGGTTTAATGTGTTCTTTGATCTTCCTCTTCTCCTTTATTTAGCCTTGAGGATTCAATGTAAGGGCTTACCTTGTGACGCCGTTGTGTGATTTCCTCAATGTGTGTCCTCCCTACTTTCAGCGCTTCTTCTTCCTCCTCTGGGATCTGGTTCTCTCGCACATTAAGTTGTTGCTGATAGTGTCTGGCCAACGGATCCTATGCATTTTGTGTAGACAACTGTTAATAAATACTTGTATCTTCTGGATGATAGCTTTCGTAATTTTACAAGTTTCCGTCCTATACAGTCGAACTGTCTTGACATTTGTATTGGAAATTCTGACTTCAGTGTTGGTTGACAATTGTTTTGAGTTTCAGATGTTCTTTAGTTGTAGATATGCTGCTCTTGCTTTTCCGATCTGCGCATTCACATCTGCATCAGATCCACCGTGTTCCTCGATGATTGTGATTGGTTCATGCTGTGTTGTACCGGAGAATCTTGCTTTTCCCTTTGTGTATGTTGAGACCTACTGCTGCTAGGGCTGCTGCTACACTGGTCGTCTTTTTCTGCATTTGTTCTTGCGTGTACGATAGAAAAGCCAGATCATCTGCGAATTCTAGGTCATCCAACTGCATCCTAAATGTCCACTGCATCCCGTGCTTCCCTTCAGATGTTGATGTCTTCATAATCCAGTCGGTCACTAGGAGAAAGAGAAAATGATGAGAATGCAGATTTTGAGTGATTATACTGTGATGAATGAAACTGATACTATAACTGTGGTCTTGTAAAATACCCATGTCAACAAAAGCTTGACTATTACATAACACTGTATGGATTATGCTAGAAAAATTGATAATTTGTAATAGAGGCAGCCTTCTTGCATGTTAAATTTATTTATTAGGCTGAGAATCGACCATGAACAAAAACAACTAATAGGAAAGGAGGAAAGAATACTGTAAGAAATATGTTGAAATGCTTGTCAGCTTGGGGTTGTTCACTTTTATGCAAAGTTTCGTTTTGTTGTGTATTTCTTGGAAAAAAGTAGAAATATCAGTTATTTCACTGATCGTACTTTAAACGTATCACCAGGTGAAGAGGGTACTTTATTCGATAATTGTTATGTGGATCCGATGATAGAAACGTCTCCTAATAAGTTATTTAGTTTTTTTGGTCACTCCGTTCATTAAATCTGGCAATAATATAAGTCATTATATTTTTAGTTAAGATGGGTGTTAAAATGAAATCACATTTTATGACGCTTTTAACATAATGCATTTCTTTAAAAAAAATACCGAATTTCAGACGCCGTACATCAAGATCTCATGAAAAACATCGTAGATCCGCAACTAGTTTCAAAGATGAAGCATTAGCCGAGGAAGAAGTTGGGGTGTGTATGACAGAAGAAGAACACTTATTGTATCAAACGTAAGTCTAGGAAAGTGTAATGTAAGAATAAAATTTGAAATTTTAGTGAAACAAAAAAGTATTTTATTGATTCTGTATTGGTTGTCAAAATTTCCTCATTGACGTTTAGGACTGCAATTGATTCCATCACCAGCCACCATTCATTTCTGCCAACAGTGATTGTAAATCAAGGTAATATCAAGGCAGTCTGCAGAGGATGCATATATGCCAAAAAAGATCAATTGCAACCTTAAATGTCAATGGGAAGATTCAAAGTGTATAACGCGATTGCGTTTGAAGCTAGCATTACTGGATTTGAGCCTTGGAGTCAATATCAAATCTGGGATGCAAATACAGTCAGCTGACCATACTGGAATAGGATGAAATGTAGGGTTTATCTGGTTAAAGTTCACTAACTTAGGTGTTTTATTCACTTGTACAAATCTTTCCACCATGCCAATAGAACATTTGGTAATATACGTTCGTAGCTAAATACTTTTCTTATTGATTTATATTAATGGCTATTTTTCTTATACTATTCAGCTTGAAGTCATTTGAAGGTGACTTTCGATCTCTGTGTGAATTACTTAGTACATGGAATCGCGTTACGTTACAACAACAAACATCATTACTAGAATCACATGAAGAAAGTCCAAACTCAACTATTGTCAATTTACCTATTGGTAAACGTAATAGACAAAGTGGTTTAAATTTTCCATCTAATACTGTCAATACTAATTTAAACAAAACAAAACATTCAATTGGTAAAGTTGATCCTTCTAATATACAAGTTATAAATGAAAATATAACTGTTTTATTACCACCAATCTATTGTGATGTAAATATAATGAATGAAAACCCACCTAATAATAATAATAATAATAATAATAATCCAGTTGAAGTGAAAAATGAAAAAGATTCAACTGATAATGGTGTACAAATTATTGGGATACCACATCTAGTTGTTGAATTTCCATTCAAAAAAGATACAAATATTATTGAAGGTAATGTGCATTTCGTATAAAAAGAAATACAGTTTTCTTATTTTTATTGTGATGAATTTCGAGACTAAATTAAGAAAGAAAATTAGTTTCATTATTAGTATCATGGGTTTGAATCCCGTGGGGCGGGATCGTGAATGCTCACTGTTGTGGAACCCCACAATAAGACAAAACATCCATTTAGTTCTTCCAGGTTTTCTATTGTGATCTAGTTTTAATTGATTCATAATCTCAACTATTGAAGTTTCATTATTAATTGTGATCATATGTAAAACTAACTGGCTGAATAACTTTGATTTTTAATTTCATTTTACTTAGATAGTTTTATTAAAATGAAGAACCACAGTCACATGACGTCAATTCATAACTAATCTAGGTTGGTTATCTTTGATCTTGATTATGTTCTGTAAAATGTCTAACATAGAAATGATTCACCTTGATGAATGACTTGTCTAGGTTTCAATGACATTTTACTAGTTATATAAGTCTCTTAGGATATGAATTCAATTGCCTAAAATATAATTCAATTTTGTGAGTAAATATCCTTTTGAAATGGTTCTAGTCTACTGACAGATATCATGCGAGACTTTTATTTGTTAAATCTCTTCGATGTTAAGATTATCGTTTCTTATTTTTGATTACATTTAAGTGTAATTTTAGTTTTCTAATTATTGAGAACAGTTTTAGTTAAAAGAAAGTTATTTAGTTGTATGATAAGTTTCTACTATCATTACTTAGCTTTGCCAGTTTTCATTTCACGTTAATGAAAATTAAAGGCATATGTAACTGAACATTTCACAATGAAACGATAACTATACTGGTTACAGTGACATATAGCAGTAATCAATCAATGTCTAACTTCAACGATACATTCACAATAAACTACAATGAAACCAAGAATTATAATGATATAAATGCATTCACATAACAATCAAGTACAAAGTTCAACATCAGACACTTTTATATATGTACACAGATAGTAAAAAAACTGAATGTCTTTTGTATACGGCCTGCTTGAGAAATCCGGCTTAATCACCAGACTTATATCAGATAATGATGGAGTCCAACTAACATTAAATTAGACTGGAACGAATACTAAAATTTTTTACACGTGGATTTTAAGTTAAAATCTATGTTTAATGAATTTTTTTCTAACATGATTTAAATCCCAGACCAATCAATTTAGACAACCATTGAAGGTCAGGAATCCTTGAACAGATATTTCATTTCAGCACGAAAATTCTCAGTAGTACATATCAGCGATCCCAGGATCTTCGATCCTGCAGCAAACGTCCAACCCCTAGACCGCTGAGCCAGCATCCAACTATGTCAATATCTAACTTCAATCGATTCACAATATTCCCCAGCCATTTCTCATTATATGGGTTGGATAAATGTTTTCTTTTCGATATGATTGAACTCTATTTGTCACGGCTTCCAGGATATGTATTTCGAATTTATTCACTAGTGAATAAATGATCACTATTAGCATACATAGATTTATCAAGGTAGTTGAATTTTCATATTTTACACTACAGACTAATCTTAGTTAGGCTACCAATGCTTCCTAGTTTTTAACAATCTTCACAAACTCACCTTGACTAAATTCTTATTAACTATTAACTATTATTGTTGTAATTTACATTCGATTTATTCTATGTTATTTATAGCTATTAAACAGGAAATCAACTTAATGTTAACTGATTCAGATTTGATTCATGTTGAAAGTATAGTTGGTACAAAGATTAAAGATAATTTGTTAATGACAAACAGTTCAGGACAACAAGAACAAGAACAACAACAACAACAACAAAACACAATATCAACCGAACTTTGTCAATTATTGTCATATCATTTACCTGAATTCAATGAAATAATAAATTATCTAGGTATTGGATCTGATGGGCCACCTATACCAGAACCAAATAATTTCTCAGTTATATATTATCCAATTAATAATGATACTACTAATACAATAAGAAATAGAAAACAAATAGGAAAACAATCAAGAATAACAAAATTAAATGAACAAAAATCAATTCATATAAATTTGAAATATTATGAATTTTTACATTCTGGTCAAGGTGATCCAATTATGAATACTATACCAATAGGAAGTGTATTACAATTAACTGATTCAATTGGAGATGAAGAATTAGAAGGACGAATAGAAACCAATGAATCGTCAAATAAACAAAAAGTTGTCACTTTTTATTTTTGGCTTTATGAATTAGATTGCGTTGTTTATATCACTTTTTATTCGATTCTCACAAGGCGGTTACGTGGATGCGTACTACTGAGGAGTCCCATAATAGAACGAAACGACCATCCAGTGCTTCCAGATTTTCTATGGTGGTCTAGCTTCAATTGATTTTTTCAAATATTTTGAACTAAGTACAGTTAAATTCACTTGATGTTATTTGCTTGTATCTTCCCATTGTTGTTTAAGACTGCAACTGATCAGTCTCTTGTTGGTATATGTGCGTACTGTGCGGATTGCTTCGATATTGCCTTAATTCACAAGCATTATAAGTAAAGATGGATAGTAGCTAGCAGTGGAATCCATGACTCTTGTTTCGTTCTATTTGGGACTCCTCAGTTGGATGTAGCTGCATCCCAGTAAAAGTGTTAATCTATCAAAAAATGTTCAGTGAATATAAAGTTTTACATTCACGAAAAATTTTTAGAAGAAAAAAGTGAATGTTCGTTAAAATTAGTTACATAGATTATCTATGGTTAATTAAATATATTCTTATTGAGAATCATTATGTGTTGTGTGCTACTTATGTCGATAGATATAAGTAATATGTATCACTAATAGAAAATGGAATGCCTAAAGGCAGAAGGTTGAGAAAATGGAATAGAAAACGGCAACAGAGTGTGATTGATATGAAAATGAAGGAACAACAAAGTGTGAAACAATTGATAAACACTTTTCGAATGAAGTAATGAATGTAGGGTATTCATATTTTAACAAGAGATTCTGTAGTTTTGCGCTAAAATACATCTGGTTACCTCCACCTGTATTCTCGTTCTCTGTAATTGTACTATCAATCATCAGTTTATCGAATCTATTAAACATAGAATAAACGAAGCACAATTAATAAGATAATTTTACAATCTCTACTACTATCAATTACTCTATACAAACATAAAACATTAAAGTGTTAGAGGATTAATAGAATATTAGATTTTAGAATTATCTTGTAACAGCTTCTGTGTGATTACACTCTCGAGAAGGCAAATCAATCCAAATATTTTGAGTTATTATTTACACATATATTTGACTTCGTGAATTAATCGCTTTGTAACTCTGATGTTTTATGTGCACGTATGTGTGAATATATTTAATAACCATTTACTTTTGATTATGTTCCTTTCATCTGAATTGGGGTTTATGGTGATTGTAGTAATTTTAATAGTTAAATTCATGAGTTGATCATAGAAAACCTGGAAGAACTGGACGGCTGTTTCGTCCTAGTTTGAAGCTCCTCAGGAGTGCGTATACACGATAATTACATGTTGAGTCACGTTTGATAAAACTGAGTTGAATATATTTTAGCCTCTGTAGTTCATAAACCGTTTTCTTTGTCTCTCATCGTTTGCTTGCATTATGAAATGTCTGAAATATACGTTCCTCAAATTTTCCCTTATTCGACATTTTATATCTACGTTGTTATTATTAGGATTTTTCGACAGAATAAAAAAAAAACCAACAATTATAATAAAGAAACTCGATCAGTTGAAAAGAAAAGTTATTTATGTGTTCATTTTACTTATCTTTAGAAATTGTGACATTTTTGTATTGTATCAAAAAATTACAATTTAGGTTGGTGATTCATCACGTAAAACAGGAGGTCGATCTATTAAAAAAGAACGCAAATCACCAAGACAAAAGCATCAAACGTTAGATCAAGGTGAAACTACAAGTCGTAAACCAAAAGTTTCTATTGGTGGTGCAAACCTCGGTAATGGTACTGCTCGACGTACTTCTGTCATAAGCATACATTCAGAGCAAACATCTTTGAATGATGAAATTTCAAGGTAATTATTAAGTGAAATTATTAGACAGTACTATATGATATTCGTTTTACCTGCTTAGTTAATCTATGCGATTATAATATATAACTGACAATTATCTGGTTATTAATCTGACAAATTGTTTCAAATAAACTATGTGATATTATCTGAATCAAATCGTAAAGTATGGATTATATGGATGATAAATATGTCTTTTTATTGTTGTATTCCAATGAGTAGAAAATTGTGTTGCTGAAGTTTCGTGACTTAATGTAAACCATTTCTTCAGAGTAAATAATTAATCGATTTAAATTAACACAAGTTTAAATAGTACAAAGAGAATAATGATGAATATTTTTAATACAATCAAAATCATACAAGGTCTGAATACGTCAATATTAAGTCTTTTTATAGTCAAGGTGAATTTGTTTGTTATGTCACTGTATTAATTTGTGCGTCAGAATGTAGGTATGAAAAATGTTTGGGTGAAACTATAATTTATCAACGACCTTCGATCGACGCTAGAGTGACCCTGAGGGTGTTCGCTTAATAATTAATGTCAAACGAGGGTTATAAACCTGTGTGAGGAATCGGAATTACAATTTACAGTTGATGATTAAGGCTAGGAATTAGATTTCCGGTTTTCATCACGAACTGACATAAGCTAGAATGCCAAAACTCTACTTATCCAAATGGATGGGTGGATTTCGCTCCAAAATCCGAGACCTGTTATCTTATACGTGATTGGTTCGTTCATAAATTATAGTCACGCCAATGTATGCATTTGTAATATGAAGTAGTGAGGTTAAATTTGTGCTAGAGAAATTTTTGCACTGAATGGATATGCAGAATTAAAATAGATATACCTATTTGTATTTGTCGCTTTTGGGTATTTGGTTAGATTTAAACTTCCATTAGTATTCCTTCTTACTAAACAGTTTAAGAATAGTAGTTCACTATATTCATCTTCCTTTTCGAAAGTGAATTTGTTGTAGGTATCAATAATAAGGTTGGATTTGACAGTTTCAAATAAATTGAGGATTGGGTCGAAAATTAATATTAATTATAGTGTTTTTGTTATATCTCGATGAGTAAAAATTTATATTTCTGACATTTAGAATATTAAAGATTCCCATTGTGTAAATTAGAACAACATATATAAGCGAATAATTGTTTTGAATTAGATCATCTTCAGGCTTCACTCTAACATACATGAATATTTATACGAAAGTATTGAACCAATCAAGGCAATTCGAGTCAATAATCACAACGAAATAGAATAGGTTACCACACATATGTTGACATTAATTGCATGGCCATTGTGATTCCCTACCACCCATTGATCTTTCATAAGTTCTGATGGCGCTCTTTAACACTTCAATTGATTGGAACGCTACGAAATACAATGTATTCAAGAATACGTTCTCCGTTTCTGTGACAACGTGAGAAACGACAGAGCTTCTACTTTGTACGTGACTCTCCTCTATAATTTTAATAAAAAGTACTCTGTCGACAAGTACTTTACATTTTATAACAATTTTAAGACATAACCGACCAATTATAACGAACTTGAAACTAGCCATTTAATTGGATGAAACGGAATGAAAAATATTGGAAAATGAGATGAAAAACTTTTTCTAAGAGGTGAAAAAAATTAATTTTAAAAAGTTACAAAAATGGCTGGTCGTTTAGTGATATTCCAACATTTGAAATAAAAGGTCAAACGTGGGTAAATAGACTCAGAGTAGTCATCACAAAACAGTAAAATCATTACGTAATGAGAAATGTGTAAATAATTAGATAGTGAAGAATACAAACGGAAAGAGGTGGAGAATTACAAACAAATAATATCAATGACTAAGATCATGAGTCAGTTGAAGCTAGACCACCATGGAAAACCTGGAAGCACTGGACGGCCAACTCGTCCTATTATGGGACTCCTCAGCAGTGCGCATCCACGAACTCTCCCCCTGCGAGATTTGAACTCAGGACCTACTGGTTTCGCGCGCGAGCATTTAACCACTAGACCACTGAGCCGGCTGGCATCCACCGGTGTTAATGTCTTACTTCAACTAATCCACGAAATCGAGCGACACATCCACCATTGTCTTCAGTGAGTTACTATTCCGCAACAGACATGGTTGAACTCCACTGGTCTCTACTTCTCACTAGAACTCCAGGATATACCTCTTGAAGCCAGTCACTGGTGAGCATATGTTGATTATTGTCAGAAGGATGTGAAAATAAGGTTAATGATAACAAAAATAAAACAAATGATAATAATGATAATAAAATAGGTCGTTTGTTAAGTTATAACTGGCCATTAATAAGAATTTTTAGTGTGCTATTCTCCTTATGGTTTTATCTGGGTATCATATAAATTATGATATCACTACCATATGATGATACTCTTTATATCTTGCTCATAGTTGATAAAATTTAGCAATCATAGATAGATTAGACGACCCCTCTGAGGTTATATAACGCTATATTACAGTAAAACTATCTCATTTGAGACACATTGAAAATACATGCAATCTGTCATTATTATTTAAACTAGAATTCTTCTTTATGTAATATAACCCCTGAATAGATAAAGATTATAGTTGAATAAACAAATTATATGAAATGTTCATTGTTTGTAATATAATACAGATTTGATTAATAACCTTTTCAATTTACTTTAACCATTATCTTACATCAATATTACTCAACTGTAAAAGATTAGTAATTGAAATTATAATAAAATTTCACAATATTAATGATACACTTCATGGATTAGGGTTGATAAGTTAAAATCTTTAATTCAAGTAGGACTTACTAGCCACTATAATATCGAATCACTTCATCAATAAATATATTTTCTAATTGTGTGTATAGAAAAATTTCTTCATCAGGTCAATACACACATTTCTTAAACTTTGTATCTCTTCATTATAAGAGAAACTTAGTCAAATGTCTGGCAAATAGAGCTATTAGGATATACTCAGTTGATACAATTAGAGCTCATACATAATATGTTGATTGAAATAGGTTATTCACAGGATTTCCTGAAGAAACACTTGCATGTAACAAATAGGAAAATGGCGATATCAACGGTTAGTAAGAAACCTCTCTTCTTGAAGCTGCAATTCAATGGAGAGGTAGCTGGTGATGTACTATGTGATAAACTGACTAGAGCAATAAAAACAACATTTAATACATCCAACTTTTGTTTATCATATTCGACCCGATCTATGGTAATTCCCTAACTAAAGGATAAGTTACCTGGTTATGCCACTTCTATGTGTATCTACGCATTCAGCTGTTTCTGTGGAGAAAGCTTTATTTGATGCACTACCAGACAACTGAAACAAGGAGTTAATGAAAACCTCCATTCGTGATTAGGAAAAGGTACTATCAAGACAATACACAGCTCGGTTCTATCACACTTGATCGATAGTGGTCATGTAGTAGACAGAAATAAGTTATTTCAAGTTATTTATCGTATTACTGCTAGTTTTCCTTATGGTTTTCTATCTCGTCTCTTACACATAGCAGAAGCTATAGGAATTCGAGCTAACAATCCAAGTTTTTCTGTTCATAAACGATTTGAAACACCCTTATCGCTCCCGTGGCTTTAATAAATGATTTTACTTATTTTTATTTTCCATATTCTCTCTTCGTTTATTTTTCTTCACAACCTCCCTCCCTTTTCTTTTCTCAAACATTACGCTTCAAGGTCCAATTGTCTGAACACCACTTATAACGTATTCTTATAATCTTTGTATGTTATTACAATGTCTGTATTTTTCTAATCATTAACCTATTTCCGATTGTTTAGAATAGATTAAAGTTGACTTTAAGAATCCTGATTGAAACATTCTTCTTAGATTCCACAAACAACTCATGATATAATGGATACATCGAGTCACCCGCACAGGTTCCTCAAATATATATTAATTAAGACTGATCATTATTCAGTATTAATTATTGACTGTGGGATGATTTATTCTCTTATTGATAATGATATAATTTTGAACATTGAATTATTAATGACCATGAAAGTGGTCATGTTTTACTGAAATGCATACTTTATTAATACCTATCATATTTTCATCTTTTATTTAGCATTGAATCTAATCAATTATTGATTGGACAACCGTAAGTATTTTGTAACTAATTTTATTTATTTCAAATGGTTGAAATCATGAGTCAAATTAACCTAGACCACCATGGAAAACCTGGAACCACTGGATGGCTTGGTGGTCTAGTGGTTAAGAGCTCACGCGCGAGACTGATAAATCTTGTGTTCGAATCTCGCGAGGTGCGATCGTGGATGCGCACTGCTGAGAAGCCTTAAAACAGGACAAAACGGTCGTCCAGTTCTTCTAGGTTTTCAATGGTGGTTTAGCTTCAATTGACTTATGAACTCAAACATTGAAATTACTATAATATCCACAAAAAACCCTTCTAATATAATTTCGTTTATCATAATCATATAACTTTATTGACAAGTGTGATTATCGACTGTGGGTGTCTATTTCAATACTTACCCAGAATAGTATGATGTAAAAATGTAGACACTTCATGTAAAAAAATTGTTCATCAAAGAGTTAATTTTTAAATGAGATAATGGGCGATATATCAACTTGAAAGTTCTGTTGATAGGACGTTTCATGCTGTTACATTTTACATTACATTCTCAACAAAACCATCAGTCATACATTAAAATAAGGATAAGATACTGATAATGGATATACCATTTAGATTACAAATTTCTTCGAGTTTAGTGAACCATAAATTGGACTCTTTTGTTGGAATTCTTATTAAGCAACCTAATTGAGAAACATGTAAGAAAACTCGTGAACACAATAAAACTTTGTATGACATCATGATTGAGGTTTGAATCTCATTACTAGAAAAATGAGAGAAGGCAATTGAATGAATATGAAAAACACCAAAATGGTGTCAAGGACGACCGGAGCTTGGCGTTGAACTCATTTGTGATCTTCATCTATATCAAGAATAAAATTTCCATATCTGCTACATCTTAAACAATTGATGACGAATATTTCATACTTTTCAATGTTATTTAACCCTAACATTCTTGAAACATTACCCTATAACCCAATAACATCTGTTTCTAGTTACTCTAATAAAATATTGTTATTTTTAAGATGGATTAAATTGAATTTCTTCCATATTCTTATAAGCTTTAACTCAGTTCACAGGGGTGCATTCCAATAATTAATTGACAGTCAGTGGTTTGGATTTTTCGTTAATCATTCATTCCAGGCTAACTAAAACAAAATCTACCATATTTTGTTTACATATACATATGTATTTCATTGAAAGATATATGTATATTTGTTTATGAGATATAAGTTTTTTTATCCTTTCTGTTTATATAGTCTCAATCATTTTCGTTGGATTATACCTGCTAAAGGACAGGTTTGTTTGAGAATTCGTTTTCGTTGTGATCAAGTTGGTCAGTTTGATCAGATATTCAATTTTGAATTGTTGAATAGTAGGAGAATTTATCAATTATACTGCCGTGGAATATGTGCTTTACCATCAATTAGCCGTGAACCAAGGTATGTTTGTGTATTAACTTTTGTGCTCAAAGGCAAGAATTTAAACAAATCAATAATATTTCATATCACATATGTAATTTAAAGTGCTAGCAATAAACCAATTGCATAATCTTGCTTCATTGCTAATTTTATAAACTAGACCACTATTGAAAACTTGGAAGTACTGGACGGCCGTTTCATCCTAGTATGGAGCCGTTCAGTGCTTTTAGGTTTTCTATGGTGGTCTAGCTTAGACTGACTGATGAATTCAACTATTGAAATCACTACAATCTCCACAAACTCCATATTAATAATTTTATAAACAGAAATTTTTGGTTTGAACTGAGAGTTCATTTAATAATGCATGATAACACCCGAAATTATAGTAATTTATTATTATATCGTTATAGAAGATGTCTCATATAGAAAACTACCGGTGTTATGGTTTTATTTTAATGATTTGAATATGATAACTTTGTACTGGAAAATAATTATTTATCGTAATTTTAGACCATATGTAAACTGTTTTTATCTAATTGAATATAAGTTCAGTTACTAAAAGAGCTAAATATACTTCTCCTATCCACTGAAAATGAGAAAGCATTAGGACAATATGTTTTTATCAGCAAGGATAAAAACATATGTAGAGACAAAATGTGACAAATTAATTAAAGCGAATCCTTTAAAAGTAAACTTTTCTCAAGGTTCTTTGAAGGTGAACAATAAAGAATAAAATGCTAAACAGAATCAAACGTTTTATTTTCATCACAATGATGTTAGAATTCAGTGGTTACATTTTTCAATGTTATTTATTTATTTCGGAGAGAACAAGTTTTATTCAGTAACATACGACTCACTTGACAGTTTACAATGGATTACTAGAAATAATATATAGTCAACTCAGGCCACTTACATAATTATTTGTTTGGGTATTTGTAAGACGTAGTAGAATACGATGTCGGTTAAGGTATCACATGAGTAAGAACTAAAAAATTAATTCCAAAATCTTTTAGGGTAGAAAACTTATATATTAATGGATGAAGAAACACTATATACAATTTAATACTATACTATACTTTCAATATCTAGTTAATGACTTTCAGCATTTCAGCCAGTTAGTAAATCAAAAATGCTGTCTAATTAAGATCTTCATAAAACTAAAAAAGGATAGAACAGTCATAAATAATGCAGACTACTTGGTTAGGGTCCGCGTGACTATCGTAACCAATGGTTGGAGACTCTGGGTGACATGGCTCAGAATCAATTACAACGGTGTAGGTATATACACTCTTTGTCTTCCTTTAAACTATGAGATTAAAATTACTTTATATCTTTCTTTATTTCTACGAATTAATTCTTTCTTCCTGTACTATATCCTCATATGCAATCTTTCTTTTATATATTACCACCAAGGCAACTTTGACTGATGCATATATGTGCCTGGTCCTACGTTGTAGCTGACTGACTGACTGAGATAACGCTCCATCATAAATGGTTACGATTTAACTAAGTGACCAATTTTCATTAGTTGTGAAACATTTTGAACTAACTCACCATTGATCAATAAGTGGTCTAACTTTAAACATTTAATCCCGTAACATGACAAATAGCCTATTCATATCGTCAATCCACTGTGAGCATGTTTAATACTACTTACATACTTACGCCTGTTACTCCTAATGGAGCATAGGCCGCCGACCAGCATTCTCCAACCCACTCTGTTCTGAGCCTTCGTTTCTAGCTCTATCCAATTGTTGTTCATTCTTCTCATGTCTGCCTCCATTTCTTTGTTTAATGTGTTCTTTTGTCTTCCTCTTCTCTTTTGACCTTGAGAATTTCAAGTGAGGGCTTACCTTGTGATGCAGTTGGGTGCTTTCCTCAATGTGTGTCCTATCCAAATCCAGTGCTTCATTCTAATTTCGTCCTACTCTGGGATCTGGTCTGTTCTCTCGCACATTAGGTTGTTGCTGATAGTGTCTGGCCAACGGATCCGAAGTATTTTGCTTAGACAACTGTTAATAAACACTTGTATCTTCTGGATGATGGCTTTCGTAGTTTCCCAGGTTTCCGCTACATACAGTAGAACTGTATGTTTAATACTAAGTCATACATAAATAATACAATACAAGAAGATATTCTACGTGTACTACCGTATCATGCTATTATGCTATTCATTTATTGCTATTACATCTTATTATAATCAATCTGATGCTTTATCTGAGATCATTATATCTAATGCAAAGAATTCATTTTGAATTGTACAGATTACATTTTACAATAACAGTGTTTATTTGATTACATAATTTTGAATGAGTTCATTTATTCATTTTCTATCTACATATAATAAACTTTCTTTTTATATTTCTATCATAAAGATTAATATATGCAAAACGTAAACGTACTTGTAATCAAGGTGAAATTATTCATGGTACCTATTTAATGTCTACATCATGTTTTGAATTTGGACCATTATTAATTGAAAAGTCTAAAGAACGGTAATTGGAAAAAACAAATTATTCTTGTATTTTTAATAGTTTCTAATGTACTACTATGTTTCATTTAGAAATATCTATGAAGTAATAACAAGTATTTACTCAATGAAAGATTTTATTTCACCAATCCGTTATCAAACTTCTGATAATAATCAACATATGCTCACTAGTGACTGGCTTCAAGAGGTATATCCTGGAGTTCTAGTGAGAAGTAGAGACCAGTGGAGTTCAACCAGGTCTGTTGTGGAATAGTAACTCACTGAAGACAATGGTGGATGTGTCGCTCGATTTCGTGGATTAGTTGAAGTTAGACATTAACACCGGTGGATGCCAGCCGGCTCAGTGGTCTAGTGGTTAAGTGCTCGCGTGCGAAACCAGTAGGTCCTGGGTTCGAATCTCGCAGGGGGCGAGGTCGTGGATGCGCACTGCTGAGGAGTCCCATAATAGGACGAGTTGGCCGTCCAGTGCTTCCAGGTTTTCCATGGTGGTCTAGCTTCAACTGACTCATGATCTTAATCATTGAAATTACTACAATATCCACAAAACCCCTTCTGATAATATACATATATATATATATATATATATATATATATATATATATATATGGCAAAGTATAAATTAATTAGTTGACCTTGGTAAGGAATGATAGTAGATGGTCGTCAAAGTGACAAACGATATACGTGCCATGCTTCACGGGATTAGGTGAAGTGGTATATTCATATTGAGTCAGTCACTCCTTGTAATTTCTGTTGCATACGGAGACATATAAGTGGGTGAGTATATTAAGTAATACAAAGGTTTTTGCTTGAGATCTTTAAAATCAACCTGTTCATTATGAGACCAACGATATTTCCCTTGAACTGAAGATCCACAAAAAGAATTTTCTTTGGACCAGTGTACTTAACCTTGAAAGTAGTTTCGCATTCATCTTTTTTTTTCATTAATCCGTACACAATATCCGTTTTCCATGGATGTGGATTTTGAAACCAACAGTTTGTGCTATGGGGGAAGAACATATGATTCTGTGACCTGACATTAATTATATATATATAACTATATAGCTCTGGAAATAAACTCGTCTAAATAGAATCTATTGAATAAGTTATTACAATATACTGCTGTTGTTATTGCACAATGTATATACATATACTGTAAAAAATAAATATATATTATCCATATAAAACGAATATGGTTAGTGTTATGATTTGCTCAGAAATGCCTTGTACAAATAAAATGGGAACTTTGTGAAACAAATGACGATATATATTATTCACTGGCTAATAATCCAAACAATATTAACAATAATAATGATAATAATGACAATTACGTAATATGGCATACAGTCAGAAGTCTAAATGTTTTTCCCAAAAGCAATTCAACATTAATGTACCTAGCGAGTAAATGATTGTAAATAACCTATGATAAATAATCCATGATAGTTCACACTACTTATTTACTTTACTTATAACCACTTTTATGACTTCATGTTCTCAGACGTGGTTTATATGAGAAACAAAGAATTAGTTATATGATTCACGTATACTATTAATTCAATATTTTAATACAATTTTTTCCAACTGTAACGGTATTAGTCGCTTTATTCATTGTATAGTTTCTCTTCAGTATACATATCTTTGATTTTTTCGGAATAGTGGATGGGATGAATGCTCAACACTGAATTTTCTATCCATTGTAATCTCCAATATCTACGCTTAATACAGCCTTATGTTGTTTTTAAATGTATTGAAGTAATTTTATTGGTACTAACGTAATTAAACGATACACTTAACATTGATAGTGCTTATGACGGATCAAATGACTTCTGTGTACCGATAGACTTGAGGAGAGTAAACTTTCAATATTTCTTTAGTCTTTCTTAACAGTACAGTGTTTTTTTAGAAGAATATCAGTTTTGTTTTCGGATTGTAGTATTCACCCGTATATGAATTACTGGATTATACTATTTAAGAATTTCTATATGTTATTTCTAGTGAACTTTTCAAACTTTATAAAGAAGGTTTGCATGAAACCGTAGAAAAGTATAGTACATAAATTGATTTTTATTACAATTATTCCTTTATTATTATTTCTTTCTTTGTTGACTAGAATTCAAGAAAATTGTTATCCTGAAAATGTTACCTATTTTAATTTAGTTAATACATCACAAATGGATTCCGATCTTAGATTATACTTTTTAAATGATCCAGATGAAGAATGTTATAATGTAGAACCAAAAGAATTAAATCTTAAACCAAATCAATCTACAAGTGTACGTATATGTGCTTTTCCAAAATTAAATAAACGTTATGATGATGCACTTGTTTGTTTAGTTAAAGATAATCCAGAGCCAATTTTATTTAAATTAGCTTGTGATGGTGTTTTACCAGAATTGGAATTGGATAAAAAAGTATTTAATTTTGAAAAAGTATTATTACAAAGGTAAGTTTAAATGTTTATGAATGTCAATTTTAAATTATACACCACTTTTATATTCATTTAAACATGATCCATGATTTATTAGATTAACTAATGACTTTTCATAATTAGCTATTTTAACATTTTGATTGAATGTATTACAAAAGTTATTGATAAAACATCGACAGTAGTGGTGAAGAAGATTTGTAGCTCAGGTGAATGATTTTGATGAAGTTTTATTCTCTGAGCTGGATGATTTGGTCGTGGAGCTATCATCGTTCACCTGAACGAAATCATCAGCACAATCTTCAGGTAGAAGTGAAGTGTTTGAATTTCTCTACATATGACTCAAAGCTTGTCTTGTACACGTCGATGTTGATTGATTGTTGTTGACTTTAAACCTGTCATTGTGTACTTCTTTGTTTTGGTTGTATCTCCGATTGGTTTGACTTTTGGTTCTATATTTGTCCATGATTTTTCTGATTGGTTGGTACATTGGATCGATTTCAATGTGCTTGTTGATTGCTGATTAACCTGAGTGCCAAGCTTTTAGAAATTCTATGATGTTTCTGGAATTGCCTCTACCCAAAATTTCTACATTTTTCCAGTTTCCTCAGGATTACGGGATCACTTTGCTGATGAGTGCCTAGTAGAACGAAACCTACGTTCAAGGTTTCCTTACGACCACCTCAAACCATCTCAAAATTATTCAAATAATGTCAGGTCAATTGGGCCAGTGGTCGATTCGCAACTTGATTGACGGAAATCTCTCAGCATTGAGAAGGACTAAACATGCATGAGATCTGTTACCACTCAGATTAATCTAAAACCAATACGTTACGAAATGTCGATAAATGTATATGCTACTTATATCAACATAAGTAGTATATAACGCTAGTCAGAAACAGAATGTATTTTAGTGGATCGAGAAGGAAAGAACGGGAACGCAAAGCAATTTGTATGGAAATACAGGAACAATATAGTCTGAGACAATTGACTGATATTTGCAAAAGAAACACTCAAGTTTGAGACAGTTGATTGACATTTTGCAAACTAAGTATATACGGAATAGTTCTCAGATTTTTCTAAAATGTTCTGTAATTTTGTGTTCAAATACGTTCGACTGTACCCACTTGTGTTCTCGTTCACTAAAATTTTACAGCTGAAGTAGATGATATTATCATAAAAGGGATTTTCTTTGGCGAATTATCTTTATTTCTTATTTAAAGACAGATATACAAATAAATGAAACCCTATTTCAATGGTTTAAGACCATGAGTCAGTTGAAGCTAGACCACCATGGAAAATCTGGAAGCACTGGACGGCCGTTTTGTCCTATCGTGAAACTCCTCAGCAGTACGCATCCACGACCTCACTCCCTGCGAGACTTGAACCCAGGATCTGCTGGTTTCGCGTGTGAGCTCTTAACCAACGATGTTAATGTCTAACTTCAACTAATCCACGAATTTGAGCGACACATCCACCATTGTCTTCAGTGAGATACTATCTCACAACAGACCGTGTTGAACTCCACTGGTCACTACTTTTCGCTAGGACTAGAACTAGAATTTTATTTATTGCATTCTCACCGAATTTTAAGTTTATAATATGCTATTAATCATCAGAAAGTACGGAGAGGTTGAAAGCAAATATATATATTAAAATAAATTGAAGTTAGTATTTTTCATAAAATAAGTTTGTTACAGTAAGTAAATTTAGAAATGATAATCATATTATACTTACTTGAGGTACTTTGTTGGTCATTCATGAAATCGGTAAGTATGAAACGTAGAACGAAAAATATAATAATATTGAAATAATGGGGCAAATCAGAGACTCAGGTAGATATCTCTGGTGGTGTTATGTTGTATGAGGTAGATGATTCAACTCTAGTTTACCCTGACGATTTTGTTGAAGACAAAATGAGATCTTTGCAGTTAAACCATTTAGCCCAGTGAGTACGAAATTATCGGAACAATAGTGTAAATAGTATTCAGATTAGATGTTTAATCGAATATTATAAAATCTTAGGAGTTAGAGAAATAGTTAGCAATTATATTGTATATTCCATTGTTATACTTCATATGTGTTGTAATACTAAAGTTTTACCCTAGTAAATAAACTTTTATGTACTACTATTTTTTTCCACTGATAGGAAAGAAGTACGTTCTATTGTTTTAAAAAATCGCACTTTATTACCAGCTCAATGGAAATTATCTGGAATTGAAGCGTTAGGTGATGAATTCTCTGTATCACAAGATGCTGGCATTGTTGAACCACAGTCAGAATCTATTATCTATGCTTATTTTCGTGCAATGAAACCTGTCAAACCAAACCAGAAGAGAAGCTTACGTCTTGAAGTTTATGATTTAGAAAATATTGCTGGTTTAATACAAGTAGAAACTATACAAGTGATAGCTGAAGCATATGATGTTGCTTTAGATATTACATTTCCTAAGGGTTAGTTTTAAATTAAATTACTAAGATATGTATACTAATATTTGTTCAGTGTTTGAAGGTAATCAGAAGGAAACCTGGACCTAGGGTGAATTTCAGTTCATTTTCATTTTTGAAAAAAGTGATAAACTGGGTGGGTATTGGGCCAATTTAAATCGGGCCGTAATAACATGAAAGCAGTTGTAAGATCTCTCCCTCTCTCATATCCAATTATCGACTAGTTGGCTTATATTATCAGCAGGACACGTAAATTTGTATTAACTAATCAAAACACCGACTAATGAACGACAAATAAGACCTTAATGCTTACAATATCCTCAAGTTCCTTCTAACTCCGTGGTCAATCAGAAGATGAATTTGAAAAGCAAATTAGTTCACTATTGTGCTAAATTCAATCATGACTGGAAAAGACTTACGCAGTACTATTCTAGAAGTGTCTAAATACACAACAATACAATTAAGGTATTACAATTCTAGAAGAAAACATTAATAAAATGTAAAATAGTTGGAAGATTTTCGGAAAATCGCGGAATATATTTAGTTCATAATTTCTACTTTTTATAATTGCATTCACTTAGTCAGTCAGTCAGCTACAACGTAGGACCAGGCACATATATGCATCAGTCAAAGTTGCCAATACTCATTAACACGACACGATAAACACCGTATTCATAGAAGTGGTTAATTCAATGGTGGTAATATATAAAAGATTGCATATAAGGACATAGTACAGGAAGAAAGAATTGGTTGTTAGAAAGAAAGATATGAAGCGATTTTAATCTCATAGTTTAAGGGAAGACAGAGAGTGTATACATCTACGTCATTGTAGTCGATTCTGAGCCATGTCACCCATAGTCTACAACCATTGGTTACGAAAATCACGCGGACCCCAACCACAAAAACTGATCGTTTACAATTAATCCTATTGCAGTGTTAAAGATCCCTTGTACCAATGTTTATATCTGATTATACAACTAGGTCAAGTATTTTAGATTCACTGTATGGGTTTTCGGAATTTAATTAGCAACGTTGTAAAACTAGATTAATCTGAATGACTGAAATATGTGTTAATTCTATTGATTCTACTTGTATAATCACTTTGTCGATAAGGGTGAAACTAGAACAAATAGGTTTTTTTCTCCCATTAAACTTGAATTTGTTAATAATTTTAAGTTTGATAACATTTTATGACAAAAATTATCTTTGAACATTTCAAACTTATTTATTTAATTCTCTTAGTGTTGTTTTACTGCTTTCTTTCCATTGTTATTTAGGACTGCAATTGATCAGTCTCATGTTGACATATGAGCATCCTGTACGGATTGCCTCGATATAACCTTAAGTTACAAGCTTTTTAAGCGAAAATGGGTAGTGGCTAGCAGTGGAATCCAGAACTCATTTGCTAAGTGGATAACGCGATGGCGTTTGAGTGAACATGAGCTCTGGGATGCAGGTACATCTAACTGATGAGTCCCAAATAGGATAAAACGCACGTCCTGAATTCCACTGCTAGCCACTATCCATCTTTATTTATTTAATGTTAACAATCAATCTAAATATTGTTTAATGATAATCATAGTAGTAATAATGATTTGAACTATTTTATTTTTTGTTCTACATACAAGGAAGTGATGGTGGTATTGATTTCGGTTTAATCAAAGTTGGTGAAGAAGTTAAACATGCTATTACATTGAAGAATAAAGGTCCTTATGAAATAGTAACTAAGTAAGAATTTTTGATTTATTAATTCAAAGATAACTTTAACTGTTCGATTTAAATTCAATAGGATTAATCTCTAGCTACTTTGTTTCGTTTATCCCCATTAAAAAGGAAGAAATTTTTATTAAATCATATCTATAAAGAAATCAGTTTTACATCGTAACTCTCAGCGATCAATGTTACAATAAACAATTGGATTACTACAAAGTATAATCTAAGACATAACTTCGAATAACTCATTTTTTTTTAGTGATCAGTACATTTCAACGATATTGCAAGTCAGGAGATTCACTGATGAGACTAGATGATTATCAGAAAATATTACAAAATAAACAGAAATTGAAAATATAAACCAATTTAATCTTCGGAAGGTCCCCTTCTCACAATATATCTTGAAGATTTCGGATTCAAAACTATATGAAATTGTTAGTTTTCTCGATTGTTGAGTTGTAAACTAGAATGAAACAGTTGTCTAATGTTCCTCGGATTTCAATGATTCTTTTCAATTAATATCAGCCCATGATGAAGATGAACCTTAGAATGACAAACAAGGTGTATCAATATAGTATGCATCAATGGAATATAAAATTCTTTAGAAATATTAGTACATCGAACATTTCAAACATATGACATATAAAAGTTTAAGATTAATGAATACAAGGAATCATGGCATATTGGTCGGTAACTACTTAAAACAACTCTAGTTATCATATTAGACTATCGGGGGACCTTCCACGATGAAACCAATTAATCTTTGCATATTTAGGGATCAACATAGACGACCAATAAATGTTACTTTATAAGATCATTTCTGTAATAAAACAAGTTACCTTCCCCGAAGTAATAACCTTTCTTACTAAGTCACATTTTAGAAATCGATAAGCCAACAGAACATCTTCATTCTAAGATATTATTATGTTAAACAATGAAAACTTGGATAATGTGATAAAATATATCAGTAATCAAAAATGTTGAAGTTTCAAGGTGTAATTACGTAATCAGAGTATATCCACGAGTTGAAGATCTTTCTTATTTAACTTTACATAGCAGTATAGCTAAAGAACTCGGTTTATAATTAATAAATCGCAGGTTCTAAACTCGCTCCACATACTGTTGCTTGGAAATCCGAGTGGTATTGTAGTAAGCAAGAACACTAACGGGCACATTCGGATGTATTTGAAAAATGAAATTACAGAGCATCTCAATAAAATCTGAGAGCCATATAGTAAATAGTTAATTTGCAAAATATCACTCAGTTGTCTCAAACTTGACTGTTCCTTTTGCAAATATCAGTCCATTGTCTCAGATTTCATTGTTCATGCATTTTCATACCGATTTCTTTCCTTTCCCGCTCCTTCCTTATCGATCTTGTACTGAAATACATTGTATGTCTGACCACCGTTATATACTACTTATGTGGATATAAGTAACCCACACCACAGTATCACGAGTTCCTATGCAAAATGTTTGACCCATGTCTGAGTACAAAAATTTATATTTCATGAGTAATTTACATTATTTCATAACCATAACGATTGGTCTGTAATCCAGATATCATCTTCAGTATTAATAATTTCCGTAATGAAATAAAACCTAATTCTTATGTTATCGTTCTGATGCTTATGATTCACACTAACTAAATTTACATATTTTATCAGAAGGTGTTTTGTGGAGATTTTAGTAATTTCAATAGTTGAAATTATGAGTCGATTGAAGCTAGACCACCATAAAAAACCTGGCAGCACCGTCCTAGTATGGGACTCCTCAGCAGCGCGCATCCACGATCCCGCGCCCAGGAACTATCAGTCTTGTGCTCGAGCGCTTAACCATTAGACCACTGAGCAGGCCGGCATCCAACGGTGTTAATGTCTAAATTTTATGCATTCACTATGAACTATGTGTAATAACATGTTCATTTTTACTTAAGAATCATTTAGAAAATTAATTCTGTTCTATAAATTTCATATTATATCTAATATTCTTCTTTATCTATTTCAAACTAGCTTTATATTTACAAAGAATGATAAATTTAAAACAGATTTCAGTAGTATCTTCACTATATCACCTCAACGTATCAATCTATCTCCAACAGATAAACTCACTCAAGTAAACGTACGTATTTTATTTTATCGAGTTATTTTAATAAAACTGTTTAGATTGTTCTATGTTTATTATAATTAGAAATATAATATTATCAGAAGGGGGTTTTGTGGAGATTTTAGTAATTTCAATTGTTGAGATCATGAGTCAATTGAAGCTAGACCACCATGGAAAGCCTGGAAGCACTGGACGGCCGTTTCGTCCTATCGTGATACTCCTCAGCAGTGCGCATCCACGATCCCGCCTCGCGGGGTTCGAACCCAGGACCTACTGGTCTCACACACAAGCACTTAACCACTAGACCACTGAGCCGACTGTCATCCAACGGTGTTAATGTATAACTTCAACTAATCCACGAAATTGAGCGACACATCTACCATTGTCATCAGTGAGTTACTATCTCACAACTGACCCGGCGAATATGCAATAAGCAATTACATAAGCAAATTTATAGTCAAATCGCATAAGGGCACGGCAAGGACTAATAATAGGATTCGAGTACATATACACATGGTGAGAAGAATGAATCATCGAGTGATATTTAAGCAATCAAAATTTTAGCTCGAGTCTGTCATGTAATCCAGTGATCTTACAGTACAAATAAATAGACGAATTTTCACTGTTCAAATGACATTGTCTGTTAGGTAAGTCAATAAAAGAGTTTAACCAAAAGTAACCATAACCAAAATTTTTTGTAGGATAGTTGCTATATCTCTTTTAAGCAGAATACTCTATATATATAGGTTGTCACCTAGGGCACTTTGATATGAAAGAGAAGGGTTCAATCGATTTTGAAAAAGATGATAACAATATAAGTTAATTTAACAAAATAAGAGGATTAATTATCATTGTTTTGTTATCAGTATATTACATTTTTGACACTGAATGAACATGGAGTTTTCTGAAGTCTAAGATGTTATACTATCATTTTAGATATGATGAATAGTTAGGTTAATCAATTTCAGTTGTTCACATAAATGATTTCCCTTTTACTAGTTTTATTTGTCCAAATTATATTTTACCGATCAAATTAAACCTTACTTATTTACTTACGTCTGTTACTCCTCGCGAAGGAGCATAGGCTGTCTACCAGCACTCTAAAGCTAAGCCTATATTAATAAATAAATATAACCTATTCAATTTCATTTTGATTAATTCATTTAGCTAACATGTTTCACACAATCAGAGTTAATTTTAAAAGAAGCAGAAATACTTAAATGTCAAATTATTGAACCAAATATTAAAGGAACACCACAACTGATTGCATCAATTCCAATAAAATTATCTGTAAAAGCAGAATTCAGCAAGTATGTTTATTCTGAAATTCAGTGTATTGTTTTGATTTCTCTAATGTACAATATACTGAGTTATGATATAAATGTTTTATGTTTGTTTATAGGACAGTGTGCGCTTAAAAACCACAATAACTTCATGAAGTAAATAGGAATAGATTTGTTGTTGTCGGTAACCGATATATTCCTTAAACTTCGTATTACAATTCGTCCTGATAACCGTCACTAGATAGCGTCCCAACGGTGTATTAATCAGAAGGCGAATACGAAGTGTTGATTAAGTTTATTATTGCACCATACACAGATCACCAAAATTACATGTACGCTAATCAAACATGAAAGAGTAGTGCCGAAAAGCAACCAAGTAGGCGAGTGAGTGTGCAAGTCGAATGAGCGAGTCAGTGAACAGGATTAAAATGTACATATACATACATAGTGAAATTAGTCAATCATCGAACCAACAATAGTGAAGGTATAATCGTATAGATAAGTTGTTATTGTACGAATGACTCTGTCCGTTAATAAGTTAAAAAAGGGTTTAACCAAATTAACTGTGAACAAACCCAACTGCATGTGAGCTGCTATAATCTATTGTATTGCCATGAACAGCAGTTATCTAGATGTTAACTTTTAGGCCTAGTTCTGCTAACGAATAACACTTTTGACTGCACTTGTCACTAACGTTTTATCAGTCAAATAAACGACCATAATAATCATACATTCGAAAGCCTCAAACAAGATCGTTTTCTACCAATTTACTCATTAGTTTTACATTTTAAGTCAATCAGTCCCGGTTAACATATGGCTTGCCACAAATGTCTGTTATGACTGAGACCATGAATAGATTAATATTAGACCACCACTGAAAACCTGAAAGCACTGGACAGCCGTACCGTCCTAGTATAGGACTTCTCAGCAGTGTGCGTCGAAGATTCTGCACCCGGGACTCGAATCCAGGGCCTTCCGTTTCGCACGCAAACGCCTAACCTCCAGACTACTAAACCGGTATCCAACAGTGTGGATGCTCACTGCTTAGGAATCTCATACTAAAATGAAATGACCACCCAGTGCTTCCAGGTTTTTATCGGTGGTCTAAAATCGATCCATTCATGATCTCAATCAAAACTTAAGAATCTTCACAACCCTGTACTGAAAATATCTGTTAGCTTAAAACGCTATACCGAATGAACACGAGATGGAATTATTAGAATGAACAGCATGGGAGTCGAGCTAGTGGTATAAATGATAATGGTAGAATAAATCAGACAGTCAAGAATATAGTCAAGGAATTAATTATGTGTGAAAGAATATTGGGACTTAAGATCTAGAGAATGTATTTGGACTAATTCAACGGACTGTGAGCCATCACCCACGCCCGACCAATAACTACGGCTGTCTTGTGGATCTCAAAAAGTTAGTCTATAATTTCCAACACACTTAAGTCAGCTAATCATGATTTCATACTCGTATCTACTACCACATTACATGAGCTGCTATAGATTATCTGACCTAATGCACTCCATCAATCATTAATATCGTTTGTATATATATATATATATATATATATATATATATATATATATATATATATTACTTACTTACTTACTTACGCCTGTTACTCCTCGTGAAGGAGCATAGGCCGCTCACCAGCATTCTCCATCCAACCCTGTCCTGGGCAATCCTTTCAAGCTCTCTCTCTCTCTCTCTCTATATATATATATATATATATATATATATATATATATATATATATATACAAAACAGAAATCACAAAATCTGATAAACTTTTGAATACACACAGTTTTAGAAGATTAAAGTGCACAGATCTGAAGTTTAGCCGTTCTATTAATCATTTAGATTTGAATATATTATGTTCTCCCATATTATACAGAAAATATCTATGTCTACAACATCTTCGACAGAACGCTGTATTACATCATGAATGAAGAAATTTTTTATCCTAACGTTATAGAAATATTTTACGAGATATCACGTGAAATTGATGTTAAGGGATCACAAGCTGTGGTTCATTTTAGTATTTTGCATAAACATTAGCAATGTAAAGTTAATCAAACAGAAATAATCATTGTTCTTTTTAAAATTTATTATTCTCTTTACTCTACTCTATCTATATCATCAAATTATTTCATATGGTGCATTGTTCATTGTTTATTTCATCTAATATTTCTTGTTATTATATCACAATTATTTGTTAGACTCAGAGTATTAAAGAATGATGGTAAATCAGTTGATGAGATTATAAATCTTTATCGACTGAGATGGTTTGGATACATGCTATGTATGCCTCAACACCGTTTACCACGATGCGCAATGCTTGACTAGTGTTGGGGATGGTTGGAATAAAGTCAGAAGCGGCCAAGCCAAAACTTGGCATCAGTCTACAAAGTCACTAACTTCTAGTCTGAGCTATGTTGGTAGATGCAGACTACTTGATTGGGGTCCGCACAATGATAGTAACCAATGGCTGAAGACTCTGGGTGACATGGATCAGAATTGAGTCGGTGTATACACTCTTTGTCTTACCTTCAACGATGAGATTCAAATTACTTTATACCTTTCTTTCTGATTCTTTTTTCCTGCACTATATCCTTATACGAAATCTTGCCTTTATATATAACTACCATTGAAGTAACTACTTCTGTGAGGTTGGTGTTCATCTTGTTGTGCTAATGAGGTATGGCAACTTGGGTCGATGCATATATATGTCTAAATATGCCTAAATAAAAGTTTAAAAGCACACAGGCTTTATTTCGAAGCTAGAACTAATATCAAATATTTCTTCACACAGAGATTTATATCAATGTGAAGAAGTGAGATACTAACTTTTATTTGTTCAAAGTAGATGAATTTATTTTAAGTATTAGGCTATTTTTTGACAAACGTTGAATTCTCTTATTGCATTACGTATTGAATTAGGCTGGATAACCTTTGAAAATAAAAAGATGTAAGACAGTTGTTTCTTACTAGTATGGAACTTCTCAGTAGTGTGCACTCACTTCCACTGAAGTATGAGACAAATATTATCGGTCTGAGTGTATAATTCATGTGATGTAGTCTACTGATTTCAGTTTTAAAAAACATGAGGCATTACTATTATTCTAGGTGGTTTAGATTTTAAGCTCTTACAGTGTGGCCTGAAGAAGATACTGGGTTCGATCACTGACTAAATCGTGGATTATGTTTTTCATCGCAATAAATGGTTAAGATTTAAGCTAGAAACTATTATTATGTTCTTAAGTGATTAGTAATATAAATAAAAATTTGCAATAATTACTACCATTTATTTTAATATAATTGTTGTAGGTTTACAATTTCTCCCGCGCAAGATATTAATTTTGGTTCACTCATATTAAATAATCATAAAACAAGACAATTAATCATTGAAAATAATGGAGATTATGAATTTCGTTACTCAATAATACCTGTTAGTAAAATGTTAGAGCTATTAGCAACACGTGAAGCTTTATTAAACAAAGAATCTACAGGCACGGTGAAACATAAAATGTAAGTTATTTAAGTTCTTTCTGCTTTGATTCAGCTTTTCAATTTTCAGTTTCTCATCGCTTGATAACTCTAATTGCTGCTATGTGATAAGTTCATCGGTCAGAATTCTAATTATGATACTTTTTATTTGGTATCTTCTATCACCTAGTGTTCTGGACTTGATGGGGTACACATCTAACCAGCAATGTTAATCCTAAGCCAACGCAAACTAAGCTAATGTTAGTCCACTATACTGAAGCATTTCTCTATCTTTTCCCTTGAGTCTAAAGAGAATTCAGTAGCGAGCTTTCATTATTCTCAATGCGATTATGACTTAAAACTCACCAAGTGATAAAGAGTTAATTCTTGATCACATATTAGCATAATGAAGACATTACAATCATGCCATCGGTGAAATACAATTCGGCAATAGGTACTTAATAAATTAACAGTAACTTAAGAAAAGTACAACATATGATAACAGCTTATGTATCACAAATAAACTTACAAGCAGGAATATACAAAGATGAAATAATTAGAGAGTAAAAATAGAAACAAAAACTTCACTTAGAACAGTTACGAAAGTTCAAAATTCCAAATAATTATCCCTTTATTGCTTAATTCAAGTAGTAAAGAGCATCTTTAATAAAGTTCATTTATTATTAAACAGTTTCAGCACTTTTATCATTTTAATAGCCCTAAAACAAATGTCCTAAGTTGTTCAGGATTTCAATGATCCTTCAGACAATAATGACTCTTATGAAAATCTATATTTAAATGATTTCATATTTTTGTACCCAAAATAAACCATACAGAATACTGTGTTGTTTTTGCTAGATTCTATGTACTAGAAATGCTACATTTTAAGCACATCATTTAAAGATCTTAGTTTATTTATCGATAATAAAAAACTACACCTAAACACTGTAGTACAGTTAATTGACTTTGAATTTATTAGTGTTCTGGTTGAATAGACATTAAGCGTAGATTTCTAATTCTGATTATACCAGATAATCATTATTATTCATTTTTATAATAAAAAATAATATTATGTGAGACTCCTCAGCAGTGCACATTCACAATAGGACGAAACAGATATCCAGTGCTTCAAAGTTTTCCATAGTGGTCTAGTTTCAATTGATTGATGATTTCAACTATTAAAATTACTATTATATTCACAAAATCCCTTCTAATAATAATAATTATAGTCTTTAACAAAATAATAGTTTGGCAGTACAATACTAAAGTCAATATGACTTCAATATCCATCTATACTGAATTTCCAGGTTTTCTATAATGGTTAACCTTAGATCGATTTTATGAATTCAACTGTTAAGGAAAATACAACTTACTTTCAAAATTCATTTCCCGATTTGAGACAACATTCATTATGGTTTAATCTTAGGAACCATTATAAAGTCACACATAGATTTATATATCATGGCCATGAAATCGACTTTTCAAAGTTTAAATCATGGACTAAATTTAGCTAGATAACCGTTTTATTAATCTGAAGAGCATTGAGCAGTAGTTTCGTCCAATTAGCGGACTCTTCAAACTGCTAGACATTGAGTGCGGATCTTTCAGATATGGCGGAGAGCATTATTCTACTGATCGGAGATCAAATAGTTTACATTTGTATGAGGATATTGTATGACTACTATTAGTTCCTGTCGCTGATGTCTTATTAACGCCTAGCGTCGTCATGCCGTTCCTGTTGTAGTCCCTTGAAGTGTATTGACTATAAAGCTTTTATACAGATTATCCATCTCAAATAGAAACCCATCACAGATGTACATAGTAGTGTACATAATAGTGTTTAAGAATTCTTTTTAGTTATTTTCACATGTGATAGATTTACGAAACATATTCATTCTGTTTTGACACTGTTGGGGAGATCCACAAAACTCCTCAAAGAAAAAGCCAAAAAAGGCTCTGAAAACATTGAGAAGCATCTTATCCAATCAGCATTCAGTAGAAGTTTTACCAGAAAGCGAAAAGCCACTTGTCGAGTTTTTGATTAGATGATTATCTATACTGCTACTATGTTTAGTAGCGTTCCAGAATTTTCCGGAGACCTAAGGTCATCTAAAATACTATAAAAAATCTAGATTCTCTGTAAATATACGAACCTTTGGAGTAAAGCGTTCTCTTCAATATTTCGCGCCTTTTCTCTCGTATTCAAGTCACTGTGTAGATTTAACCTGAGGGATTACTAGAAGAGCTTCGGAACCGAATCTAGCGTCTTAGTTAGAAGACTTATCAAACATTGACTTATGTAATTCAGAATATTTAAAAATACTTCTTAATGACTGGTTAAACAAGCATGACCTACCTGATTTGTTTACAATCTATTAACTGTTTTATATACATATTTAATTTTTATTAAAAATATATATATATTTGTTTTGTCATTATGAGTAGATATCATCGTAAAACTAAAAGGTATGCATCATTAGCTTATGTGATAATTGACTACACATGCAAATATATGCTTGATATACATAGTAACTGTATCTTGTTTTATTTGACGCTTCATTAACTGTCATTTCTATACAAAATGGATAACATTAAAGTTATTTTACAAAATAAATTACGGTATTCATACTTGTTACATGCACTTACAGTACACTAGCCTAAATATGAATTAATTAATACTCATTATATCTAACTATGCACAAAGTTCATTACCAGGTGTCTAGTATATATATATATATATATATATATATATATATATATATATATATATATATATATATATAATGAGTAGTCAAGTAAGATTTTCTTTTTAATATAGAGTTTTGTTCAAATCATTTATTCTATGGCTAATAGATGAATGTTTAAATCAAATGATTATCAGCTATCAACTAGTTCATACACATTAAAGCAACAGGACACTGATGAAGGTTACTTAACTTATACTTTGAATTAATAATATAAGTTAACGATATCATTTCCACTGTGAATAAGTATCCATTGATTTGATCATTTTACTTTGTTAACTAGAAAAGTAATAATTTAGAATTAAACAGTAAATCATACAGAATATAAAGTATCGGTGAGACTATAATTTATGGACGACCTTTGAGCGACGCTAAAGTGACCTTGAGAGTGTCTACCTACTTACTAGGGCTAGATGAGGGTTATCAAGCAGTTTAAGGAATAAGGATTAGGATTTACAGTTAATGGTTAGGGTTAGGAATTAGATTTAGGGTTCTCATCACGAACTGACATCAGCTACAATGCCAAGACTCTATTTAGCCAAATAGGTGAATGAATTTCGTGCCAAAATCTAAGACCTGTTATCGTAGATCTGATTGGTTCATCCGTAAGTTATACTCTCGCCAAAGTATCTTTTATAAAATAATAAATGATGTCAAAAAATAACAAAGCAAACTATGAACGGGTATAAGTCAATGGAATTTGTACATGATTTTCTGTATACTTGTTATGTGTAACTTTATACTATTTATGCTGTTTTAGTGGGGCCCTTTATTTTGTCATTTAGGTCGGACGATGTTGTCGACGGGCTCTCTACTTTAGTAGCCCATGATCTGACTCCAAGTAGATCGTATGAATGATTTCTGTCGAAATGTATATGTTGCTTATCCTCGTATATAATCATCGACTTAAATCACGTTAGTCAATAGCGGAATTAAATAAGTCAAATAATGAGAATGGACTTTTGAATACATATATTTTGTATATGAAGCGAATGGAATAGAGCGAAGCGAAACGACGCGCAGTGGAGAAGGCATGTTAACCAACTCCATTTAGTCAAGCGCTAAATCAATATTTATAGTCACACAAAAATAAGTTACAAACATGTGATGAATAGGTTAAGATATGTACCACATATGCTCATATGAAAACAGTCAAGATCGATAAGTGAGTAATTAATAAGGTCGAAATGTGACTCAGGTAGAATGGGTAGATTGGCCTGTCCGAAAGCTAGAATAAGGCATATTGGCTTAAAATCATAAACGATACTACACTTTCATTGTCGTTGTTTTGCACGTATCATATAGTAAGCATGATAATAAGTGTTTATGTATTTTATGAAATTTATTATACTTCTTTCCTACTAATTGATTTCGTTGGCTTGATATATCTTCTACGATTTTAAGTTATATTTTATAATTGTCTTAGTATAATTTCTAGTAAAGGGTTGTGGAAATTGTTGAGCTTCGATTGACATCATGAATAGACCAGTGTTAGACCATCGTTAAAAAATTGGAAGCATTGGACGGTTGTTTCGTCCTAGTATGGGACTCAACAGTGCGCATTCACAGTTCCGCATGTGAGATTTCAACCCAGGACCTCCAGTCTCGTGCGCAAACGCTTAACCCCTAGTATAATTTGTTGATTCGTAAATACATAAGTTCATTTGTTTTTTTCTAAAAGTGTTCATATTTTAATTATTTTTTAATTTAACGACACCTGATTGCATATTAATGAGCACTCTTTATCTCTGAAGCACCTTCTTTGGGAATCATACTGGTTCAAAACTCACAGATAACATTGTTTTCCTTGAGACTGAAAATATGTTGATAGGTTAAAAGCTATCAAAGCAATTGCATTATAATATTGAATTGTCTAGTCCAGAAACTGCAATGCAACAAACATAACATCATATACGTTATTAATTATTTATCAATAAGTCTATAATGTCCTACTTTTAAGTGGTATTAATAAATAGGAATAATGTTTTAAATAAATTAATATATTTGTAATATCCTAATGAGTAGAAAAATTAAATTTTCTGACGTTTCGTCACTCAGTGTAAGCCACTTCTTCAGAGAGTAAATAACCAAATCAAATTTAATCCAAGTTTAAATAGTACAAAGGAACCACACAAAATTATTATACGCCATCAATCAAAAAGCAGGTCTGAACAAATCAATGTCATGTCATTTTGGTCAAGGTGATTCATAAGCGACATGTATGTAATTTTGTGTGTGTGTATATGTGTAACGTTAAAGATGAACTGGATGAGTTAGTCGTGGAGCTTTCATCGTTCTTCTGAACGAAATCATCAACACAAACTTCAGATAGAAGACTTCTCAGAGAACAAAACTCCATCAAAATCATCCACCTGAGCTACAAATCTTTTCCACCATCTCAATGTGAGCATTGTCAGACTAGGTGGCTAGGATAGATAGTCCAAGTAGGATGTATAGTAAGGCCTTCTTTTCTATTGAGAGCAGTAGGATTAACCATTATTTGTATACGTTATCAAAATTCATATTTTCAAAATGTCATGAAATGCTTGACATATTTTTGAATTTTAACTAACTATAGATTCGAGTACTCTCATGTCTTATTTGAGATTTTTTATTTGATTAAATGTTGTCCTGTTTATTAATCGTATGATAACAGAAAGTGTTACAAATTAGAGAATTTGTTAACAGATGGAAATAATTGAAATCATGAATCAATTGGAGTTAGACCGCTGTGGAAAACCTGGAAGCATTGGACGGCTGTTTGGTCCTATGGTGGGACTCCTCAACAGTGCGCATCCACGATCCCGCCTCGCGAGGTTCGAACCCAGTGACCAGTGGAGTTCAACCAGATCTGTTGTAAGATAGTAACTCACTGATGATAATGGTGGATGTGTCGCTCAATTTCGTGGATTAGTTGAAGTTAGACATTAACACTTTTGGATGCCGGCTCAGTGGTTAAGTGCTCGCGCGCAAGACTGATATGTCCCGTGCTCGAATCTTGCGAGGCGTGATTGTCGATGCGCGCTGCTGAGGAGCCACACAATAGGACGAAACGGTCATTCAGTGCTTCCAGGTTTCCCATTGTGATCTAGTTTCAATTGACTTATGATCTCGACTATTGAAATTACTATAAAATCCGCAAAATCCCTTCTGAAATTAAATGGAAATAAGTAGTAGATATCTACTTATCTCGTAAATTCTTAAACTCGTTATATTTGAAATTTGCGAATCATATGACAGGTGAACTATTGAAGGTGAACATAACAATGTACATAAGCATTACTTTTTGTAAATACTTCTCTCGACTATGCATCATTGTATTTCTATTCACCTTATTATTATGCACAACCTTGGTCCTTTATTGTTTATTGGTCTTTTCCTATTCTGATATCATCGGCTTTTACTTCATGTATGTATTTTTTTTAATATGTAGCATTCTGATATAGTATTCAGTATTGTTATTGATATGTTATTGTACAATAATTCGAATTCGAATGTTTCACTAATTTACTTTAACAACGGTTATGATTTCGCAAAATATCACTGCTTTCCGTTTAATCAAACATACATTCGCATACTGCATTTTAATGCAATTATATAGCACGCAAAGTTAATAAGTATCACATTTATTATAACAATGTGTTTATTTGCTTTAGATCACTTACTAATTAATTTATTGTGAAAGTATTACATTGAGAATGCTAATTTGTTTTTTATGTAGGTTAGATCCAACCATGCTGAGTTCATCACAATCTCGTTTACAACAGGGTTTTTTCACATTAAGTCCAGCTAGTGGGATTATTCCACCTGGAAATGCACAAATTATAACAGTTGATTGTTTGGCTGCTTCGTTGGGTCAATGTTTAGAAGTTAGTTGTTAGTTTTAAAGATTTTCAGAAAATATTATTTATCGATTTTGTTCTCTTGCTTTTAAAAATCGTAATATTATCAGAGTAAACTTTCGACATTGTTGAAATTAATAAATATTTTATTATTAAACCATTTACTTCAATCTCTTTAAAATAGAATGATAACATCTTTGGGTGGGACTATATTATTTATGGACTACCTTCGAGTGACGACAGAGTGACTTTGAGAGTGTCTACCTACTTACTACAGCTAAATGAGGACTATGAAGCAGTTTGAAGTATAAGGATTATGACTCACAGTTGATGGTTGGGGTTAGGAATTCGAATTATGGTTAACTGGCATTGTGACACCTTTACGTGTTCTTAAACACAACAACTTGTAAATGTAGCACAATATTTGAAATCAAAATGACGACATCTGAACAGAATTCCGGTTGATATTTACTGTACATTGTGACTGAATAACAAGATGTTAGCTTCAAAAACTGGAATAGACGACACTATTTGTTTGTATTCTCCAACTGTCAGCTGTCCTCTATGAACGACTTTGCATCGTAGTCCGTCGTGTGAATTCCGTATGATGTTGATGATCTTCTCAGGTACATCATAGTGTCGAAGAAGTTTCCATAATTTTCTCTTATCTACACTGTCAAATGCTTTCTTGTAGTCAAGGAATTTGATGTATAATGACGAGTTCCACTCAGTTGATTGCTCAACAATGATCCGTAATGTCGCGATTTGGTCTGTGCATGATCGATCCTTTCAGAATCTGACCTGTTGATCTGGAAGTTGGACATCTACTGAATCCTTCATGTGGTCTAACAACACTGTTGAAATCTTTTTCTAGCACTAATAGCAGTACGATGCCTCTGTAGTTCATGCACTTGCTCAGATTTCCTTTCTTTGCTATCTTGGTGAGATAGTCTTCTTTCCAGTTCATCGGCACTTGTTCTTCCTTTCAAATCTTTCTGAATAGGACATATAGCATTTTTTCAGTTACTTCTATGTCTGACTTTAATGTTCTACCCATCTGTTTGTCTGTTTCTGAATCTGAGTGATCGGCTTTCATTCTTTATCCTTGACTGGTCTCTCTTGTTTACTGTATTTCTCTGCTAGTTTCTACGTTGGGACCAGCAGTAACTCTAGAAAAGCTACAAGCTGAGTTATACCCGTAGTACAAGCAAGTATTTGTTTGGAATCAGTAGCCAAGTGGGTCGTGCGATAACGTTTGAAGAAAACGTTACTGGGTTCGAGTTCGGGGGTGAAAATCAACTCAGAGTTGAGAGTACATACAGCTGACTACACTGCTAGCCATATTCCATATATCCTATGTATGCTATTATTACTATTATTACTGACAGTAATTCTGCTAATGTCAACGAATTTTATGTTATTAGGAATTAACGATTGAAATATCTGATCGTGATATGAATTTATATCCACATGGAATACCATATCAGCTTAAAGCTGAAGGGGATCTACCACTAATTGAAACCAATGATCCTTCAATAATATTTGAAGAACACCATGTTTGCAAAAATCTGAGTGTTTTAGATTTGCCTGATCTATCAGATACGGTATGTATACATTTATGTGAATTATAATTATCACTCTTATTATTCAGTTTCATTCATTTTGTTAAAATCAAAATAATTAAAAGCCTTGAAGCACTGGACGGCCGTTTTGTCATATTATAAGACTCCTCTGCATTGGATATCCACAATTCTGCACGTGAAAATTGTACTTAAGGTCTTCGGTCTGGAGCACGGATGCATAACCTCTTGACTGCAGAACTGGGATCCAGTGGTTTGCAGGTTTAATTTCAATTATCTGATTATTTTTCGCTACCACTTTCGATTGTTTTTGATGGGTGGCGTTTTCATACTCTACATTGTTCAACTCCATTGATCCCGTTTTCCAGGTTTTCAATAGTTGTCTAACTTCAATCGTTTTGTGAAATCAATAAAATACAAAAATTCCCACAACATCAAACTAGCAGTCTTTTATTTTATTTCATTTATGTATTTGTATCTGCTAGCTATAAACTGAACTTACAGTGTTAATAATTCATTTGATTACTTTTTCATACTTCCATAACTTTATTAAGTGAATTCGGGTTGAAACATGATGATTGATTATTTAGTCACATATTTTATTATAATATTTTGTTATCTGTTAACCATTTGATCGGAAAAATCGTGCGTGAAATCTCATATACAGTCGCATTTTTGAACTGCAGAACAATCTTATTCTAGTGTTTCTTTAACTAAATTCAATCTGCAACGGTATCTATCATCAAAAGTACCATGATTACCACTACGTGTTAGATAACAACTGAACTAATAATTATGAAACATTATTTGATGCTATAGTTTATTTGTATTGTTGTTCTGCATTTAGTTCACTTGTAGTAAAGGTGAAATATCACCCCGGATACTAAAGAGTGACTATATTATGTACCAGTTTTTGTACTGTTTTTGTCTTATGACTGTGAAACATGATCTTTAAAAGTTAAGAATTATTTTATTTTAAAAGTGTTTAACCATAGATTATACACATGGCATTAGATAGACATGGTGAATTGTTTGATAAGGTGTTAAATATTCACTAACTAAGGAGGTTGGGATATGTATTATATATCTCTAACCACCGTCTATCTCATTGAGATTTTCACAATCAATGATTTGGATTAGAATAGTTCACAATGATGTAAATACATCTATTCTTCATCTTTTCATAGATCCTGAGTTAAAAATTATTTTAGTCTTTTTATTCAGACAAATGGTAAATATCAGTATAGGGTTGTGGAGATTATTAAGATTTTAGTTGAAATCATGAACCGATCCCGCGAGTGTGATCGTGGATGAGTACTGCTGAAGAGTCTCACAATATGACGCAACAGCCTTCCAGTGTTTCCAGGTTTTCAATGGTGGTCTAACATCAATCGATTCATGATCTCAATTAAAATAACTTCTAATATCTTAAAAATTTATCTTTGTAATATCATTTTGCTGTGGTGATATATAGTTTAGTCAGTTAAACGTATTCACATGTCCGAGATTATACGTTACTTATAACTAACAACATTAATTATAAAATAATTAACTCCTATTTTAATGAATAATGTATAATTTATTTATAGATTTCATCTGGCAGTATATATGGAATTGAAGAAAATCGTTTTGTTTATAGAAATGTTTTGGTTGGTTCACGTGTTGTTGCACGTTTTCGTATAGCTAATCGAAGTAATGTACCTGCAGATGTTTCATTTGAAGTTTGTGCAGTCGGAACAATTAGTCCTAATCAACCAAATGGACGTTCAAGTAGCCGAAGTAGTCAATCTGCTAGTTGTGATTCGTTTGAAGTGTTACCAGATAAAGCTCAGATAGAACCACATTCATCTGTTTACGCAAATGTAACGTTTTGTCCAACATCTATGCAAGTAAGTAAATCACTAGGCAGAACTTTATTGTTTTCCATAGAAAATGTATAATTAATTTAACATACATTTATACATAGGATTGTCGTAAGATATAGACAGCCAAACCAAGATATAATATCAGTCTATTAAGTTATTGACAACTTGTTTTGAGTCCATAAGATTATGGCCACTTGGGGGTTAGAGACTTTAAATGGGATGATTTAAAATCATTTTCAATGGAACAGGTGCATCTACCGTTTATCTTCTCCCAAATTTTAAGCTTCTAAATTACTCAAAGACTTTTTTATTTCACTAATTTGTATTTTCTTCTCGAATCGTATCTTGTCTATTACCACTAATACTATTACTACCTCTACTAGTGTGGTATCCAATCAGACAATTTCACCTCTGTGCTAATGCGGATCACAGCTTAAACCCGTGTATACATGTGCCAGGTTTAGTATTGAATTTGACTGACCGTTTAAAAGTGAGTTATTTACACTGAAGCAAGATTAGGCATTACTTAGTGTTTTGGGCTTATTAACTTATTTCTTTTTGATATTTCATGATAAAGACCTTAACTTCAATGCACTCACTTCTTTATACTTTGTTAAATGTTTTAGCTTTACACAGCAACATTTAATGTATATGTAGACAATAAACTATCTCCAAGTACCATAGTTACTTCAGGTCGAGGAAGTACTAGTTCCAGTACAAAACGTTCTTCAAATCCACCTGTTCTTACTTTTGAATTATATGGTGAAGGAAATCTACCACAAATAAGTGTTTTACAACCAAAACTTCGTAATCGTGCTGGTCAAACAATGTGCGTGTTTAAACGCATTCAAGTTGGTAAAATATCAAGTCAGACATTATCTCTTGAGAATAATGGTTTATTAAATAGTCGAGTACGTAATTTTTTCCGATAAACTTAACCTCGTTTTGATTGTGCATTCAGTTCGTTATTAAAATAGCCTTGGTAATTGTATGTGGCATACTGTGGGATGATTTTTGTAAATATGAATGGACATTTGATTGATACAAACAAGTCGAGAAAAATATAAATTGCCTATAGTGAATCCTTATTTGATGATTTTCCTAGTAACTGGTATTGATCTAATTAGTATTGATTGGATTGTTTTTGGCCATCGTAATATCTATCTCATTTCCCAAATTTACTTTAACTCTAAGTCTAGACTTGAACTGTAGCACTGATACATCCTATCTCAATTTATAACCTCATACTTAAATCACCAACTAATATTAGCTAGACCATATTAGAAAACCTGAAAGCAATGAACTGAACTTTCTTTAACGGAAAGGACTCATCGATTATGTGCACCCACGAACAATCACCCGGGTGACTTTCGGTCTTGTGTGTGAACGCGTCCACTATTCTGGATGCAGGGTCGTTGGTACTCACTGTTGAGAAATTCCACATTAATAGCAACATCAGTCTAGTGTTCTAGGTTTTCAGTGGTGGTCTACCTGAGATCGGTTTAAGATTTAAAATATGAGATTGTTAAATAAGAAATATTATTGATCATTTAGACGCTATAACAATAAGCGTGCATAAATTCAGTCACAATAAACTGTTCACTTGTTTAACCTGGTGGTGTTTGAAAAGGGTGTGGTGGTCGGTGTACGATATATTCCTTAAACTCCGTATACAGTTCGTCTCCGTAACCGTCATTAAATAATGCTCCAACAGTATATTAATCAGAAGGCGAAAACGAAGTGTTAATTACGTTTATTATGGGACCACACACATATATCCAAAATTACAGATGCGTTAAGCAAGCATGAAATAGTTGTGCCGAACGGCAAACAGGTAAGCGAGCGGCGAGAGAGAGCAAGGGCAAGAGCGAGCGAGTCATGAATATGAATAAAATGGACATATATATATACATAGTGAAATGAATGAATCATCGAGTCCATGAAGCGGTTAATAGTAAAGCTAGTAGCGTGAATAAATGCGTAGGCAGTAAGGCTTGCCGAGCATACATACTCATACAAGGATAACAATAATAAAGTTACATACATTCGCAACAGTAATAAGGATACAATAAGTTATTATAGTGCAGGTGACTTTGTCCGTTTAATAAGTTAATAAAAGGGCTTAACCGAATTAGGTGAGAGCAAACTCAATTGAACGTGAGTTGCTATAAGGGTAAATTATATAACACAGTTTTCATTTAAACTCCAAAGTTGTACTTTAAAAGTTTATGTCACTAAATTTTTATGGAAAATTCGTAAAGTTAACGTTGTTTATAGTCATCTTGTTTTTACTTTACAATCGATCTACGACTGAATAATGTCTAATATCATGTTTTTAGCATTTAAAGCAGATAGAATCCTGTTTATCAAAGTGACCATTAGTTTGGGTTAACATTAAATGCACGGCCATTTTTTTTTCGAGTGAAATTTTTTTCGTCCCATTCGAAAAAATTTTTCATCCCCATCTTCCAATAATTTTCATTCTGTTCCGTCCAATCAAATAGCTAGTTTTGAGTTCGTTATAATTGGTCGTTTACTTCTTAAACTTGATATAAAATGTCAGGACCTGACGACAGAGCACATTTTCTTCCAATTACGGGCGGTAGTAAGATGCGAAGCACGAGCTCTGTCGTTTCCCACGTTGTCACAGAAACCGATAACCTATACTTGAGCACATTGTATCTCGTAGCGTCTCAATCACTTGAAGAGCGCCGTTAGAACTTATGAAAGAGCTAGGTACTGCCATTATGTGGTGAGAGATTCTCATTTCCATAGAGATCGGAAGCCGTATATTAAATTCGTATGTTGGAGAAATGGTCTTAGAACACCAATTATAACGAACTCAAAACTAGCTATTTGATTGGACGCAACAGAATGAAAATTCTTGGAAGATGGGGATGAAAAATTTTTTCGAATGGGACGAAAAAAATTTCACTCGAAAAAAAAAATAAAAAAATGGCCGTGCATTTAATGTTAACCATTAGTTTGAGTTACTGTTAGATGGTTGTAGGTAGTCGGGAGGAAATTTTGGATCTACGTTTCTTGTTAGATCACCACCAACCACCTGATATACATCATTTAATACATTTCTAATTTTACCCTTCCGTTGGGTGACTTGCTGGAAATAATTCGAATTGAAGATATATGCCATCATAGACCAATATAATCCACTGAATCTCTAAGAAATTTATAAAGCGTTCAATATTGCTGTCATTAATATTCTTCCCTAGTGTCCACCGGAAATATCACATAGAACTGAACCTTAAATCTCAACTCGTGGTGAACGTAATATTATAGATATACTGAGTTAAATTTCATTAATCTGCGTTTTCTATCTCTGATTTACTTATTAATCGTCACCCAATACCTAATGTCTATATATATAAATAATATGGTAAAGAACTAAATATATTATATACCTTACAGAATAGAGTATTGTAACGGTAAGCTACGAATATTTAAGGTATCTTTAAGTCTACTGGAAAAATCAATAGCTCTCTGGAGTCAGAAGTTTTATAGTGTTTGAAGATAATAGACACACTTTTAATTTTCAGTGTGAACATCAACACTGAAACGTTGGTACATTTGGCTAAAGATTCTTAAATAGGACGGAACATGCATTATTGATTCTAGTACCAGGCGCATATCGAATTAATGATATACTTTACATTCTAGAAATCATTTATCTTTTTACTACCAACCATTTTTTATTTATTTCGATTACTAACAGATGGATTAGTAAGATTATTATCGGAATCACTGATTATTATGTCGCAATTAATCAATATTTGGTATTTTTAATATTTTAGTTAAACATTGATCTCATTGATCCAGAAGGGGTGTTTTTATTGAAACCACAATCTAACAATGGTTCCCTACTATTTTACAATCCCCCAAACATGTCAGCTGATTGTACTAGTGAATCGAGTAAGATTAAAACGATTACATATTTCTTATTGATTTTGTTTTATAAACTTATGTATACTATCGAACACCAATTCTATGTTTCTTTGAAATATTTTACCTCACAGTTGTATTTTATTCAAATATCTGACAAATCGAAATAGTTGTTTAAACCAGTTAGTCCCTTTGATAAATTTCGATAATGCAATGAGAAGACGAAGTTTATCAGAATTATGTGATATATTGCCTCCAAATGCCCTGGTACTGCCGAGAGTGGGGAGAGTCCGCTCTCCCTCTCGAAATGCTCTCACATGGCCATGCGTATATAGCCCCTGCCAGAGAAGTCCTACTCACTGTCTTCTCGTGACGGGGGTGTTGTTTACAAAAATGAGAGGACGAAAAGCGAATATCCGGCGCTTTAATCGATCCCAAACCAATGGTGCACATGGGCTCCAGTATCCTGAAGGAACAAATGGCGCATGAACCAATCGTTGGTCACCGTCTACCATGGGACTGCATCTCCTCACGATGCTCCACTGCCTTGTGGGTCAGACGTTCAGGTCGAAGGTTTGGGGTGTGGCCCCCTAAGAAAACCACCTGCTTCGGTTTGGGCACCCGGGCAGTATCACAACCCTCACACAAATCAATTGAGATTCGTGTGGCGCATATGTACTTGGTGCCTCCCTGTACCTATACTTATGTGTTAAAATAAATAAATAAATAAAATAAATGTGATATATTAGCGCAATATATTTCGAACAATCATTATGTGACCACCAATTACAGATCTGCGTAATGACCAGAATTTTATAAGGTTTCAATTACTGTTGTCACTTCACAAAATTAAAGAGATAACATTATTTTTAATGAAGACGATAACTTCAAATTAATAATATAACACAATGTAAATTTATTTAGTATTGTTTATGTGAATCTTCCCATTGATGTTAAGAACTGCAACTGGTCAGTCTATCAGGACACGGTAGCTATGTGGTTAATCAGATAGTGTTTGGACAGAACGGTACTGGATTCGAATGTAAGAGTGAACACCAACTATGGAATACAGGTCCATTCAGTTAATGAGTCCTAAATAAGACGAAACGCGCATCCTGAATTCCACTGCTAGCCTTCATTCATCTTTGCTTATAAAAGCACTATATAATTAATAAATATGTTGATCATTTCACTGTTCTCCTAATCAAGAATATAATTGTAGCTATAAACTAATATGCACATCGTAATCTAACACTGGACAAAGAAAATAGAAAGTTAAATTTTAATCATAAATCACTAACGAAGTTTGATTTTATAAACAACAATAAGATGTTTATAATTCATCATTGATTCCTCATATCATTCAATTCAGTCAGTAAACTAACAATGGATAACAAAACATTTTTATTTTATTGTTTTGCTAACATATCATGAATGTAAAATATCCAACTTCATGAAGTAAATTCGTTCATGCAATTGAACAAGCTGATAAATTATACAGAGGGTGCTACATTTATTAATAGAATGAAAACAAAGTGGTTATAGAGCTTGAAAAGTAATCAAGGCTGTCGTATGGACTAATTAGCGAAATGTGATCAGGAAAGATTTACGAAAGCAAGATTATCTATGTTCGAATTTATAGAGTAATAAAATAAGAGGTGGAAGTTTTAGCTCACGAAAATTAGACTTTACCGTTTAGGTAAGTGGTATATCCGGACGAAGAATAAGTGATTAGTAACCTCTAGGATCTATCTATAGTCTATTTTTATATATATTCTTTTGTATACTAATCAAGTAACTATATTATTTGTATACTCATATTCCTTTTATTATAAACTTTCATTTGACCTATTAACTGCTATTATACAATTTACCATTCATAAATTATTCCCAATTTATTAATTACAGTATCTCACACTCACAGCCACTTTTCAGTCTGATCTTGTATAATTGTCATTTTCTATTTTATGGTATGATGTGGTCTGGTTTGTTTGTATATAAACCAAGTATGTCTGAAATACATGATTTATGTAATGGAGGCTGATATTGGTGTTCTGGACTAAACCCGCTCGGTTAGTCGAGAAGCTACTATCTCGGTGAATCAATAAGACCCTAAGTTGACTCTAGTCTCTTCGTCCTAGTTCATGCGTCATTGGTATGGTCAAGAAGTCAGTGTTCTAATTGGCGATCGTATCATGTAATAACTAACAGATCATAAGGATATGAATGTAAGAAGTTAATCAGGTTTCATTTTGATAAGTGTTTCGAACTTCATTATAAAAGGAAAGCTTCAATGATGCTAAAGATACGAAAACTAGTTAATTTCGGTAGCTTTCTATTCACTTTCTAAACGACTGTGAGTAGTGGGTTTGTTTAAATTGAATGATTCATTAACGAGATGCTTAATTATTGTACAGTTCATACACATACTACTACCTTTTGTCAATATTTTCTTTAAACCTCATGGATAGACTACTGATCGAGATTCCATGTGTATATTATCAGAATATCAAATGTAATAGTAAACAGTTATTTAAGTAATCCAATGTAATAACTTACTCTATAGATTATTGACAAGCTTGGATAAACTGGAGAAAATTGATTAGAACTAAGATTTAAATAAGTTCCTCTAATATTAGTTTGCAATTAACCTGTTTACTTTTGGACTAACGGATTGGCAACATTGATTTTACCTAAAATACATTATTTATGCGTAGTAAGTCAGTTCGTGAGTTATAGACCTTCATCAATTGAAGTAGTTGTAACAACTAATTACCAATTCTTTTATTCATCTATGATCTATACTGATTATGTAATAGTCAACCGTAATATTTACCTCTTGAAACATCATTAGAATAGATGATCTGTTGTTTGCCTATGAATTGTTCAAACCAATAAGTAGATTTTTACGATTGATTGATCACTGGGTGGTGATCAATGTCATGCGTGTCTAGTCCTTATTATTAGTGCAGATTGAATGCTATCGACTATGTTGTGATGTGGCCATCAGTCTAGGTGATTCGACAGTGCGTGTACTATGTTGAGATTAGATGGTGCTTGGAGGTAGTCGAAAAGAAACCCTGGACCCGGGTTTCGTGCTACTTCACACTCGTCAGCAAGGTGTACCTGTAATCTTGAGGGAACTAATACTCCCTGACCGATTCGAACCCGTGTCACCCAGCTTCACAGTTAGAAACGTTACCACTGAGCTATCCGGGCCACAACTAACCTCCTGTAAGACTGAGCATCAGTTCCCTCAAAAATTACAGGTACACCTTGCTGAAGAGTGTCAAGTAACACAAAACCCAGGTCCAGGGTTTCCTGTCGACTAGCTCCACCATCATCTAAGTAGATTTTTGATGAATTTAAAAAGATTTTATTGTTCCAATGTTTTATTCAAGAATATCTTTCCTAGGAGATAAAAGAATTCTTAGTACCCAAATCACTGAAAATAATTCCTTCATTCCTTTTTTTTCTTTTTTTTTCAAATTATTTCTTAGCTGGTAATGATGAGTTATCTATAGCTAAACAATCATATTTAATTGGTTTATTATTAAAACCTAAACATCAATTTAATTTATTAATATCTTATAAACCAAATAAACGTAATATTAAAAATTATGGACAAATTCAATTAATAGTAGTAAATAATGAATATGAAGATACATTAATTGAATTAATTGGTGAATCATTAAATGATGAAGTATGTATTGAAAATGTACCACAATTAGATAATGACAAATATTTATGTATACAAAATGCATTAAAACGAATCACATCTGTATCAAAATTAACATTAGATGATATGGATTATGGTAGGTTTTCTTTGAAATTTTTGTTTGTTTGTTTGTTTTTTGTTTCAATTCTTACTATAATGATTTTTGATTGAGATCATGAATTGATTGGTATTATATCATCATTGAAAACCTGGAAACACTGAATGGCCGTTTTGTTTTATTGTGGGACTCTTCAGCAGTACACATCCACGATTCTGCTGAGGAGTTTCATAATAGAACGAGACAACCATCCGGTGCTTGTAGGTTTTCAATGGTGGTCTAACATCAATGAGTTCATGATCTTAATCAAGAAATTTAATAATATCCACAACCCCTATACTGATAATGATGATTTTTGTATTTTTTTTCTTTGAACATCCATCTTAACATCACTAATTAAAGCATGTCAAAATTATACTACTCCATTTAAAGTTGATGAGAAGTCTTGATATAAAATGAATTTTAGTTTATTTTATAAATCTTATTATTATTACTTTTGTTCGAACTTGTCGAACGAATCAGATGTATGATACTTATGCATAGATGATTGTTTGTTCAGTGGTTACTGATTGAGTTCTTCAGTCTACATCATATTATAAGTAGAATGATTTATTTCACTATACTGATTAGATAATATATTTATTATTTGCTGTTGGTCCTATGAATACTGAAGATATAGTAGCCATTGTTATTTGTAAGTAGGTTAGTCTTTGTCTTTGTTCCAGTTAAGTGACATTAATTTTGTATAACATTATTGAGGAAAAATGTTCATTATCAGCATAGGGTTGTGGAGTCGGTTGAATTTTAATTGAGATCATGAACTGATCCATGTTACATCACCCTTGAAAACATAGACACACTGGAAGGCATAGCACGGGACTCCTCAGGAGTGTGCATCCACGGTCCTAGAAGGGAGACTCGAACCCATGACCTTCGGTGTCGCAAGTGGACGCTTAACCTTTAGACCAATGAGCCGGCGTCCAACTGTGTCAATGTCTAACTTCAATCAAACGGCTGTTCAGTGCTTCGAGGTTTTCAATGACAATCTAACATTGATCGGTTCATGATTACAACTAAAATTAGACAATTTCCACGACGCTGTAATGATAATTATTATGTGCTCACTAGTGATTAGCTTCGAGGAGTAATTGTCAGAGTTCTAGTGAGAAGCCGTGACCAGTGGAGTTGAACCATGTCAGGTATGATGCAGTTACTCACTGAGCATAATAAAAGATGGTCACGCAATATCGTGAAAAATGCTCATTTAAATTATTCAAGAATCTAAATACATTTGGACAGTCGTTTTTTTATATTTTTTCCCTAAAATATATCAGAATAGTTGTTCGGGCGATTTGTTGCCAGATGATGTACTGCCATTACTGTAAACTTCGGATATGACCTCCTGAAGAGTTCAAAACCAACTCGATTCATTACGGAAATCATAAATTTACTCATTTTCACAACTATTCTAACTCAATATAACTTATTGTTTAAATTAACAATAAATTTCCTTTAATTTATGGTTTTAATTTTGTTTTATAAACAATTACAGAACCTAATCAAGATGAGATTCAAACTACATCAGGTAACTAATCTTTATTCTTTTGATAAATCTAATGGGAAACAATTATCATTGATTATTTATTTAATATTTGATCACAGTAAAAAAAAAAAGTGGTTTACTAAAGAATCAATTATTTACGTTCATCAGGTAAATCTAGAGGCTATTAGGTCCTGGGTTCGCATCTGGCGACGTGAGATCGTGGATGCGCACTGCTGAGAAGTCCCACAATAGGACGAAACGGCCGTGCAGTGCTTCTAAGTTTTCCGTGGTGGTCTAGCTTTAATTGACTCACGATCTTAACTAGTTTCTAAAACAGATATTAATTGTATTTTATTAGGATAGAAATATGTACTTCAGTCTATTACAAATACTTTACTCATTGCTCCTATTGTTAACTTTACTTACATATAATATCGAGTTCAGCTAGAAGAACCTCACTATATTTATCTTTTTAAGCAATATTATTATAAACAAAAAGAAAGGTTTAGCATCATATTCATGATTCATAAACAAGGGTGCTTTAGCTGAACATTCAACTCATTACAATCTACATTTAGATAATTTTACAGATCTTGAATTAATAAGTGGTTAAAAGTAGCTGGCAGAAATCCATAAATCTCACACTTCAGCTTGTCCATGAAATTTTGAGTCAAGTAAACTTCGACATTAAACTGATTCAAAGGAATAAAAAGAGAAGCGTAAAAGTTCTCAAAATGCATTTATTTTTGTAGTGAACAAGGAAAAAAAAGTGGAGACAATCGAATGTATTTAAACAAAAAATATCTTCAGGCGTTTCAATTTAGTTTGATGATACATACTACTTATATCTGTCGACATCATCAGCACACACCACACTTTCACTGTAATGATGTATTTTGTCTTTCGGCACTTGAACAAATTCCTTCATACTAATCAGCTTAATGCTCATTATGATTCTAACTCAGTGAAACCTACTTCTACCTGAATGTTTGATTCTCATTTAAATGCATCATACTCAACGTTAAGAGAATTTTAATTTTGATCAAGTTTGATATAACCACCTACCAAACAGTGTTTCCTCGGTACAGAGTTATAATCCGTTATTCAATTTGATATTTATGATATCAATAAGTTATTAAAACTTGTTTCATTTGATCTAGTTCGTACACTGTAATTTTTTATTGATATACTTTATTCATCATTTTCAATTTAGTTAAGACATCGCTTATCACCCGGCTATCAGGTGGTATGTCTGATCCAACCTAGTATTAACTTAGCAGAGTGACAAAAGTTCTAAACTAAGAGCAATTATGAGTTTCATTGCAAAAGATGAATCTAAATGATGTTAAGAATGAATCCAAGGCCTCAGAAAGATTGATAATAAACATTAAATAGTGAAGTTCATCTAAACTCTCACTAAATTTTACTAGGGTTTCCATTAATGATCATGCATAGTTGTTTGATTAATGATATAGATTGCTAATAAAAAAGACCTGGGTAAAATTTGTTTGACACCAAGGATCATTCGAATACCTATGCACAATATAATTTATTATCCACACATCATGTATATTTATACAAATTATTAAAAAGTATGATATGTAAAGTAGTATTAAACTCATGCAAGGAAGTCCAAGGAAATCCATTATCAAATGAGGAATTAATTTAATCCTAAATACTTATAACAAATAAGGTATATAAACATTTACTTAAAATTAAAAATCAGTTTACTAAATAAAATTTAGATCTCATTTTATAGTGTTCTGATTAGATATTAATTTAACACCGTTGAATGCCCGGCTCAGTGGTCTAGTGGTTAAGCGTTCGCGCATGAGATCAACAGGTCCTCGGTTCGAATCTCATGAGGCAGGATCGTGGGTGCACAATGCTGAGGAGTCCCACAATAGGACGAAACGGCCGTCCAGTGCTTCCAGGTTTTCTACGGTGTTCAAGCTTCGATGAAATTATGATCTCAACTATTAAAATTACTATAATATCGATAAAACCCCTTCTGATATTAAATATTTCTTTGTTGAATTTAAGTATACTGTATAATTAGGTGAGGTTGACTTAACACATCACTCATCAATGTCTGTAAACTTTTCAACCCAATATGATATTTCTTACTAATATACTGATATAAAATTTTTAGCGTCACTAATTAAGACCAATATAAATCAGTCTTTTTGAAGAACCAAGAAATAAATGTAATTTTCAACCATTACCATTGGTTTTGTTCATTTAAATCTCAGATTATTCTGTCCACCAGTTACAACTAGTATTCGAAATAGTTGGTTATATAAGCTACCATGAAACAGTTAGTAGTAGTATGATTAAAATAAATGATATTTACTAGTCGTTTCTTCGGATTTTTTTTCCCTTAAATTAGCATTACAACATAACCATTTAGACTTTGGTGACTGTGGTCCAAATGAAACTATAACGCGTACAATAACAATCACTCATTGTGGCAAAGTTAAAGAGACAGAACCGACAAGTTTTCGTTTCAGTTGGCCAACTAATAATCCAATTCTTCAATTTCGACCATCTGAAGGTCATTTACATGTAAATCAATCTAGACGAATTGAAGTTACATTCAAACCATCTGGTTCACCAATAACACTTAAATCTCAATGTATTAAATGTAATCTACATCGTATTGTTGTGCCTGTTCCAGAGGGTTGTACGAAAGTAAGTTATTCATAATTATATATTTATACGTGCTTTGTCATACATATCTAATACCACACCTCAGTAATATATGAATGAATGCAAATAAAATTCTGAGGAGTATCAGTATAACTTATGGCTGTATACGGTGTTTGATTAATGAATGAAATTTTATGAACTGAAGAATGGCAAGAGTAAAGTGAACACTAAGTGAAACGGTTTTTGTGTAGAAACCTAAAGCTTAATGTTGGGGTATTCAGAAAATACCCCAGAAATTATCTAATGCCATTCCTGAATGAGAAGTAGTGTCATTTCCCCATTGGTCAACATTCTTCCAACGTGTCATCTCCTTATTGGTCAATATTTATTTGTGTCATTTCCTGAAGGTTGAATCTTATAGAAATGTTACTTTCTATTTTATGGTACGATGTAGTCTGTTTGATTGGTATATAAACAGAGTATGTTTGAAATATAATGATTCATATCTCCGAGGCTGAGACTTGTGTTCTGGACTCAATTGGCTGGGCTAGACAGGGAAGTAGGACCAATCAGGACTCTAGGCTGCTCGCACGCTGCTCTCCAATAGGCGGATCACACGTTATAACACTTAATTAAGTCAGACAAAATTGAACCGTGTAAACATACAAGAAAAAAGATTATGTATGTGAGTTACATCAGATCAAACTATAATGGAGATGATAACTGACGTATTTACCATGAAGCTGAACAAGTTATAAGAAAACGTTAACCTCTCTGTTTTATTCAAAGCTCTGGGATTTTGGAAATCCTAACGATCAACGCTCTTGATGTTTGAAGAATATGATGCTTTAGCATTTTCCATTGATTGTTTGAAACATAATAGACGTGTTAGAAGGTTTCAGTGTCCACTATATCAAGCCCACATGGGTTATTCTATCTTCCGGACAGACCAGTTGCTTCATTCTTCGAGTCACATTTTGACCTTATTAACTATTCGCCTATCAACTTTGACTGTTTTAAATGAATATGTGTGTATTGTTTACTATGTCCTTAAACGGCTGTAGCTTATTTTTGTCTGACTATAATTACTAAGTCATGCTTTATCAAAAGGAGGTATCTCACTCGCCTTCTACGTTTTGCTTCGTTTCGCATCGACCGCTTTTCATTCTGAATGCCTGTCTGGACAAACAAGTGCTTGAAATAAATTCATTCAACCCAACCCATATTTGGATTCTTATCACCACCATCACACAAACGGTGTTAGCCTATGTAATATGCGGAGGACTTATGTTCATAGCATCTTCGTATGATCAAGCAGGAGTCAAATAGTGGGCCACTAAAAACTGGTTACAAACGTGAAAGTTTTTTCTTTAGAACTCGCTCTTCAAGGCAGTTATATCAATAAATGCCCTAGTACGGCGGAGGGTGGTGAGGGTTCGCTCGTCGTCTCCAAATATTCTCATATGACCACACTTATATAGCTACTAACAGGGAAGTCCTAATCACTATCCTTTTGCGACGAGAGTGTTGTTAACAAAATTGAGAGGAAGAAAAGCAAATATTCGATGTTTGTACCAAGTTCGTTGGTATGGAGGACCCCCCAGAGGAGTTGCAAACCCTGATTCCAAACCAATGATGCACATGAGCTCCACGATCCAGAAGGAACAGATAGCATGTGAACCTGCTGTTGGTCATTGGATACCATATGACTGCATCTCCTAACTTTGTTCCACTGCCTTATGAATTGGACCATAAGATCAAAGGCTCCAGGTGTGGCCCCTTAAGGAAACCACTTGTTTTGGTTTGTGTTACGCCCTTGATCTGTCTACCCACTTTCAGTGCTGACGATAATTGTTTAATCAAGATTAAGACCTTGATGTGATAGTCTGAACGGCTTAATCTTGAGGCTAGTACGCGTGAGTACGAAGCATGGTAGAGAGAAGAAAACTATTCTACCAACTGTGACTGGCTGACAAGCACGCGAGTGAGAGAAGACAAGTCAACTGGAATACTACTCGATTTATTCTTAATTCCGATCTGGTTCCCGATTTCCTGATTTCCTGATTTTAGATCAGTGTAAAAGAGCACATTAATAAATAGATGATTAATCCGACCACACGTACATTAATTAAGAAAATACAATTATGTCCAAAACTGGGGATTAGAGTAGAAAATAGAGCACGAAATAATTCATTTAAATTACAATAGCTTTAGAACAAAAAGGGCTATGGCAGTGAATGATACATCATAAGAAAGCTCATGTTCTGTAGAACAGACTAGAGACAAAAATAAATGTTACTGTTTTACAAGTTTCGAGTTAACTCAAATTACGTCCCTAAAAATAACTTACTTTTTAAACGACCTTTTACTTCTATGTTTTTACCGATATTAATAATTGTAAGCAATCTATTGATATTATTCATCTTGAAATGAAGTTAGTTAGACAATTATTGACGAGTAGAAAGCACCGATTAACTATTTCATTTATTTGTAATTTGAAATCTTAATAAGATTTTATTTGCTTAGTTATCTGTGTAAATTATTTGATTATTTGATTTTTTATACTCATCCTATTAGGCTGTTGACTGGGATGATACAAAACAAGTTATTCGTTGGGTTGATGTACCTGGAGACAAGTAAGCTGATAATTTTTCTACCAAATACTTTTGACTTTATATTAGTGTTAACAGGGATTATTTCTGATGTCAGTATATTTTTTGTTAACGATACGTAAAATCTGAAGAATTGGTAGTATTGGCCTAAAAGCCTTAACCGCGTGAAAATTAGTACACTTGACTTCGACACAGTAAATGTGGTTCTGGTAAATTCTACTAATACACAATCCTAAACTCCTGAATATCACACGATAAGGAGGTAGAGAGAGAGAGAGGATGAAGTTTGAATGGTAATTTTATTTACCAAAACCAAATAACAATGTTTACAACTCACACATATACATGTATATCTGAACTGATCTAAAGAGAGGTGTATGAACAAATAAACAGTCCATTCATAGTACAACAGTCACACTTTGATTTCTCACTTACTATATACATTTACAAGAAGTTGTGATCTATCCAATTTCTGTTTACTGTAACATGTCTACCTTCCTAATAATAAGAATTTACAGTTCATTATTGTTTTACATTATTTTATGTATTTTAGCTATGTAAATAGTTATTATAAAACATAATTACTTATGTCCATTTTGATAAATATAATTTTCATATAATTTCAGAATGAATGGACCAGATTCTTCAAATCGTTCAATACCAACAACAACCACAACAACAACAACAACATCAGGAACAGTAAATTCATTGAAACCAACAAATCATATTCCAACAATAATAAATTCAGATAATTTACAAGAACGAAATAATCATATAAATTGTAATTATGGTTCATCTAATGAAATCATTTGTCGTAAACAAAAATTAATTGAAATTGAGCCAGAACCTCATTATGAAGAAGTATTTGATCAAATAGATCCTAAACCATTAGAATTATTTATATCTGCTCTAGCTGATTTTGTTCAATTTCGTTGTGATCCAAATAGAATTGATTTTAAAGAAACAAATATTTTTGAAAAACGAATATACAGGTTTGTTTATTGAAATAGATTAAAAATTATATAATTTATTAAACTTTATAATCGTCAACATCTCATTCTATTTTATAGTGTTGAGATTGTACTAGACTAACATGAATTTCAATTATTATTACTTGTTTATAATACTCTTTATATATATTAAATCTTATCAAGATGATTCATGTTATTTGTAATAACTTGTGATCTTGTGCCCTATTTATATGTAACGTAATGATATTGACAATTAGAGAACAGTGATTTATCGACCGAACCAGTAACTCATAAAACCCGTACGAGTAGTCTAGAGTCTTTATCGGTCCTTCTTCCTGCCTAGCATTCTCTATTAAGTCCAGAACATCAATCTTAGCCTCTGCGATATGAATCACGTATTTCATACATACTTGGTTTATATACAGACAAACCAGATCACATCGCAGCATAAAATAGAATAAAACATTTGTAGAAGATTTAACCAAATGTGGCTGTGAATATGGGAGATAGTATTTAATAGACCGGGTATAACTCAAAAACGATAAGTCGTATAATAATAGTCTATGGGTCAAAATTAAGCTTATCATAAGAGTGTGATGGACCAGACAATATATTAACCCAAAAGATTATAACAGAGTTATTAATGACAAATTATATATATATATATATATATATATATATATATATATATATATATATATATATATATATATATATATATATATATATTAAATGTTATAAACACAATAGAAATAAGGAACGTTACTCAGTTCACCAGGCTAATGCGTGTTCTAATTTGATCTGGTACCAAATATCCACAATTATAGACGGTTGATAATTCCAGTAAATTTTGATAAATTCCCCAATTATATGACCAAACGTAGTATATGGTATATTCCAATTACAGTCTGTAAAGGTAGATGGTGTTTGATTTAGTCTTCGGTTAACACAACCACAAGTAAATGTAGAACGAGAGGTATGTACTCAAAAATGTATTTGTTAGCGGTCAACAAAGTGTCATGCCATGCGTGTAACACAACGGAAGAAAAAGTGTTCAAGGTCATACACTTAAACAACAGGTACAATCGTTTATTGATAAATGTACATACAGTGAAAAATTGACAAAATAAATACAAATAACATTAAAAACTATTTACAAAATAAGCTTGTCAGATATATCTTCACAAGAGGAACATGAATATGCACAGTTTAGCTACTTACTAATTGTACAATAAAAATATATGTATTGTATTGGTCCATAAATACTTCTCAAAAGTTATCATTCATAATTGTCGTCGGGATATAACATTGATTAGAATTGGTTCAAATTAAAAACACATACTTTCGTTAAGTTCTACTTAATTCCGAGTAATAAACATTTATGTCACTGTAAAATTCAAATGTGATTCTCTTAATAAGAAGTATTCATAGATGGATCTCTCAAATATACTGGTTTTATCGGATAAAAGGGTGATATTATTTTAGGTCACTATCTCCATGTCAATTCGGTATGAGTTTTTTTCAAATGTGAACTTTTATCCAGTTTGATCATTATATTCTTTTTATTTACTGAATGTGAACTTCGTACGTATCATACAATAACTTTGTGTATTCTTTTCTATTTAACTAATCATCAAATGCATGTAAAATCATTGTATTTTAGCCATGAAATGTTTAAGGGTTGTGTCATTGGATAATTATAAAATCTCCTTATGCATCAGTCTTTTGCATTGTGTAATTGCAGTAGTTGCCCGTTTCAATTATCAGTAATAGGATCGAGGATACAACATATACACTTTAATACCTTCTTAAATGTCAAAATAGGCGTTATCCCTAACAAATATCCTTATTGAATGTCAGCTCAGTGGTCTAGAGGTTAAGCGCTTGCGCGCGAGATCGACAGGTCCTGGGTTCCAATCTCGCGAGATGGGATAGTGAATGCGCACTGCTGAGGAGTCCCATGATGGGACGAAACGGTCGTCTAGTGCTTCTACGTTTTCCATGGTGATCTAGTTTTAATTGAATCACGATCTTAACTATTGAAATTACTATAATATCCACAAAAACTCTTGATATAAATGTCCTTGTATTTCTTGTATCATACAGATTTGAATTATTTAATCAAGGATTAATTACATTACATTTTAAATGGTCAATTCATATGATAAGTTCAATGCCTGAAAATGAATCAAATAAAAAGATTACTACTAATGAATGTCAGAGTAATAATGAAAATCAAAATGAACACTGGGATAAATCACTTATTCCGTTCAAAGTTTATCCAATCGAAGGTTGTATACTACCTGGAAGATCACAATTCATCGAGGTAAATATTTATGGTTGTTTATAATGGTTAATATTCAAGGTTGTATATGATCGATTTAGTTTAATTGAGATCATATGTGTGGCATGTAGCCTCAAGTTCATTACATATTGTATAATGGTTAGAAGTGAAATCCAGAACATACGTTTCTTCTTATTTGAGACTCCACAAACGGATGTATTCGCAACAGATTCCGACTCAGTAGTTTAACGATGAAGTTCTGCTGAAGTTCTGGATTAAATGTTCACCGCTGTTGTGGATGTGAAGTAGAAAGAAGTCTCCAACGATGTGAATGATATACAGCTATTAATAATGCTTTGGTCCAAGATTTCTTCTAATAATAGAATCGCAAAACTGGTTCAACTAGAAGTCAAGAACGAAGGGTTCAAATATCTGTTTGAACAGTGGTCGATGTGTCGAGGTGTATATAATTTAAGCTGAATAGTTACCATAGGAGATGCACAGCACGGCATACTTAAACATGATCTGACGTGAATGCTTGACAGAACACCCTCAGCTAGAGGTGTGCTCGGTAAAAATAAAGAGATCAATATCACTGTTGGAGCCTTACAAAACTATTTGTTTTGGGGATTTATTCACCGCTACATCTCCGACTAGACCCTATCATTTCATGTCAAGCATAACTTCAAATATTCATTTTTCTTTACATTCATTCAATCTATTTTACTGTTTTATTATGTTAACTTTAGGTCACTTTTAGTCCACTTTTACTTGGTGAATTTGAAGCGCAGCTTGAAAGTAAAATTGATAATTTAGCTCAACAATCATCCAATACAAATCGTAATCGACCAATTTTGACAGCTCCAATAATCACAATAACAGGGAAATCAGGAAATTCAATTCTACACTTTGATTTATGTGACTCAGATTATATCTCAAGTGGGAGAAGAAATCCAGAATTACCTGGACCAAATGGAACATTATTCGGTGAAAGCCTAGATCCATTTACTAGAGTTATTGAATTCAATACAATTGGTCTAGGCTTAAAATCTACTCGGTATGATTTTACTCATAAAATGATAAGCTGCTTTTGCTGCTCTTGTAATAAACATATGTCTACCTGTTCTAACTTATCACTCATAGGTTCAATTGTTTTTATCAACATTTGTGTTTTAGTTGCTTAATTACACTTTTAAATATCTGAAACAACGTATTGACCAATTGATAAAGATTAATTATTATTCAAGACTGTGGTGAATACTTTTGATTCTAGTTATTTCTGTGCACTGATAGAACAGGTTGTTCAGCTTAAATTCATTTGATTAATATCACATTGTAGAACACTTTAATAAAGAAATTTCCACTGTTTAATAATTTGACATTATCAGAGGATTTTTGTTTTGTTCGAAACTCTTCCGACTTGAAATCAACTTTAAAATATTCTATATTTAATGATTGACCTTTCCTGAAAGTGTTACACTTTGACTAGCTACTGAAAAACATGTTTTTGTGTTTCCAGTGCTGATTATAATTTCAATAACGTTTATAGTATTTGTGAGAAGTATATAGCATTCAGAAAATTTATCAATTACTATACAACATCACAATCTATTCAGCTAACATCATGGTATAATTGAAAACTCTCAAACATCAGTTCAATTATTTTTCATATCAAGATGTAATTGTCAGTCACTCAGTCAGCCAGTCAATCAGTCAGTCATCAACAACGTAGAACTTCGTACGTATGTACGTCAGTTCGAGCTACTATATCACATTAGCACACAGATACAATTGTAGGTTCAAATCCCATAGTGGTAGACGTAGTAAGAGTATAATAAGAGTATAATAAAACATACGATTATTGTTGTGTTATACAGATTGTTTAAACCTAGACTTATTCATCAGATTGACAGTCAGGAATAATTAATATATGTTATGTAGATGTTTTCTTAGTACTTCAATATATTTCGAATTATCGATCACAATTCATTAAAGACAATCGTCTAAGTTGACAGTGAATAACTATAGACATCAGTTAATACAACAAATAGTCTGCTGTAAACTATTTAGATGAGTATGATAAAGACAAAATATGTGAATTCGCTTTGGCAAGTTAAATAATAACTGATTAGCGAATGCATTCCAAGTAAGGACCGGAGTCAGACAAAGCTGCCTATTCTTCCCCTTTATCTTTCTTCTGATGGTTGACTGGATTATGATGACCTCCACATCTGAGTAAAGCACGGAATATAATAGACAGCTCAGAACCAATGAGACGATTTGAACTTCACAGATGACCTAGCCCTTCTGTTCTATACACACGAACAAATTCAGATGGAGATATCTAGTATAGCAACAGCCTCTGCATCAGTAGGCCTCAACATACACAAGACAAAAAGCAAGATCCTCAAATACAACACGGAGAACACCAGCCCAACCACACTTGGTGGCGAAACTCTGGAAGATGTTTAATCCTCCACGTACCTGGGAAGCATCATTGATAAACAAGGTGGACTAGATGCAGACATAAAGTCGGGAATCGGCAGAGCAAGGGCCTCATTCCTACAATTGAAGAACATATGGGACTCAAAACAACTGCCGACCAATATCAAAGTCACAATCCTCAATACAAATATCAAGACAGTTCTACTGTACGGAGCTGAAACTTGAATAACAACTACACAACTATAATCAAAAACCTACTAGTATTTATAAACAATTGTCTACACATGATAATTGATGTCCGTTGGTCAGATACTATCAGCAACAGTCTACTATGGGAGAGAACAAACTAGCTTCCAATTGAAGAGAAATTTAGGGAAAGACATTGGAAGTGGATAGGAAATATACTACGAAACTCATCAAACTGTATTAAGACGTAAGTGCTAACTTGGAATCCTGAAAGGAAACGAAAAAGAAAAAAACCTAAGGAACACACTGCATCGAAAATTGGAAGCAGATATCAAAAGGATAAATAGCAACTGGAAAGAATTGTCCATGACAATGTTCGATGAAGAATGCTTGTAGGTGCCCTGTGCTTCTCCATGAAGAGTAACAAGCGTAAGTAAGTAAGCATGTAAGATTAGCGTGAAATTAAATTTACTGAATAATCAAACACTAAGATGATAATTTGAAATTCATTTGTATAGAATAAATTTTGCTTCCAATTATTTTCAACTACCTGTTTTCAGTCTTATTTTAAATTATCTGTTACCTATTTATTTTAAATATAGATACTTTTCAATTGTTAATACAACTAGAGAAGATTTTGAATTTATGATTATAAATGAAGATTCAATTAATGTTAAACAACCTCAATCAGTTAAGTGTATTGAAGAAAAGGGGATTATCTTAGCTGGGAAAAAAGTTAATGTACGTTACTTGTGATGAATTAATTTATGTACATGCATCATTTTTTACAATTCTTATGGGGGTAATAATATTGGATGTACTCAAAGCTATTTATCCTTACACTTTCATGAACACGTATCAGGATGGTTAGAAAAAAGCTTTACTGAATTTATCATTGGTCCCTTTCTTTCACACCTAATTGAGTATGAACATAACATTACAATGGAAGATGCTTTCTCAGTTGCGTATTCAGTTCCTAGCAGTTAACCAAAATGTTGAAGAACACGTTTGCTCTGTGTAGCTTAAGCAATTGGCATCATTTCAAAGGAACTGAACCTCTGTATACAAAAAAAAATATATAACTTGGCTCACAATTTTTAGTTCCAATTTTGTCTACCCTCATTTCGATTTGAACTGCCTTTCATAAAATGTTCCTTTTTCATAATTATCCAGTCTTCTTTCTTAGTTTACAATGTGTCCTTATTGTTATTGTTATTATCATCATAAAAACTACAATCAAAGTGCATATCTTAAGAGTTTCGATCACGAAGAGATCTCAACTACACTACCATTGAAAACCTGGGAGCACTGGAAGATCGTTCTGTTCTGGCTCAAGACTCCTCAGCAATGTGTATCAACGACCCTGTACATGAGAATTAAATAAAGGACCTTCGAACTTGCACTCAAAAGTTAAACACCCGAACCACTAAGCCAAAATTCAAGAAAAAAAATCTTGGACTGAATTCTCACGAAAGGGGTTGTTTAGACCCACTACTGAGAAGTTTTATACTAGGATGAAATGACCTTCTAGTTCTTTCAGTTTTCCAATGATTATCTAACTGAGATCACTTCATGATTTCAACTGAAATGTTAAACAATCATTACAAACCCTACACAATAGTTTCAAAATTTTATTAGGTTTTTTTACATTCAATCTTAACTTATTGGTTAGAAGTCATCAAATTAAAGTATATAATTTCTTTAATTCCAATGGTATTATATTATTTGTAGCATTGACGATTTAATCGATGTGAAACTCCATATACAATTAACAATATGGATTAATCAAACTTAAATATTTCGTCTGTTTTAACACAATGATAATAATAATAATAATAATTTATTGTGTAGAGCCTGATTGATTAGATGGTGGTTGGAGGTATTCAACAGGAAACCCTGGACCCGGGTTTCGTGCTACTTCACACTCGTCAGCAAGGTGTACCTGTAATCTTGAGAGAACTAGTGCTTCCTGACGGATTCGATGCCGTGTCACTCAGCTTCACAGTCAGAGACGTTATCACTGAGCTATGCGGGCCGCGACCGACCGAGCCTGATTGGGTTTATTAATAAGTATAACACCGCCTATTAGCATTCAGGACAAGTTCATTTACTATAAATTATACCAGTTAATATTTCTTGTCATATCAGTTATACTTTTGTGATCCAATAATGTTTAATAATAAAAGCACGACTGATAGATATTGATTGTGAGGAAAAAATAAGTGTTCATTATATGGTACATAATGAATATCTACCATTAATAGTCTACGAAAGAGCATACTGATCGTGAGTAAACAAATTTGCAAATAACCATATCAAGACATGTAACAAACAAGTGAATAATTACTTTGTTTCAGTGATCCATTTATTTGACTATTTAACATAAAGGTAAGAGAATGTCATAAATATCAATTCAATACACTACTTAATTATCAGACTTTTGTAATGCCATCTTATGTAGTTTTTGGGACATTAGATCCCCAGAACTCACTTGAAAAAGGACCTAATTTTGTAATTTTATTTAGAAAATTTGAATTTCTTTGTTTTCGCGCCAGAAGCGCTCTCTTCACCTTCATGTCGTATTTCCCACTTGGGAGAATCTTAAGCGCTATTGATCCGTTGTGTCTTTTAGTATGCTATTTTGTAACGCTTCCTAAGGACGGTTTTGTGTTGTATATATACGTTTTGATTTGCGTCTGTTGTTAATGCTTGTGCTTCTAGATTTTTGCGGAATATTCTTCCGCTTTCGGACTTCGACCTCTCTCTATAGTTAGCGGGTCTGGGACGTAATAGAATAGCTAGTTTATTGGTTTTTGGTGACAAGTTTTTATTCCATTCGCAGTCTAAGTGAATTCGTAACCGCTTCAAACCTTGCAGTAGTATCGAAGATTTTGTGACCTCTTAGCTTAATGTAATGTTCATGAAACTGCTCTTTGACGCACAGTGATGAACTGATAAAAATGCTAAGTAAATCATGGAAATAAAGAAATTGAAAGTGTAATTAAATAATTTAAACATTTAAATTTAATTGATCAAATTACACTCCTATGGTCAATAACTAACACTGTTTAGTGTAACATCTGCTTTGACAGCAAATTACAGTTTTCTCTTTGAGCTCTTAATTTAAATAAGGCATTAAGTCAGTTGTTTTACAAACTAATGTCATATCATTCCACTTTACCAACCTACTTTTACAATCTGGTTAAAAAAGCTTAACGATTTAGGTGGTCCCATATCATTTGTAATATACAAAACTCTTCCATTAATAAAGGTTTATGATTTCATTGAATGTTGAATATTAGTTTCATGCATTACCTATGAATTTAAACTAAACGTCTATATTATGGCTGAGGTAGGTAGGTGAAAACTGTTAAAATTTAATTTAATTTAGTAACTTAGTTGTTTATAATAAGTAAAATTTTACTTTTATTCTTTAATTTGAAACAGATTGGATTTGAATACATTTCTTATCAACTTGGACTAATTGAATCATTTTGGCGATTTGTTGTAAACAAATATGATTATAGTATTCCATTACTTATTGTCGGTAATACAAGGGAACCAAATATATTATTTGATCAATCACATATTAACTTTAATGCTGTACTTGTTGGTCATCAAGTTAGTAAAACTGTCTTGTTAATTAATCAAGAAGTTTCAACGTCAATATCATCAATTACTTTCAATGACATATGTATGAACAATGAAGAACAATCCTCAAATATATTAGAGTTTGAGTTTTTGAAGTCAAGTCTTTATAGTGCTGGAAAACAAGATTCGGTTATTGTTGAACCAATGTCTGGTCATATTCCACCTGGTACAAAGTATGTTATTGACGTTGTTTCCTACTGAGTTTTATTAACTTCATCCTTAAAATTTATTTTAATCTGGAAAAGGTTTATATTATGGGCAGAGTAACATTCAAAACAAGATGTCATATGATATCTATTTCATCTTATTCAAGACCCCTCGGTGGTGAAGATCTAGGACATTAGCTGTTGCTGTAAGCACATTACTTTTAGGTCACGAGATTAAAATTATGCCTTCCCTGCTACCAGCTTTAGTTACTTCAATATACGTGCAATAATCACTCAATACTACCAATGATTTAGTACTGTTCAATAGTATCGATAAAAAAATCCAAAAGTCTATATAGATGGTGGTATTAAACTGGTCCCATTTTTTTCCGAATCTATGGAGATGCAGTGTGCAGTACTAACCGTGTATACTATTACAACAATCCAAAAACTGCTTTTTAATTACCTGGAATTTTTTACTATACCATAAACCTCTAGAACTACAGTTTGGTTAAACCTAATCATTTCTTTAATAATATATATTGTCATGGTTAGCATACGTCAGCAAAACGTATCTTACTACATGAGAGACCTGATCCTCTCCGTAAGATTCAAACTTATACGACCACTGAGTTATTCACATAACCACTGACCTTCTGTAGAAATGAGTTGTTCACATTATATAATAATAAAACATGATATTGCTCAGTACTCAACCATCAATTGGTACAATTTAGATGCATTGCAATTTCGATAAACTTTAAGAAACATAGATTTAATTAGTTATAGTGCAGTCACTTTATCAAAGGTTTACAGTAAATACTTGGTATTTGTTCAAGGTTTAATTGATGAAGGCATGTGAATTTGAAGTAATGTTATCGTCGATTGAGGAACTATTTCCTAATTTTTTTTTAAATTATTTACATACTAACTGGGTCTTAAATATTTGGAATATTTACGTGAGTAACTAGCGATATTTGTAGACCTAATTAACAGGTTTTCTTATAATTACAATCAAACTATCTAAATCAAATGTTTATTCAACATGGATTCATGCATAATTCATGCACAACCATAATCTAATCAGCGTCTTTGATGACATAAAATTCACAGTGTTTAATGAGTCGAACAACAAACTATCATTCTTGAATAAACTGATCACTAGAACAGATACAGCAAAACTAGAGACTTAAGTATATCAGAAGCCAGTCAACACAGGTCGAATTCTCAATCACAGCAGCAACAACCCAAGAACTTAGAATATCAGCTGGGTACACGCTTTATTCATGAAGGCGAAAACACACCGCAGGACACTTACAGCGCAGAGGAATGAAGAAAAATATCTAATGACTATACTTCATAAGAACAGCTGACTACGCGATTTCATCAAAAACTAACAATTCATCTCATCAGCAGCAATGGACTCATTTAAAACCGACAAACTGATCATCTTATCACACATAAAAGACGTATCAGAAATTGTGACCAGATTATTGAAGGCATTTGGAATAGGTTTAGCACACAAACCAGCAAAATCACTTCAATGAATCTTATGCAAACCAAAGGGCTAAACGACAAAAAAAGCAAAGCAGAACATCATCTACGAAATAAACTGTGTCAGTTGCGAAAAGCACTACATCGACACATATTCGGCTGGAAAGATGTTTAAAATATGGACAGAGGGAATATTAAGAACACCAGTGTATTTTTAGGAGCCTGGAACCCGGGTCAATCAGCTATCAACAAACACTTCGAAATCGATCCAATCTACCAACCTATCAGAAAATTCATGCACGATGGTGGTTGGAGGTAGTCGACAAGAAACCCTGGACCCGGGTTTCGTGCTACTTCACACTCGTCAGCAAGGTATACCTGTAATCTTTGAGGGAATTGGTTCTCCCTGGAGGATTCGATCCCGTGTCACCCAGCTTCACAGGCAGAGACGTTACCACTGAGCTATCCGGGCTGCGACCGACCTCCTGTAGGACTGAGATGGACTGAGGTGGGTGACACGGGATCGAATCCTCCAGAGAGCACCAGTTCCCTCAAAGATTACAGGTACACCTTGCTGACGAGTGCCAAGTAGCACGAAACCCGGGTCCAGGGTTTCCTGTTGACTACCTCCAACCACCATCGAGTCTTACAATAGTGCCCGCAGTGTCGAGTCGCCTAAACTGGTGGCCACATTGCAACATGATCGATAGCATTCGATCTGCACTAATAATAAGGACTAGACACGCATGACATTGGTCACCCAGTGGTCAATCAATTGTGAAAATCATGCACAAATATTAAACTAAGAATTAAGTCAAAGGGAGATATCATCAAAATATAGAGACGTATAATGACGGATGAATGGTCGACAATCACCATTCAAGATCAAGGTTGACAGGATAAGCTGTGAGTCGTATGTGGAGAAATTGGAATACTTCACTTCTACTTGGAGCTTATGCTGATAATTCTGTTCAGAAAAACAATAAAATTTCCACAACTACACGGCTCCAAGAATGAAAATCCAACAAAAACGTAACAATGTATACACAGATATACAAAGATGCATTCATGCATATAAACTTCAATACAAAAATCTCTTAGTACATCAAAATCATTAACCATACAGCTACACGAGTTATCTATAGTATGATAAGTGCTCATACTATCTTTCCAACACAAGCGACCATGACTAAGCAATGTATCTATATTAGTTGTGCTATCATAAGTCAACATTCACTGGCTAAATACAGCTATTAACATTGAAAACTAAGTTCAAACTTATTGAGATTTATAAACTTTAATATGTTATAGTTAAGTACAATCGATTAACCACTGAGCAATGACTGTTGTCTTATTTATCCAGTCATTTAATGCTGATTGAATTCATTAACCTAAGTTAGATGGTTACTATTCATTCGTGTGACCCAAAATCGCGTTCACTATGTTGAGATCTTAGATGGTTGGATCTGGTAAATAGAAAGCTTTGAATCAAATAGATCAGTGGTAACATCGTAGACTATGAAGCTGGGTAACACAGGTCCTGATCACATATGTGGCATCAGATTTCTTTACGTTTCCAAGTAATTCTTTCTGACCAGTTCCAACTAGCGCGAAACCAGAGTTCAGGTTCTCCTGTCCACTTCCTCTAACCACCAAACAATATATGACTATTATTCGTTTGATCACTTAATCCTATCATATAAAAAAATTTAGAGTTAGTTAAAGTAAACTATTTGAATTTCTAGGTTACCTTATTTTCAAACTGTCCATATATTAAAATACTCGTCGCATTTTTGAATTATTTTGTCAAACTAATATCTTTTAGTCATATTGGTCACTTAAACACTTATAGTTACGTCCTTGATCTGTCTACCCACTTTCAGTGCTGACAATACTTGTCTAATCTAGATTAAGACCTTGGATGTGATAGTCTGAACGGCTTAATCTTGGGGCTAGTACGCATAAGTTCGAAGCGTGGTAGAGAGAAGAAAACTATTCTATCAACTGTGACTGGCTGACAAGCACGCGAGTGAGAGAAGATAAGTCAAATGGGACACTACTCGATTTATTCCCAATACCCATCTGGTTCCCGATTTTTCTATTTCTGATCAGTGTAAAAGAGTAAATGAATAAATAGATGACTAACCCGATCACAACATACAATAATTAGGAAAATACAATTATGTCCGAAACTGGGGATTAGAGTAGAAAATAGAGTACGAAATAATACGTTTAAATTACAATAGCTTTAGAACAAAAAGGGCTATGGCAGTGAATGATACATCATAAGAAAGCTCATGTTCTGTAGAACAGACTAGAGACAAAAATAAATGTCTGTTTTGCAAGCTTTGATTTAGTCGAAAAAAAACATAAAAATAGCTTTCGTAGTTTGTGAAGGCTTCTTATTTCTCTGTTCACGTCACTTATAAACAACGAAAAACTAATTGTTATACTTAATTGTTCCAAATCTCAAAAGAGGCAACACAATATTCGTTATATTTGTTCTCATTTGCTTCATTTTCAGTTGAATCAAGTATTATGATTATTATTATTATTAATGACTTTATTAAGGTTTATGCCTTCCCTTAAAGTCTTCTTATTAGCTTAAATGATCAATCATATAGCTCTTTCTATTATGATAAATAAGTCTTAGAGTTGACTGGTAAGTTACAGTTATGTTTCAATCATTCAACGATGTCTGTTTTGAACTGAAAATGATATTTAAAAAAAAAATTGTTTTCATCTTCAATTTAGATTACCTATTCAAATTACTTTTCAAGCAAATGGTGAACGTGAAACTAATATTAATTTACAATGTCTTATAAAACATCGTGATTTACCTTTAACATTAAATGTTAAAGGTCAAGGATATACAATTCATTCATCATTATGGATTGATTGTACTCAACCAAATAATAATAATAATAATAATAATGACAATATATGTACAACTAGTGAATTAATTGAACTTACACCATTATGGTCACCATGTATTGGTATACATTTAACAGATCTTATTAATAAATCAATAAATCGAATTCAAAATGATAAAAATTTAATAAATCAATTCATTGAATTAAATTTTGGTCAATTATATCCTGGTGAATGTATTACAAAAAAATTAATAATATATAATAATGGAAAATTAAAATTTGATTTTTTATGTCAATTTATGTCACTAAAAGATAATACAGGTATTAATCATAAAAATATTCATAAAAATAATAAAGAACAACAATTGATTAATCAATTAATTAATGGTTTCATTACAAACGATATTGTTCAATCACCATTATTAATAATCAATCCTAATTCTGGTACAATATTACCAAATGAAAAATTTATATGTACCATTCAATTTCAATTACCAAAACAAATAAATTATTTAAATAATAATTATTTCAATTTATCTAATTTACTTGGTATTTGTTTAATAATACGTGATGGTCCTATATATGGAATAAAATTATTATGTTCAATAAAACAGCATTCAATACAATTTTCAGAAACATGTATTAATTTTGGTTCACAATTAATTATGCAATCAGGTCTTAAACCATCTATACATTATTTATATATAACTAATACTAATAATAAACATGAATTAAATATTGAATGTATAACACAATCAACAAAAATATTTACTTATCATTTTCAACCAACTATATTATCAAAAAAACTAAAACAAGAAATAAATGGATCGAATTCAAATATTATTTGTTTACCAATATACTTTTATCCATATCATAATAAATTATATAAAGAAACAATAATATTTGAAATTAATAGTTGTAGTCAATATAAAATTGATTTATTAGGTAAAGGATGTGAATTATTAATTGAAACAAAATTATATCCATTATATATTATGAATAAAATGAAAAAGAAAGGCAATACAACCAAAGTTATACAATTCAATGAAGAAGAAGAACAAGAACAACAACAACAAGGACAAGAACAAAAAGATAATGAATTTATTAAAAATAAAAAATGTGTCAATTTAGGTTATTTAAAAACTGGTCAAATATCACGTCGATTTATTAGTTTAATTAATAAAAGTTCTGCACCAATATGTATACATCAAATACATTTGAATCAACCACAATATAATAATAATAATAATAATAATAATAATAATAGTAATAATAATATAAATGGAAATAAACATAATCCTATTCATATACAATTTTGTAAATCAATTTCTATTGATAAAAAACAATTCAATGATTTTGGATCAATTATAGAAGTTGCTACACCAATTATTATTCCATCAAATGGTGGGGAAATAATGATAATGTTAAGTTTAACATCAAATTATCGATTAGCTAAATTTACTAAAGAAGTTCTATGTGAAATATCACGTGTAGATCAAAACATAATAATAATAATAATATAATTCAATCATCAAAGAATCAAATTAACACTAGTATAACGACTAATAGTAATCATAGAAATAAAGAAGAAATGATTTCAATTCATCAAGAGAATACTAATATGTTTTTACCAGTATTCTCAATACATGGTGCTGTTAATACATATGATATTAATTTTAATACAGAATCAATTAATTTTGGTTCAATTGTACGTGGTAGTCAATTAAGTAAACGTTTAGTTTTAATGAATACTGGTGATTATAATACAAAGTAAGTTAATTAAGTAGTATATTTATTTGTTAAAAAATAAATTTATATATGAATAAATAAGTTAGTTATATAGTTATAAGTAATGTATAATCTTGAACAGATCAGTATCAGTTTAACTTTCACCACTATATTATCAGAGCAAGATAAAATTAATGGGCATAAATTTCTGAACATTAAAAGTAATAATATTATTATTAGTAGTCATTCACTGTTATGATGGGTGGTCAGTCAGTCATTAACAACGTAAAACTTCGTACGTACGTACATCAGTTCAAGTTGCCATACCACATTAGCACACACATACAATTGTCGACTCAAATCCCATAATGGTAGAGGTAGTAACAGTATAAGCAGTAATCGGAAAGATTAGGGTTTCAAGATGTTATTCAAGGAGTATAATCCAATGAAATAAATTTGGAAAGATAATAAAATTGACATAAATAATTCAGAAGATTAGAATTTGGGAGAACCCAAAGAGTGGATGCACCTGCGCCATTGCAAATGATTTTCAGCCATGTGATTCAAGATCTCTAATCATCGGTTGCTATCATCTCGCAGATGCTCTGAACCAGATAGTCTACACCTACTAACATAGTTCAGTCCACTTTTCGGTGACCTCATGGATTTTTGCCATGTTTTGGTGTCCAAAGTCGGATACCGATGCGCGACATGTTACGCGCTATATATATATATATATATATATATATATATATATATATATATATATATATATATTATCCTACCCCTTAGGAAATAAATCCATTTCTTAGTCGATGGGATGCACATGTACTTTAAGTCACTTCTGATTGCCATGTATTGACCTCATTTAGCTACTGCTCATTAACTTATCATATCAGTAACCTTAGAAAATATATGGTTTAGGAAAAATAAATGAATTTGTTAGATAAAAAGTGTTAGATATTTCCAAAACTGAAGATTTTTGGATACATAATTACAGAATACATTTGTGTCACTGTGACAAACTTTGATCTACATCACCCAAAATCTCCAAACAATAATTATAATCATGGCGTAAACCTCAATCAGGTATTGTAAACCTACCTGTACGACTCATTCCTTCACTATTTAAAGTCGTGGACAATGATGTTGGTTAAAACCGTTTCAACTATTTACTACCGATTCATTTCAGGTGAAGTATCATTCACCTCGAAGTAGCTGAGTTAGTTATCAAATTAAATGGTTTTCTTTACGCAACCGCTTTGATTACTACATTAGAATAAAGATATATTTATCATGATTCTACAAAAAAATATCACTCTCTCAGCAGTTATTAGGGTGTTAAGTGTGAGACATCTCTTAATACAATAGGGATTGTTAATGTGATATACTTCCAATCTGATGATAGGTTTAAAAAATCGACTATAAGCTCACGAATTAGGTTCCTTACTGTGATCAAAGCATATCTACAATCGTTATAGAACTGATTCTCTTCGTTGTTACATGAAAGCGTTTGAAGAGAGAGAGCGGATTCCTTCCTTTCTCGACCGTATCATGGCATTTAGGTTTTTTGCGAGAAATCATGATTTTGTCTTTTTTTAATGGGTATGAAATTCATTTTCTTCTTCAGCCTCCATCAGTTTGAGCACTACGAATGATTAGAAAGTAGTAAACAATTATCTCTGCTTGTTAATAAAACTCATTATCTCGAAAATATCTATGAACCCATATAGTAAAAAACCTATAACCTTCAGGTTATAAGGAGACACGATATTGTCATATCATTGGGTAGAAACTCAGATTTAATTAGTTTGGGATATAGAGGGTTCCTCAACAAATGTTATCAAGTAGTCACTGCTTCAATATCGATTTCAGGATATTCATCTTACAGTTAGTTATTCATGCACATATAGTTTTTATTAATATAATTAGTTTATGTGGAGAGAAGTTTCTGATTAAAGTTCGTGAAAAATCTTTGTATTGTGAATTATCTCTTTGATCAACTGGTCTGATCTGAGAGTATGAAAGTCACATAATGGTTATTGCTAGTTGACAACACTAAATAACTACGATAAGACACTCCGACTCTGCTACATTGATAAATATCAATTATTGTACATTATTTGACTTATTTGAGACAGTGATCTAGTGATTGAAGGACTCATTTCTTAAACAAGAAACCCGAAGGTCAAATACTGTTTGTCCTACTTCAATTTAAATAGTTTGTTGTATGGGATTAAAGTGAATGAACACTCAGGTAGGTAAGATCAGTTTATTGTTTAGTGCAAATTTACAGTGTATTTGTAAATTATAAAAACCATATATTGAGTAATTCATTTGCACATCTTCTATCAGTTGTCTTTTACACCCTTCATGATTCTTCCAATTATCGATTCCTTTATGTTTCCGTTTCTGTTTTATTCAGTTCACTCTTTTAAGCCTTCTTTTTACAAACCTTCCACTTATGATTGATGCTACATACTACTTATACCTGTGAGCATAAATAACATGCATTACAGGATCATTAACTTGACTGTTGCTCAAACCTTAGTAAAACAGTTTGTACTCGAAAACTGTATAACATTGATTTCATTAATATTTCATATAACCAAATAGTGATATGTATTTATTACTGATTTCATTTTAAGATTCGAATGGGATAAATCAACATTCACATCGGATTTAACTATAGAACCAATGAATGGATCTATTAGTCCAGGATTAGAAGTAACATTTATTTTAACTCTTAAACCAAGTAAATTAACACGTGAAATACGATTAGATGTAAGTAAATGAACTTGCTTATTTATTTTCTAAATGGACATAGAACAATAGGCTTTTATGCTGCATAACCTGATGATTGCTACTAGAAACTTAATACATAACTGTTACACACTGTTCATCATACATTATATAAAGATCATTTCGATTGAACGAAGAACTAACAAAATTGACAGATAGGATACAGTTAACTTGTCAGTGAAATCAATATCAACTTTCAAGATATTATCTATCATATTAAATATGTACATTTGTACACATAGGTAAATTGCAAGCGCTATTACTGGCTCAGAAGAGATTTAGCTTTGTTTTCGCTCTTATAACTAAATAGTTCAGTTTATTGAGCATTTAGCGTGCTTGTTTTAAGTTAAAAACAGTATGGATCACTTCAGTTGCAAATTTTACAGTATAAAATGTTCTAAACTATTTATTACTGTATGAATGATCACATATTGTGAGCACTATAACCTGCATAAATAGAACCTTATTAGAATTTATCAGTGTACGTTGTTAAAGGTTGTTGAATTTTATTGGTATCACGAGCCGATCTAAATTAGGCAATCACTAAAGACTTGAAAGCACTGAACTATCGTCTCGTCTTAAGAAGTGACTTCTCAAGAGTGCTTCTTTTTGACTTTGCAACCTGGAATCGGGTCCGGAACTTTCAGTTCCGTGATTACAAATACGTAAAAATTTTAAAATTGTACTGCTGATCATTGTTCAGTTATTTCGAATCTACGATGGACCATATAATAACATCATAAATTTTTCACAGTTTCATAGACTCTATCAATCATTTTCTTACCTCGCTTTTTCTCAATGAACACACTTCCGTCGAGATGATTAACTCATTCAGCAAATGTACTGTTCATAGAAATCATGGTTCTGAGAAAACTGACGATACTGACACCAAGCTCCCGATGCTTTATGTCCAAACGCTTTTTATGTATTCCTAATTAATCATGAATGAAAATGGAAGCAATACTAATCTGATTTAAGAAGTATTTTTATTCATGGACGGAAAAACTTTATTCTGAGACTGAGGGGACGTATGAAAGCAATGAATGTGCACGGTTGGTTAAAATGGTTTGACAACGTTCGCCTACCTTCTTAGATTTATTGAAAATAACAAAGTCTGCAATGAATGTTAAGTTCCTATTGGGCTATTTATTTTAATGAATTATTTACCGTCACATATTCAAAAATACTTTATAAAAAGCATTTAGAACCCTATGAATCAGCAATGTTAAAATTTAATGCATCTAACATTTTACATGACAAGCTACTTTGAGGTTGTTTACAGAAACAATCTAAGTCGATGTGGGTCGTTACATGAACGGGTATACAAAGGTAATCCTCAAACCATGGAACAGTCAAACAGATCGAACAATAGGCCAATAGTCACTTTGTCATAAAACATGAACCAGTTATGCACAGAAGTATTTTAAATGGAAATCGGATAAATCAAATACCTGTTTGACTTGAGATGAAACTTGAATGTCCAACTGTCCTACATGAGATAACTCGCTCGTTGACTATCTCAAAAGAAACATCTCCGATCACGTCATAATTTCAAAATCCACTTCAATTAATAATACTTTTTCAGATGGCTAATAAGTCTAGCCAACATGTTCTAACTGGCATAAGACATTAGTCTACAGTTTCTAGTCGGCTACTTTAACATGAAACAAAGTTCTTCGTAATCTCGAGCACTTAACTTACTGATCACATAATAAATTGTTTAACAGATTTAAATCATCACCATGGATTAGATAATGCGGTACCTGTTATCTATAAGTAATTAATAGACGACTTTCAGTTTTCACGAGATCAAAGTCATCGGATGTGGAGCAAACTTCTATAAATCATGACTTTATATATATATATTTTTATATATGTAGTCCAGGTAAACTTATGTGTGCTTTCTCAAAGTAATTTTATATTCTTTCTTTTAATCACAAATGAAAAAAAAACAGAATGTAACATGTCAAATTCAAGGTATAGGATCAAAATTAATTACTGTTAGTGGAGCATGTGTGCCACCTACTATTATTAAAGAAATACAACAATTTTCAACGATTGTTAGACAGAAAGATGTTAAAAATTTACAAATTGTTAATCGTACAAATGCTAATTGGCAAATCAAGCCAATTATTGATGGTGAACAGTGGGATGGACCAAAGATAATCGATATACCCCCACAACAAATAGGAATGTATGAATTAACATATAAACCATTAACAATGACTTTAGATGGAGCAAAACATAAAGTAAGTTTCTTTATGATCACATGTTAAGTTCTTGAAGGTGAATTATATAAAGAATTAAATTTAGCTAAAGCACTACTGAAAATGAGAAAGTATAGAGAGTTGTTTTATGCGAGCATGAGGCGACTCGTCAAGAGTGTTTATGCTCATCAGATATCACGGATGGCACTGGATCGTGGTCATGCAATATCACGAATTGATGGAAGTTGGAAATATATATCATTATATGTCAACCAAATACTTTAATGTCTAAGCACTCACGGTAAACTTTAAAGTTGTTTCATTATATCTCTGGTAGAGTCTTTGGTTAGCGTTACTATGATATTGCATACTAAAACAAAACAACCACCCAATGCCTCCAGTCTATCAATTATTGTTGAACTAAAGTCAGTATACAATGCCGACTATCTTCGTAAGCAATTCCTCTTAATAATTATTTATTTACATATCGATTACTTTTAAAATGTTGACAAGTACGTCATTCAAGAAACTACGATATGTGACAAGTAGAAAGGAGAAAAAATGAGTAGAATGAGAATTTACTTCAAGATGAATTTACAATAGTATGTCTTTGTTACTACATTTCTCTGATTTTTTTCTGTCTCATATAACAAACATAAAAAAGTGCGGATACTTAATGTTACGAATGTGGATTCGGTGACTTAATAAATTCATCCTCCAGTGTTAAAATAAAGGTAAAAATGGCAAATAATAGATAAAGATATGCAATGACATGATGTGGCTGAGTGATGGTTATTCATAGGACCGAATCATTGACATAAGTCTTTCATTGAACTGATCTCAGCGGATAAGGCAGTTTCATAGTGAGATGGTGGCGAAGATTTGTAGCTCAGGTGGATGATTTCGGTGGAGTTTGTGCTGATAGCGTCGTTCGGAAGTACGATGAAAGCTCCATGACTAAACCATCCAGCTCAGATAACAAAACTTCACCGAAACAGTTTCATAGTAAAATAGGTCTTTTTTATCATGAAATAATATTCTTGTAGACAAAATATTGACAAAAAACAAATGTAATTAAAATGTCTTAGGGGACAGAAGAAAATCAATTATATGGACTACTCACAGTCCATTCAATGAAAACATTGCCAGTCATATTACTTGCCACTGGCTTTAATTGTACATCATTTCAATATTGCTCTATCTAGAGCTTAGATTATTAATATGCCGCGTATAAATTGAGCACTCGAACGCTAGAACCCTCCCAAGTCGCAAATGAGAATACAGAAGACAAGTGAAAGGATTTCTATTCCAAATAGTATCAATTATGGTACAAAACTGTCAGATATTTATAGTTTTTAGTAAAAACGAAATCATCATTATAGTCTTCGGTCGATAATTCACTGTTCTCTAATTGGCGGTATCATTACGTCATACATTATTAGGACACAGGGCAAATATTAACATATGTCATTGTACATTAGCTCTGTTTTTTTCTAGCTTTTATTTTTCAAGCACTATCCCTCCTGATAATTAATCTATACATGTTCAAAAATTAGAGACTGATGTTTCAAGAATTTTTTCAGAGTGACGCGCAATGGTCTTTAATTATATATTTACTTGTTCATTTAGTGAAATATAGGCTTAAATGTTATCGAAATGTCCTCTCTATTCTGTTTATTTCAATCATATTGATTTTCTGAAGTCATTGTAGTTAATTCTTAAGACATTATCAATCAAACAGAAAATATCTTCACCATATTTTAGAAAATGTAATATTTACAAACAGATCATTTCTATGCAACCAATTCTCTTCGCAAATTTAAACAAGTAAGAAAGATAAACTTGAGATATTACATTTTACGATCCTAACAAATTTTAGTGAGATGCTCTGTAACTTAGTGTTGAATACATTCGATTGTCCCCACTGGTGTTCTTGTTCACTACATTCGGTGTCGCTGCCAATCAGGAGAAGGGAAGGGTGCTGTTCTGTGGTCGCCATTGCGCACCTGGAGCTGAGATGCCAGTAGGGGTGGTTTGATGCGAGGGGTGACGTCAGGTGGGGTGTTCTGTCGGGGCGGTGTTGGCTGTAGAGGGTGCTGTGAAGAGCAGTGGGACGTGAGGATGCTTGGCGAACATCGGATGTAAATGGCTCAGCATGCCGCTGGAACGCAGGCGTTGAACTTCCCAGGTGCCGGGAGGATGTCGGATTTTGATGCCTCGGCAGGTCGACGGAGCTATGGAGGCCAGCGCGCCGCAGACGAGTGTGGTGTGGGTTACTTATATCCACACAAGTAGTATATAACGGTGGTCAGGCATAGAATGCATTTCAGTAGAAGGCCGATGAGGGAAGAATGGGAACGGAACGCAGTTGGTATGAAAACGCATAAACAATGAAATCTGAGACAATGGATTGATGTTTGCGACAGGAACGGTTAAGTTTGACATGATGGATTGATATTTTGCAAATTACCTATTTATTATATACTTCTCGGATTTCATTGAGATGTTCTGTAATTTTGTGATCAAGCACATTCGATTGTCCTCACTGGTGTCCTATTCACTATATTTTATTTATTTAAAACCTTAATCATTAACTGTATTAATTAGCCTTATACAATTGAATAAATAATAAGATACTTGTTGCTTAATCAGACTACAATCTGTTGTAATAACTTGAGTTTCTTTCATTTTTATTTACTCTTTATCATTCAGGGTACAATATTCTTTCCATTACCTGATGGTACAGGATTATTATATAATTTATGTGGAACATCTGATGCACCAAAATCAATGATGCGAATAAATCGTGAGATTGAATGTAAAAAATTACATACAGAAATTGTACAAATACCAAATTGGTTAAATATATCACAGAGATTTCGTGTTTTAAAAGAAATTCTACGACCGGATAAATTAGATCCAAGTACAACTATTCAAGGATTAAATTATTTAGATGTACCAGCTGATTCAAGTAAAGAGTATAAATTGAGTATCTTCACCTATCGAGAAGGTTTTACATTGATTAAAGTAAGAATTATACCTAGTTAGGTTTTATTCAGTAGTATATATTTAACATATAAAGTGATTATCAATAAAAAAATTATTTTATCAAGTTCCTCTTTGTGAGGGCCATAGCTTAACAAAGAATAAATCATGTTGATATTTAAACACACACCATATTCATTCAGTTTCATCTTGATATGGCTTGTTTTTATTGGACTTCTCTATTTTGAATGACTTTGATTATTGTTTACTTCTGTACTAACCACAATTGGTCGAATCTAGACATTAACACCTTTGGATGACGGCTCAGTGGTCTGGAGTTTAAGCGTTGGTGCGGGAGACCGACAGGTCCTCGTTTTAAATCTCGCAAGGCGGGATCGTGGGTGCGCACTGCTGAGGAGTCCCATACTAGGACAAAACGGTCGTCCAGTGCTTTTAGGTTTTCCATGGTGGTCTAGCTTCAATTGACTTATGAATTTAACTATTAAATAACTACAATTTGTTTCGAATGAAGTTTTAAAAAAGACAAAATTTCATAGACTTTTGCTCAACAATTTAGAAATAGTAACTGTTGAATAAATGGATTCTACATTTTCCCTTGATCTTTATTTACATTTTAATGAGTATATCATGAAATGACTTCATATTAATGTCGGTCAGTCAGCAACAACGTAGAACTTCGTACGTACGTACATCAATTCGAGGTGCCATACCACATTAGTACAGAGATGCAGTTGTCGATTCAAATCCCATAGTGGTAGAGGTAGTAAGGGTATAAGCAGTAATCGGAAAGATTAGGGTTTAAAGATGTTATTCAAGGAGTATAACCTTTAATCACCATTAATTTGAATTTATTCTACTCTAAAAACTTATGTTAGAACATTTGTATTTCTTTTTAATTATATGTATTCTAATGTACCTATGCTATGGGTGTAGTGGATAAGTTCTGTCTGATAGAATAAAATTAACTAATTAATTGAAGGATTTCATATGTCTGTCCAAAAAAATTTTATTATAACTTAAAAATATGTTTTCATAAACTATGGTAATATTCTTCATTGTACTACATAACAACAGATTATTTTCTGGAACAAATCAATAAAGAACTAGGAATCTAGATCATGCTCGTCAAAACAGTTTAGGAAGAGAATCTTGTTAAGTTTCATTCCACTCTATTTTCGGAACTTTTTAACTATGCCAGAATTATGTAACTGAGTGTTTGCCTCATGAATCATCATTTACTCCAAATGAAATAGAAGGTCCATGATTAGTTTGAGTTTTATGCTTTCAACTTCAGGAATTTTTGTTAACAAAGACTAGTCTAAATTTAGTAATATAATACTAAAGAAATGATACTTTATTATAAGCAAAGATGGATAATGGCTAGCAATGATTATCAGGACTCCGAGGTTAATTGGATAACGCGATGGCGTTTGAAGCGAACAGTACTGGGTTCGAGTCCTAGAGTGAACATGAACTCTGGGATGCAGGTACATCTTACTGACGAGTCCCAAATGGGACGAAACGCGCGTCCTGGATTCCACTGATAGCCACTATCCATCTTTACTTATAATGCTTGTGAATTAAGGCAATATCGAGGCAATGCTTACAGTATGCACATATGCCACTATAAGACTGATCGACTGAAGTCCTAAACATCAATTTGAATATTCAAGTAAACAATACCAAGTGAATTTAAGTAATACTTCAGCATAAAAACTTTATGTAGTTCCCCCTATTAAAAATGTGAAACAGAGCATAAATCGTTCGAGTGTTAAATGAATTCTGTACTTTCACCTTTAACCACTTACTTAAATATTTTGTGGTAAGATTCATGTAGTTTAACGATGGTTCCTAAGTGATAAATTAACTTCACCGTTGAACATCATGAGCCAATCACTTGCTCTCTGTTTTTCAATAGTGCCCATACTGATGGTCATCTACCATAAATGACACTTGCAACTTGAAACAATTGCCACATAACCTCTCAAAAAACGCATAAATTTACCAATTAACTATTGTAATTATTGATACTACTAGTATGTAATTTATGCTTAAATTAGTAAAGATGCATATAGGCTGACAATGAAAACTAGAATATTTATGTCATCTTATTTGGCAGTTTTTGATTGAATATACCAAAATTCTAGTGTTGATGTTCCTACTGAACCCATTACCTTGAATGAATGATGTTTCATCCACTAAAGTACTGAATTCATATAATCACTAGCTTATTCAACGATGATCAATTTTATTTGTAACAATGAGTTATAGGTAAATCCAGCTGACTACTCCCATATAAGTTGAAACAATATTCATGAATTCCACTACTAGTCACTATCCAACTTTCTAAAGTACTTATGACAAATTAACTGTATTTTACATTATTTTTTTATTTTTAAAAATTTAGGTTACATTTACAAATGAAACAACTGGAGAATATCAATATTTTGAAGTTAATTTTAAATCTATCAGAAATAAAAGTTTAGATGTCATTAAAATGCAAACACCTATTCGTAAACCTATTACACATACACTCACTTTAGAAAATCCTTTATCAATACCAGTTAATTTTCAAATGAGTACAAATATTTCTGAAGTTCAATGTCCAAATCAATTACAAATACCTGCTAATTGTGAAGTAAGTAGTAGTAAGGTTTTAGCCATATGTTTACCTCAAGTGGTGTCCGTCAAGGCTGTTCTTTTTCTCTATTTTTTGTTTAACTTTATCATAGACCTTCTGATGGAAATAACATTCTCGTCGGCTGAATTCTTGGGTATTGATCTCCTACCAAGAGGTCCACTTATTGACTTAGGATACGCAGATGACATAGTCCTGTTTGGTGAAGACGCTGATGAAATGCAGAGTCTTTTGGTAGCACTGAGCAACAATGCCAGAATGTTTGGAATGCGCTTTTCTCCCTCTAAATACAAGTTGTTGCTTCAGGACTAGCCTGCGTCAACACTCGAACTAAAGATATGGAGTGAAATAGTCGAACGCGTTAACAATTTCATTTATCTTGGAGGTCTTATCAGCCATAATGAGTTGGTGTCTGGCGAAATCTCAGCACGGATTCGAAAAGCTCATTTGGCTTTTGTCAACTTACGTCACCTATGGCACAGGCGAGATATCTGTCTATCAATTAAGGGACGAGTATACTGCGTGGCAGTTCGTTCTGTTCTACTTCACGGCTGTAAAACGTGGCCATTAAGAGTTGAAAATACTCATAAGCTACTATTATCTGACCACAGATGCTTTAGAAATGTCGCCAACATCTGCTGGGACCACCGGGTAAGTGATAGTGAAGGTAGACGCAAAGTATTAGGGAATGATGATAAGTCAGTTGTGTATGCCTGAACACTGATTACCACGACGCGCAATGCTGACTAGTGTTGGGGATGGTCGTAAGAAAGTAAAGGGCGTACAAACCAAAACATGGCATCAGTCCTTGAAGTTACCAACTTCTAGTCTGAGCCATGTTGGTAGATGCAGACCACTTGATTGGGGTCTGCGTGACTATCGTATTCAGTGGTTGGAGACTCTGGGTGACATGGCCCAGAATCGATCACAATAGAGTTGGTGTATACACTCTCTGTCTTCCCTTAAACTATGAGATAAAAATCGCTTGATATCTTTCTTTCTAGCGACCAATTCTTTCTTCCTGTACTATGTCCTTATATGCAATCTTTCTTTTATATATTACCACCATTGAATGAACTACTTCTATGAATCTGGTGTTTATCACGTCGTGTTAATGAGGTATGGCAACGTTGATCGATGCATATATGTGCCTGCTTCAACGTTGTAGCTGACTGACTGACTGCTCATTTTCACTTTTAGTCATCTTGTTTAGATGTGATGAATACTTCAATTTTGTGATTACACAACAGTTAACAAATATCTAATTGAATGATGAACTCACTATATTACAAATAAATTGAAGTCAAAAATCTGAACTGTTGAGTTTTAACTCACTGACTAAAATGTCATGAAAATTGAAGATTCTAGGTTCATAATGATATTCAAGACAAGGTGGATAAATCTCATAAATAAAACGAAACAGGTTATTCTTCGAATCCCGCGAGCAAGATTGTGGATGCTCACTACTGAGGAGTCCCATAATGGGACGAAACGGTAGTTCAGTACTTTCACGTTTAAAATTGCTGTCTGATATCAATCGATTTATAATCCCAATCAAATAATCTTTAATTGTTTATCCAACCTCGTTATCATTATCATTATTACTTAGATATTTTTTTACTTATATAATATGCTTCATAAAATGGCTTATTGCTTATTTCATTTTTTTTTCTCAGGGTAAAGTAACACTTGAATATTTACCAATTAAAATTGGTCAAAATAATGGAAAATTTGAAGCTAATTGTAATGAATTAGGTTCATTTATTTATGAATTAAATTTACAAGCTACACCAGCTAGTTTAGAATCTACAATACATTTTCGTACAACCATAGGACAACGACATTGTCAAATTGTCAAATTTACAAATTTATCAAAGAATAAGAATGAATTTATTACTAATGTAAGTTTATATTATGTTTGTTTTTTGAATATTTAAAAAAAAAGATATCTATACTTTTTGATAGGTCTTGCTAATTGAACTCTATATTTAGTTCCTACACTATTCTCGTAACCCCCAAGCTAGAATTACACAGCGACTTAAACACGAGAGAAAAGGCACAAAATATGCAAGAGGTACTTCACTTCAAAGATTCGTTTTAGTACAGGAAATATAGGGTTTTTATAGTAGTTTAGATGTCCTTAAGTTTTCCCGAAAATTCTAAAATGCTACTAAATATAGTAGCAGTGTAGTAATCAGCCAATCAGAAACTCTACATGTGACTTTTCACTTTCTTGATGTTTCTGGTTAAACTTCTAGAGAACACTGATTGAATAAAATGCTTCTTAGTATTTCCTGAGCCATTCTTGGCTTTTGCGAGAAGTTTTCTGGATCACCCCGACACTTTTATATTACATTTTTGGTTGTTGTAGATGTTGGATCCTCAGAACTCATTTGGTAAATACCTTATTTTAATAATTTTATTTTAAAATTTTGAATTTCTTTTTTCCACACCGAAAGCGCTCATTTACACCTTCATGTTGTATTTCCCACTTGGGTGAAACTTAAGCGCTATTGGTTCATTGTATCTTTTAGAATGCTATTTTGTAACGCATTCCAACGACAATTTTATACTGTATATGTACACTTGATTTGTGTCTGTTGTTATTGCTCATGCTTTTGGCTGTTTGCGGAATATATTTCCCAGTTTCGAACATGAACTTCTCTTTCTAGTTAGCGAGGCTGGGACTCATCAGAATAGCTAGCTTATTGGTCTTTGGTCACAGAGTCTTTGTTCCATTCTACAACTAGGTGAACTCGTAATCACTTCAAACATAATAAACAGAGACCACCATAACTTACTCCTGTTACTCCCAATGGAGCATAGGCTACCGATCATCATTCTATCCAATTGTTGTTCATTCTTATCATGTCTGTCTCCACCACGTTTCTCTTATTTTGTTGTTTAAATAAACTTATGGAACTTTCTAAAATGCAGAAAGTCATATGAAACTTCTAAGATAACATTCTCTTCGTTCATAATCCTATTTATAAATAATTAATTTGTTGACGTACTTAAATGTAATGCCAATTAATTATGAACAACAAAATATATAAATTAGTATTGATTATTATTAGTCAGTTGATAAAAAATAACATTAGACTTGGAATGAATATTTTTCGGACTGCGTTGCACTCATCTTATCATCAAAGCAGGATGATATCCGACAAGATGGAAAGTGAATGTTATAGAAGTAGTAGTAGTAGTAGTAGTAGTAGTAGTAGTAGTAGTAGTCACATATGTGAAGCGTAATTAAACAAGGTAATTAAATGTTTTCAACAAATAAATATTAAATATTCTGTCGTACTTAAAGTATAATTTCTTCAAGTTAACTTTAAAAAATAAGCTGAGTAAAGAAAGAGTCATTGACTTCGAACTTCTTGAGTACTAGTGAAACGGTAAGAATACAAAGAAATGATTATTGTTTTTAGATTGATATCATGAATGCATAAATGTTAGACCACGATTGGAAACGTAGAAGCACCGTAACGTCATTTCGTTCTAGTATGGTACTGGTAAGTAGTTCTCATCCACGATTCAGTACACGAATGCTTAACGTCTAGACCACTGAGACCATATCCAGCGGTGTTAATGTCTAAGTTCAACCAATCCACGATATTGTGCGACCGTCCAATGAAACAAGGATGGACGGTCGCACAATATCGTGGATTGGTTGAACTTAGACATTAACACCGCTGGATGTGGTCTCAGTGGCCAAGAGGTTAAGCGTTCACATGCGAGATCCAACGTCCTGGGTTTAAGTTCCATATGATGAATCGTGGATGCGCACTACTCAACAGTCCCATTCTTGGACGAAACGGTCGTCCAGTGCTTCCAGGTTTTCGATCGTAATCTAACATTCATCCATTCATGATATCATTCCAAACTCAACAATAACCACAACCCTATACTGATAGTTACTTTCTTGAATGTGAATATGGACCAAAATTTATTATTGATAGGTACACCAAAGTATGTTTAATGATAATTCAAAATTTTAATTCCAATAATTCTCGAATTTATAGTTGATCAAAAATATATTAATGATAAAAGTGTAGATAAATATGATAATCAAAATGTTTTAATATGATTACATCATGGTTGTAATATAACATATTTGTATATCCGAAAAAATGATTAGCAAAAGGTTATTAATACAAGAGGTTTGTAGAGATTATTCACTTTGTAGTTTACATCATGACTTGGTGATGATTAGACAGCCGTTGAATATTGGGAAATATTTGGTAGTCATCTTACTCCTCAGCAGTGCACATCTCGCTAAGGACTGAACCAATGATTTTTAAGTCTCGGGACGAGCGCTTAATCTTCAGATCATTGAGCTGGCGTTCAGTAGTGTACATGTTTAAATTCAATCGACTAACTAATATTGAGCATTCATCATCTATTCTTGGACACATATATAAAGTTAATCTTCTTATGTACATACTCAATAGTCTTAGAAATTTATCTCTGTTAATTTGACATCTTGACTTACATAGGTCTATCTGACATTCAATTTAGTTAAGTTTTTTCTAAAATTCATGATCTTATGTAAAATAAGGTGATTACCAGACTACTAGGTTAGTTTCATGTTAACCTATTATGAAGTTTAGTATTGGTATTTTTGTGGTTAACTTAACTATACTCAATAAGTCATTCATTAATAATTTAGCAAATGGAAAATATTTCCAGACTTTTTTATTTGTGTGACATACAGTGGTTTATGAAAATTCAAATTTAGATTGATCATTTCATAATATTCATAAGATTTATTCAATAATTCTGAGAGGTTTATACTTGAATGTACACTATATTGCATGGACTTTCGTTATATACAATCTATGATGTAAGTTGGGTTTGAAAAACAAACAAACTGACGTTTTTCTGACGTTTCATGACTCAATGTAAGCCAATTATCAAGTCAAACCTTGGTAATGATACCTAAAAACAAGTATGTTGTGCCTTAATGGCCCACTAGTTATCATGTAATTTATTCGCCAATTAAAATATGACTTATTCGCCCATGTGCTGTACTAAACCAATGACTTTCTTTCGGTCTGATCAGCTTAGCTCACCTAGCCTGTTCAGCTGAGTCCAGAATGCCAATAACAGCCTGCATTATGCGAATCATTTATTTCAGACATAATGGGTTTATATATCAACCAAACAGACCGCAACGCACCAGAAAATAGGAAATAGCATTTATACACAATAAAGCCAAAAAGTGGCTGTGAACGTGGGTGACTAACTAATAAACTGAATATAACTTAAGAACAGTAAATCGTATCATACTAGTCTATAGATCAAACTGAAGCTTATAATAAGATGAATATATATATATATATATATATATATATATATATATATATATATATATATATATACAATCTAATTATTGAATAGTTATACCATAAGAACATATAGATAATATTAGTCCATCAATAGGTCTCACAAGTTACTCGTAATTTAATCTTCGCTAAGATATAACAAAGTTGATAGTTCACTTTCTTTATACCATACCCTTAGTTTGATTATATTTATTATATGTACATACATAAATATGCACAGATTATTATAAAATATGTTACTGCTTAGAATTCTTGATTATCATTCATATAAAGTGTCTTGAAATCCATCTCTGCGAATAATGACACTTACATTTCCGTGGTTCCTAACATATATCAATCTTTGAAGAAGATAATCAATGAAATACAATTTGTCTATAAACATTTGACTTATTTTACATATATATATATATATATATATATATATATATATATATATATATATATATATATATATATATATATATATATATATATATATATATATATATATATATATATATGGTTTTACAGCTGGCAGAATGAACTCATTGTAAAGGAATCCTTGGTTCAGTTACTTACTTTTTTTTAATCATTTAAGGAAACTTAAATTTTTCTTTTGATTATAGCTATGTGATACGTTTAATTACAATTACAGAAAAAAAATAACAAATTCAGACGGTTTTATCAGAAACTAACACATAAATTTTCTATGTTAACAGGTTGATCATTCTGATTATCATTGTGAAAAACAAATAATTGTAGCACCCGGGGTTGAAGCATCAATGGAAGTTGTTTATGAACCAACTAGTGTGGGTAATTCACAGGCTACTTTAACAATTACAAATGCACAAGCTGGTGAATACAGTTTTCTACTTAAAGGTACTGCTCTACAACCACAACCACAAGGTCCAATAATCATAAAAGCTGGTGAAACAAAACATATCATCTTTCGAAATGTTTTCCCTACACCCATACTTTACTCATTTCAGGTAAATTGGCAATTTTATTTAGATTCACACTTGTGCGTGTTACTAAATAAGCACTTGTCTATTTTGTTCTTATTAAAAATTCTAGATCATAAGCAAATTCCTATCAAATAGTGTAGAGCTACCGATGTTATACTGATTACTTTTCAGTGCTGATAAGATTTTATCGATCAGGTTCGTACGTGAAAAGAATTGATAGAATGTAAAGATCACGAACTTGGAACTACTCTATGGTAGCTATCACATACTAAACGACAATCTATGTGGTACCATTGTTTCCAATAGAAGAGAAGCTATGAAGGATTTAGTATATAAGCGTATGTGCATAGTCAACTTAAACCAAGTTTAATCGCTTGTCATCATTGTTTCGAAAGTTTACACCAATACTTCATACTTGTATAATTTGAATTAGATTGTCATTTATTTCATATGTTTCTTTTCTGATAGGTTGATAATACTATATTCAATCTACCGAAACAAAGTGAAATTATTAGACCTGGTAAAGAATTTAGAATTCCTGTTGGTCTTGACAGCAATATCACTAAATCTCCAGTAACTGGTAAACTAGTTGTGACAGCAGTTCGTGCACAGTCAAGTGCACGTACAATCCGTAAAGGACCATCAAATGTAATTAGTGATACCACTTCCCTCTCATCATCATCGTCTTCATCATCACCACAACAGCAACAATCAAGTTTTATTGATTCTACATTTACCGAAAAAGGTGAAGGATTTCAATGGGTTTATTATTTGCGTGGTGTTACAGGATAAAGACGAATAAATATAAAACTTGCAAATGATAAGTTTTCTAAAAAAACAAGCCAGAGAATTTATTAAATAGTAAACTCAAATGAAATACAAATTTTATATTATTGGCTTCATTTTTTCTGACATCACTTTAAAGCTTATATGTCCCTTGAAAAGAAGTATAGACGACCTTTTACAACTAAAACTCACTCTGTTCATGAACTCGCATTAGTCGTTTAATGCTTCTTCCCTATGTTTATCAATGAGATAGTTAGTCATTAGTGTAATGCTTCGTTTGACTTTTAAGACGTTCGCATCTAATCTGAAAGTATAGTATGTTAAGGGAATATAGAGAGCAGCGTGTATGATAATCTGAAACACAAAAGTAAGCCAATGATTCAGTAAGTACAAGGAATTCATTGGCATTATAAAAAAAATCAGCTGATGGCAACTACCGGTAACCCAAGAGTAACCTTATGACCGTCTGATAAACTTAACTAGAAGCTGATAGCGTAATTTTTTTATGCATCGGAATTGCAGATATTCAGAAAAATATTTTTAAATTCGATGCAATAAAGCAAAAAATCCATTTCATGAGCGTTCACTGTTCATGTATGAAACATTTAAAGCATACTGAAAGTATTATAATTCAGCACTCGATCCAATAAAAATAGTGGGATATACTACGAAACTTCCAAGGACTGGTAAAAATCTCACTTGAGACTGTAGTCCCATAGGGTTGTAACTTTCTTGTTCAGTGCGAAGGTATCTAATATTTGGCAATACGCCACCTGCAAAACATCAGATGGTAGCACATAATTGTCGATCAGGAATCAGTCGGTTGTTAGGCGTTCTATAGCTACCGAAGGTCCTGAAAATTCCTCTAATTTCAGACGGAACAGTCGCGCGAGTGCCTACAGCTAGTAGTGGGTCCAACCTTACAAGTTTGTGCTACTCATGTTCGAAGGTTACCACACTATACATAAGAACAAAAATTTCATAGAAATCCAGGTCAGTAGCAGACCTGTGACGCTTTAGTTAGGCCCGATTATTACATAGCAGTGTTGTGTTAAACTAACCATGCTTGAAAATAGGGTATGTGCTCTGATAATAATTTATTTTAAATAGTGACACGTTACATGAGGCATGACAATCTACAGGCAAGATCAAGTTGTTATGAATGCTTTATTGTTTATTACGTTAACTCGTTCACCCATTTACTTTGTCGTGTTATAACGAAAGTTTTCTTGCAGAAGCAGAATAACAAAATGTTAGTGCATAAATAGATGATCATTTAATTAAAACCTAATTGCAGCGTCATATAGATGTTACATTACTATGATAAACGGTTGATAATATATACTGCAGGCATCATACAGCTTATAGAACAGACAAACTGTTTCAGATATTTTTATGCTTGTTGCTATTAGTTTCCAGTTAGCTGCCATAACTGCCTTAATTGCAGATAGAATTCTTATTGGATGTACTGAGAAAGCGGTACTTTGGGGTTCCATTCTGGTTACGTAATTTAAATATTACATTTCTATTATATATTCGACATCGACATATGTAATATTTCAAGAATTGTTTTTTTCATTATGATTGTTTGCATCAACTTAGAAAAACTATTACTGCCATTTAATCGTGGTTGTTTTGACAAAAGTTGATACTAATATTCATACAATCTCTGAAGGAACAACCGTAACAACAACTCAGGAGTAGTATTTTTGATGACGTGCAAGTAGATTATTTTATTATATCAAGATATTGAGAAGCTTCTCCAGTTTTAGTTGGACTCAGGATTTTGGAGAAATGAGACCAAAAAGTCACATTTACTTAGAATTTCGGGTTTCCTCGACATTTCCCCCAAAACTTCCGTAAACTTTGGAGAAACCAATTTATATTCACTATTAAAACCACAAGATTTCCCCAACGTTTCAAGAAAATCATATGGTCTTCATTGAAAACTACTAAGAATTTTTGCTGTGGACAAACGTTATTCTTTTACTTGTACTTTATTAAGTAAAATTAGGTCAATTCTAAGACCATCGCGCCGTTTTTCTCTGCATCAACATATCGGTTGTTGTACACACACAGTTTCCGTAAACGTTTTAAGCGGAACTAAGTTAGCGACTCTTAGCGGACAATATAATTTGAAAACGCGGTCACGGTTAATGCACTCATCAAATTAGTTCTATCTTGTCAATACTAGGAATAACAAACACTATAAATGAGTAGTGCCATAGTTAAAAGACTGATGTATTATAAATGATATTATATAATAAAATATAAAAAGTACATATACGTTTTTCAAGATTCATTCACGTCTTCATATTCTTTTTGAGTTGGTGTGTTAATCACATAGAAGTTTAGCTTTGGTTATTAATGTTCTACAAACAGAAAAAAGGCGTTAGTCTTCTGTGTAACAATTGTCAAATCAAAGCATTTCTGTGGCGTTTGAATGAACTGATGATTCCTTTATACTTGTTGAATGCTTGATTTTGAATCCTAAATACAGTACATTCGTTTGTGCTTATCTAGTACTTCTTGATCCAATTACGTTATTTATGGGATTCTTAGTACATGCTATAGTTCAAATACTTCTAATTAGCACAAGTTCACATCGTAGTAATAAGCAAGTAAATGCCAAATGTTTTAGCAACCATGCAATATATAATATAATTTTGTCATATTCTTCCAATTTATCTCTTACGAATTATTTATTGAGCTTGTTTTTTCGATATTAAAAGATTATTAAGTAATCTGAGATACCGATTTTCACAACCTTCTTCATGATTCCTGAGATAAAAATAGTCGTAGAGAGCTATCTTGAATTCATTGAGTTTGTCAGTATCTCGAAGGAAGGCTGTATTGAACCTTTGTGGTGCTGTTTGTCCAGTTGTCCAGTTCTTCTCTAGCTTCAGTTTCAATTTGGCCAAACCAGGTGGTGATCTGAAGCTATGTCCACTCCTCTCCTGGTTTTCACATCTTCCATTGTCCTTCGGAACTTTTTATTGATGCAAATATGATCTATCTGGTTCTCTGTGGTGTGGTCCGGTGAGATCCATGTAGCTTTGTGTATACGTTTGTGTGGAAATATTGTACCGCCTATGACCAATTTATTGAATGCACACAGATTTGCAAATCTTTCACTGTTTTCGTTTCTCTCTCCTAGTTCATGTAGTCCCATGATATCTTCATATCCAGTGTTGTCTATTCCGACTTTGGCGTTTAGATCTCCCATCGGAATGGTGGGATCTTTTCTTGGGCACTTCTCTATGATTGATTACAGCCTCTCATAGAATTAATCTTTAATGTTGTCGTTGCTATCATTGGTGGGTGCATAACATTGGATAATATTCGTTGTGATCCCCTCCTTCTTTGTTTTGAATGGAGCTTTGGTGATTCTCGATCCGTAGGATTCCCATCCCACAAGTGCATTTCGTGCTTCTTTGGACAGCATCTGAGCAACTCCCTGTGTGTGTGGAGCATTTTCCTCTTCGTGACCGGAGTATAGCAGCATCTCTCTTGTATTTAGCCCTTGTTGTCCAGCTTGAGTCCAATGGGTTTCGCCGATTCCCAGTACTGCCAAGTTGTGTCTCCTCATTTCCGTTGCTATTTGACTGGTCTTCTCGGTCTCACACATTGTCCGGACGTTCCATGTACCTATAAAAGTTGTTGCTCTTGTTGTTAGAAGGGGCATCAACCTCGTAGCTTCCGAAGGAACTCGGCTTTCATCATGAGGCGTCATAGTTCTTCTAAACGAAGATCTTCTAACTCCCAGGGCAGAGTTTAAATGGTTTGAATAATTTTTTATGGCTAGTGTTTTTTGGCGAGTTAGTTTTCTACGGGATGGGGACGCTAACCGTATGCTCAACTCTCCTCTTTTACCCGGGTTTAGGACCGGCAGTAACTCTAGAAGTGCCACAGGCGGAGTTGTGGAGTCATTACACGTTATCATATCATGGAAAGAACTGATTTATCTTTTGGAATACGGATGTGTTTACTCAGAAGACATGTCAGGCTATTTATTTTAGGTCTAAATGTAAGAGCGTTAGACTCTTACTCATTGTCATTCCTAACACGTAATACTATGACTGAGTGCAAGGATTAAATGTCTTGATAAGTGTTGAGTTATATGGAACATTTTCTGATTTTTGAGCAATATTTACGCCTGAACAAGAGAAACTTATTGCTGTTAATCTTGTACTACTTTCAAGGACTGTAGTAGTCAAGAACGACAGAATGGTTCTACAGATAATTATCTTTGAGTTTGAAAATGAATTGTTAATAAAACAGTAATCCTAGTCACCGAGATTCATAAGCTTAACAAATAACTCAAAGTCTCCAAAATTAAAACATCGTGTTGTTGCTCGACGTGGATATCCATTACACTTTGTAGTGGCTTTAATTCGTTAATCGATCACCACGATTACCGTTATAATATAAATCTCAACGGTGTTTAAAATCGAAAGGCAACGAGAAGCGGCAACTACAATTTATTAGAGGATAGCGCAGATCACAAAGCTTTAGGCATATCGAGCGAATTTGAAGCGGAGAAGCAATTAAGTATATATGAGCAATTACATAAGCAAATTTATGGCCAATTCGCATAATGGCGCAGCGAGGCAAAGCAAGGACTAATAATAAGATTTGGGTACATACATACATGGGAAGGAAGATGAATCATCGAGTGATATTTACACAATCAGCATTTTAGCTAGTCTTTCATTTGATCTAGTGATCATAAGTGTACAGAGAAATATGCAAATCGTTACTGTCCAAATAACATTTTCTGTTAAGTTATTAAAAGGGCCTAACCAAAGTTAACTATAATCCAAATTGATTGTAGGATAGTTGCCATAACTTTGCATTTAGTCTATGGATTGTCAGGGAAAATTAAAGTATTTAATTAGCGCTAGGAGAGAACACTTTACTAACAGATGTTATTTCGAATGTAAAGTTGTAAGAGAAAAGCTAGTTCAAGATTTTGTTATCGCGCGCTGATTGTGTCTATTACAGCAATTTACAGTTTATACAGTTGGGAACGGTTACGTATCCTCCATTTGATTTCAGAAGGATTGAGATCCCTAGCGATCAGTTTGAAATTGACATTTAATTTGAAAGA